GAACTGTATTTTTCACAAAATAATTCTAAAATCCTAGCTGTAGACTTGGTTCAAGTGATAGAGCACTTGCCTAGTAAGCCCTACGTCCTGGATTCAAATCCCAATATCACCAAAAAGATGTGGTAATCCTAACCTCCTCAGAAATGTATGTCAAAAGCTAGGCACTGGTGGCTCATGCTTATAATCCTAGCTACTCAGGAGGCTGAGATCTGAGGATCACAGGTTCGAAGCCAGCCCCAGCAAGAAAGTCTATAAGGCTCTTTATCTCCAATTAACCACCAAAAAGCTAGAAATGGAACTGTGGCTCAACTGGTAGAACTCTAGCCTAGAGCAACAAAGCTAAGGGACAGCACCTAGGACCTGTTTTGTTTTGTTTTTTGGTCGGTCATGGGGCTTGAACTCTGGGCTTGGGCACTATCCCTCAGCTCTTCAACTCAAGGACAGCACTCTACCACTTGAGCCACAGCGCCACTTCCAGTTTTCTGGTGGTTTATTGGAGATAAGAGTCTCACGGTCTCTCCTGCCCGGGCTGGCTTTGAACCATGATCCTCAGATCTCAGCCTCCTCAGTAGCTAGGATTACAGGCGTGAGCCACCAGCGCCCGGCTAGGACCTAAGTTTAAGCACCAGTAATGGTACAAGAAAAAAGAAAGTATGTAGATTTAGGAGTGTAGCTTAGTGGTAGAGCAGGTGCTTCACATGCCTCAGGCCCTAGGTTCTATCCCCGGCTCCAAAAACAAAACAGAGCAATAGCGATGCTGAAACTTAGAATCTAGTACCTCAAATGGTGACAGAGGCACTGATCAATCTAATTGGAATTTATATTCACGGAGGCTGGTGTGTCAAGACTTCTTCAAACCTCCAGAAGCTAGTAGAAGCTAACTACTAAGAAGCTAGCTACCCATCACAGGGTGGAGAGGGAGCCTGGCCTCAATGACACCCTGACTACTAGCCAGACTGCAGAACCGTAAGGGAATAATCCTTGTTGTTTAAGCCACTGTTTGTGCAGCCTTGGGAAACTAACATAGGAGCCGTGGTTTTGAATTTTTGCACATGAGAGGAGAGGGGGAAGAGTGAAGCACATGAACAGCATGGCTTACACGCTTATTTTTGATACTGGGGTTTGAACTCAAGAGCTCAAGCTTGACAGGTAGGTATTCTACCACTTGGGCCACATTCCCAGTTCTTTTTATTTTATAGTTATTTTTTAGATAGTATCCAATAGTCTTTGCCTGGGCTGGACTGCTGTTGATACTCCTAGTTCTGCTTCAAGAACAGCTGGGATCATGAGCTAATAACCACTCTGTTCAGCTTTTTTGTTGAGATGAGGTCTTGATAACTTTTTTCCCCATGCTGGTCTGGAAGCATACTCCTCCCTATCCACCACTTGAGTAGCTGAGGTGGCAGGTATGCATCATCACATGTAGCATTTTTTAAAAATTGAGATGGGGTCTTGCTAAATTTTGCCCAGGCTGGTCTTGAGCCAATGTGAGCCTCCCAATTAGCTGGGATTATAGGTGTGAGTCACCTCATCCTGCTTCAGTCCCGCTTCTTTTCTTTTCTTTTTTGTCGGTCATGGGGCCTGAACTCTGGGCCTGAGCGCTGTCCTCAGCTCTTCAGCTCAAGGCTAGCACTCTACCACTTGAGCCACAGCGCCACTTCTGGCTTTTTTCTTTTCTGCTTATGTGGTGCTGAGGAATCGAACCCAGGGCTCAGGCATGCAAGGCAAGTGCTCTACCACTGAGCCACCTTCCCAGCCTAAGCCCAGCTTATTTTCTGATAAGGACAAAATGTTTTCAAGAACATGTTCAATGAATACAGGGATGCTAGTAAGATGAGCAGTTAATAACATACACAAGACAACAAGTAACTGATATTTTAATACACCTATGTGTTGACATAAAAAATTTAATTCAGTGCTACAGCATTGTTTTTCAAAGATTAACATTTACAATTATAGTCAAATAAAACATTATTACAAACCTAGGTTTCTTTAACATTTTTAAATGCTAACCCAACTTTGTTAAGCCTATGAAAATGTTAATTTAAAAAAAAGTATTGACATTCTCCTTAAAATGAAATGTTAATGTGGGTCCCTGTATAAGAAACAGGAAATAAGAGTTGTTCCAGTTAGGGCTCTACACAGCCTTGAATTTCCCTAGTTTTTTTTTTTTTTTTTTGTCAGTCATGGGGCTTGAACTCTGGGCCTGAACGCTGTCCCTCAGCTCTTCAGTTCAAGGCTAGCGTTCTACCACTTGAGCCATGTATTACTTCCAGTTTTCTGGTGATTAACTGGCGTGACCCTCAGATCTCAGCCTCCTGAGTAGCTAGGATTACAGGCGTGAGCTCCTAGGTTAACTTCTTAAGATACAGCATAGACGCAAATGGGGTGTGGGAGGGGCATGGAATAAAGTATTATCTATAAGCTGAAGTTTCTTTTTCAACGAAATAAAGTTAAAGCAAAGGAAGGGTGACACCCCACAAAGAAATGTACTCATTACCTGACTTATGAAACAGCAACCCTTCTGCACAACATCTTAACAAATAACAATAAAATTGTATTTAAAAAATAAGGTTATTCAGTGACCAGCACTTTGTTTTTGTTGAACTCAGGATCTCACACTTGCTATGCAATGTCTCTACCATCTAAGCCATGCCACCAATCCATTTGGTTTTGGTTTGTTTTTCAGTTTGTTTTGAGTTTTTGGCCTTACACTATCATCATCTTCCTCTGCCTTCTATGAGATTATAGGTGTGCACCATCACACCCAGCTTATTTTTGAGATAGGGTCTTCCTAACTTTTGCCTAGCCTGGCTTTCCACTGTGATACTGTCTCTACTAGTGAGTTGCTGGGATTTACAGGTGTGAGCCATTGCCCACAGGTCTCAGTGAGCAGTGCTTTTTAATATTTTTCCTTTCATCCCTTTAGAAAACCTTTTGAACATTAGGTGTTTGAATGGCAGTCACCTTGGGAAGAAACTAATTCTACACTGAGAACCTACTGGATGGGTACCACTGAAGAGGAGCCAAAAAGGGTAAGTTTTTCCTTCTGAGGCACTGTAGACTGAGTCCAGGGCCTCACACATACTAGGAAAATGTTCTACCACTGAGAGAAATCCCCAACATTAATTTTTTTTGAGATGGGGGAGGGTCTCACTATGTTGCTCAGGCTGGTCTTGAACTCACAGGCTAAAGTCATCCTCCTGCCCCAGCTTCCCAGGTAACTGGGACCACAGGAGTGAGTCACTGCACACTGGCATGCTAATGGATTTCCCTTCAGTGCTTAGGATGGAACCTAGGGCCTTGTACATGCTAGGCAAGCTCTCTACCACTGGCTTATTTACCCAGCCCACTGATGATTTCTTTAAAAAAAATCTCTCTCTCTCTCTCTATTTAGCAGGGTTCCAGGAGCTCATGCATGTATTCCTAGCTACTCAGGAGGCTGAAGTCTGAGGATTGAGGTCCAAATCCGGCCTGGACAGACAAATCTGTGAGACTCTTATCTCCAATTAACCAGCAAAAAGCCAGAAATGGAGCTGTGCCTCAAGTGATAGAATCCCAGCCTTGCATGAAAAAGCCAAAGAAGAGCTCAAGGCTCTGAGTTCAAACCCCAGTACTGGAACACACACAAAATAATTCTTAAACATTTTTGCTCATACTAAGAAAAACATTTTCTCATGAATGAATGAAAGCTCAAAACCAAGATGATTCTTTTTTTTTTTTTTTTTGGGTCCAGTTGTGGGGGCCTGAACTCTGGGCCTGGGCGCTGTCCCTCAGCTCTTCAGCTCAAGGCTACCACTCTACCACTTGAGCCACAGCGCCACTTCCGGCTTTTTTTTCTTTTTGCTTATGTGGTGCTGAGGAATCGAACCCAGGGCCTCAGGCAAGCAAGGCAAACACTCTACCACTGAGCCACCTTCCCAGCCCCCAAGATGGTTTTTAAAACAATGTAGCATCCCCATAAAACAAAAGGACTTTCCAAGTACATTCTGCATCCTGAGTCCTGAGGGTGGATGTCCACTGATGGAAAGGCAGCATCCCCATGTGAAGTGTGGGCACCGGTACGATGATGTTCATTCAACACAGGGAAGCTGTGGGGGATGTCAGGGGCCACAGCACTGCCTAAGGTTGCCTGTACTACGAGTTAACAGCACTGAAGAAATCAGGAGCCATGTGGCCTTTAGGTCTGCTGGCAGGACTTACTCCTTAAGGCCCTTTCCTGAGACTCATTTTATATAGATCACCTATTCCTTAAACCTCTGCAGAGTTCCCAGACATTAACAGAGTGCTCCCAATGTGCCATGCTATGTTCTACATGCGTGATGGAGCTGGCTTAGTCCTCAGAACTGCCTTCAGAGGCAGGTGCAATGTTAGTCTCCTTTTACAAAAGAAACCAAGCAAGTTGCCCAAGACTCCACACCTTGACAATGCTGAGCTGGGATGTAAGTCCCTTGCAAGGAAATTCCCTTAGGAAGTCTTCCAAGCATTTGTCTTGGGGAGAGGAGTCTGTCCTAGAAAATCCAAAGACCAGTCAGGAGCCGGTAGCTCATGCCTGTAATCCTGGCTACTCAGGAGGCTGAGATCTGAGGATCGCTGTTCAAAGCCAGCCCGGGCAGCAAAGTCCATGAGACTCTTATCTCCAATAAATGACTAGAAAACCGGAAGTGGCGCTGTGGCTCAAGCGGTAGAGCGCTTGCCTTGAGCTGAAGAGTGCAGGGACAGCGCCCAAGCCAAGAGTTCAAGCCCCACAACAGACAAAAAGAAAAATAAAGAAACTCTGAAGACCTGGAGAGGCTATTTGCTTGCCATACCCCAAGAACATGAGGTCATTCATGTGATGTCATGAATGAATGAGGAGGACAAGATGACTTCTTATCATCCTGAGATAGAGACAGGCTGCCTCCCACCTCCAGTGAAGGTCGCAGAAGATCTGAAATTGTGAAATGCCTGAGTAAACACACTTAACGTTCACACTGCATGCTGCAGGTCAGTAAAACTGTGTCGAAAGTTGCCACTCTACCTCAGACTAGCATAAAAATGGCAGCAAATAAATAGTCGATGGGCTACTTAAAAAAAAAAAGTTTCAAATAAGAGTTTAAGAATAACCTTGGATATCCCAATTCATTACTTTATCATATTCCTGAATTCTTTGCTTTATGTGAGAAAGTTTATTCTTGAGGTAATCACAGCGTTCTTTCTTTTCCAGAAATGAAGGATCCTATAAAAGAAACACAGATGTTACTTCCTGACTTCCAAGCTTCCTCATCAACGAACACAGCCGCCACCCAGAACATGGCTATATGCAGCAGAATTAATGGCAGCCAATTTAAAAGCTCTGCCCAGGGGCTGGGAAGGTGGCTCAGTGGTAGAGTGCTTACCTTGCATGCATGAGGCCCTGGGTTCGATTCCTCAGCACCAAATAAGCAGAAAAAGCCAGAAGTGGCACTGTGGCTCAAGTGGTAGAGTGCTAGCCTTGAGCTCAAGAGCTGAGGGACAGTGCCTAGGCCCAGAGTTCAGGCCCCATGACTGGCAAAAAAAATAAAAAATAAAAATAAATAAAAGGGCTGGGAAGGTAGCTCAGTGGTAGAGTGCTTGCCTTGCAAGCATGACGCCCTGGGTTCGATTCCTCAGCACCACGTAAGCAGAAAAAGGTGGAAGTGGTGCTGTGGCTAAAGTGGTAGAGCACTAGCCTTGAGCTGAAGAGCTGAGGGACAGCACCCAGACCCAAAGTTCAAGCACCATGACTGGCAAAAAAAAAAAAGCTCTGCCCAGTTAGAATAATAGTTAAACTTGCTACTTTTTTTTTTTTTTTTTAAATAGTCAATGTTTTAGGATTCACAGAAAAAATGAGTGGAAAGTCCAATGAACTGAGGCATTTTTAATAGTATGAGGCACAGAAAATAGTAAATAATAAATACAAGAAATAGTGCTAAAGATCTCTCTAGAATCTGTAGATTTGAAAGATTAAGTACAAGAGTTAGAAAGATGTAAAATAGGGAGAACAAAGCAACAAGCGACACTGACCTAGAAACATTGTACTCATAACCTGACTTACAGAATTATAATCCCTTTGCCTTTGTACAACTACATAATAACAATAATGAAAAAAACCCAAAGATGTAAAGAGCCGGGCACCAGTGTCTCATGCTTGTAATCCTAGCTACTGAGGAAGCTGAGATGTGAAGACTGCATTTTGAAGCCAGTTGGGGTAGGAAAGCCTATAAGACCCTTAGCTCTGATTAACTAGTAAGAAGCTGGAATTGTAGCTATGGCTCAAGTGGGAGAGTATTAGCCTTGAGCAGAAAGCTAAGGGAGTTCAAGCCCTAGTACTGGTAAGAAAGAAGGAAGGAAGGAAGGAAAAAAGAAAGAAAGAAAGAAAGAAAGAAAGAAAGAAAGAAAGAAAGAAAGAAAGAAAGAAAGAAAGAAAGAAAGGAAGGAAGGAAGGAAAGAAGGAAGGAAGGAAAGAAAGAAAGAAAGAAAGAAAGAAAGAAAGAAAGAAAGAAAGAAGGAAAGAAAGAAAGAAGGAAAGAAAGAAGGAAAGAAGACAGGAAAGAAGGAAAAAAAGATGTAGAGTAAGTTAGAAGGAAATAAGGAAATTTGGGTGAGGTGGTATATGTCAGTTCATTTCTCTGGGCTGTGAAATTGATAGAGTGTATTCAGGACAGAGACAAAAAAAGGCACCTAGCACTCATTTTCCATTAAGAAATGCAAAAAAGAAATAGGCAGACTTCCTTTGTTAGAGAGAGAAATGTTCAATGAGCCCTACCCAAGCAGATGCAACAAGTACCAACTTACACTATGATTTCATATAAGATATGTGTACGTGTATGCATGTGTATGTGTTAAACTTTAATTTGTGGCCAGGTACCAGTGGCTCATGCCTGTAATCTTGGCCACTCAGGAAGCTAAGATCTGAGGATGGTGGTTCCAAGCCAGTCTGGGGCAGGAAAGTCTATGAGACACTCATCTCCAATAATCCACTCAGAAAAAAGTCAGAAGTAGTGCTGTGGCTCAAGTGGTACAGCACTAGCCTTGAGCAAAAGACACTCAGGGACTGTATCTAGGCATGAATTCAAGCCCCACGACCGACCAAAAAAATAAAAGAAAAGAAAAAAAAAGAAAAAAGAAAAAAAAGGGGCTGGGAAGGCGAGTCAGTGGTAGAGTGCTTGCCTTGCATGCATGAGGCCCTGGGTTCGATTCCTCAGCACCACATAAGCAAAAAGAAAAAAGCCGGAAGTGGCGCTGTGGCTCAAGTGGTAGAGCACTAGCCTTGAGCTGAAGAGTTGAGGAACAGCGCCCAGGCCCAGAGTTCAGGTCCCACGACCGGACCCAAAAAAAAAAAAAAGAAAAGAAAAAAGAAAAAAAAGATTTGTGTATCAGGTACAGGAGAGACTTAGCAATCGCTACTAATAAACTAGAAAAAATTTAGCAATCGCTACTAATAAACTAGAAAAAATTCAACAGAAGATTAGTAAATTGGCAGCATCACTACACTTGTGCTTTGGGGCCATCATAATAAAACCAGGGTGCTGTCAGCATGAGCACCTGCTGCTGGGACAGTCACTTTGGTAACTGAGGTGACTACAAGGTGTCTGGGGGGACAAAGGGGAGGCTGACATCCAGGGCAGGTAGAGTAACAGTGTATTTATCACGTTCCTCAGGATAGTGAACAATTTAGAACTTAGGAATTGTTTCCTTGCTGGTTTCCTCCCTTTGTCCTCAAAGCTAGTGCTCCACCACTTTGAACTACAACTCCATTTCCAGCTTTTCGATCGACAGTTGGAGTTAAGAGTCTCATGGACTTTCTTGCCTGGGCTGGCTATGAACCATGATCCCCAGATCTCAGCCTCCTCAGCTAGGATTACAGGCATGGGCCTCCAGCACCAATAGGAATTGTTTCTTTCTAGAATTTTCTTTTTCTTTGTTCTTTTTTTTTTCTGCTTATGTGGTTCTGAGGAATCTAACCCAGGGCCTCATGCATGCTAGGGAAGCACTCTACCACTGAGCCACCTTCCCAGTCCTCTTTCTAGAATTTTCTACCAATGTTTTCAGATCATGGTTGATCATGGGTAATTAAACCTTAGAGAGCACATGGAAAAAGCTAAGAGAATTTAAAATGAGCTGGAAGCCAGTGCTTCACGCCTGTAGTCCTTGCTACTCAGGAGTCTGAGATCTAGGGATCACAGTTCAAACTCAGCCTGGGCAGCCCAAGGAGGAAAGTTTGTGAGACTCTTATCTCTAATAAGCTACTCAGAAAAAGTGGCACAATGGATCAAGTGGTAGAGACCTAGCCTTGAGCAAAAGAAGCTGAGGCACAGTGTCCAGGCCCTAAGTTATGCCCTAGGACTGGTTAAAAAGAAAAAAAAAGTGCATCAGTGATCACCAATGTACCTGGATAAGAATACACTTTCCAGAAGAAAATAGTTTTACTCACATGCTTTTTTCTGTTAAACTCTTCATGGATTCTTGAAATTCTCTCATGTTCCTAAAAATAATATAGTATTTGAGTTAAAACATTTGCATTTACTCAAATCATGTCTGAAAACACACTAGAAATAAGAACACTATTTTACCTCAAACTGTAATAGAGACATTAATATAAAAATATAATTTACTGGACATGTCTTTGTGTATCTACACTTATGAGATGCTAGGCCCCACAGTAAGCAGAAGGGAAAAGGCTACGCCTGCACAAAACCAGACTTCAGTCCCACTGGCAATACTTCTTGCCTGGGTAGTGCTAGATAGAAAATTTAACCTAACTACCCACTACCCGTGTGTGTGTGCCTGTGTGTGCGTGTGTGTGTGTGTGTGTGTACTGGGGCTTTAACTCCAAGCCTTGTGCTATTCAGTCCCACTGACAATACTTGTTGCCTGGGTAGGTAGCGCTAGATAGAAAATTTAACCTAACTACCCGTTTGTGTGTGTGTGTGCGTGTGTGTATGTGTGTGTATGTGTGTGTGTGTGTGTGTGTGTGTGTGCGTGTGTGTACTGGGGCTTTAACTCCAGGCCTTGTGCTCTTGGTTACCTTTTTTTTTTTTGGGTCCGGTCCTGGGGCCTGAACTCTGGGCCTGGGCACTGTCCCTCAGCTCTTCAGCTCAAGGCTAGTGCTCTACCACTTGAGCTACAGTGCCACTTCCAGCTTTTTTCTTTTTGCTTATGTGGTGCTGGGGAATTGAACCCAGGGCCTCAGGCATGCAAGGCAAGCGCTCTACCACTGAGCCACCTTCCCAGCTCCTCTTGGTTAGCTTTTTCCACTCAAGGCTGGCACTCTACCATTTGAGCCACAGCTCCAGTTCTGGCTTTTTGCTGCTTAATTAGAGATAAGAGACTCATGGACTTTTTTGCCTAGGCTGGCTTTGAATTGCAATCCTCAAACCACAGCCTCTTAAATAGTTAAGACTTATAGATCTGAACTATTGGTGCTCAGCACACAGCCATCCTTAAGTGGTTGCAAAAGAGATTCACTTACTTGAAACAATGCTCAGCACAGGGCTGGGGGTGTGGCTCATGTGGCAGAAGGCCTTCCTAGGAAGCACCAATAGCTATTATCATTCTAGTCTATTCTCTTTTTCTTTTTTTGCCAGACCTGGGCACTGTCCCAGCCTTGAGCTTCATTTGCTCAAGTCTAGCACTATACCACTTCAGCCAGGTAACTACATCCAGCTTTTTCTGTTAATGTGGTACTAAGGAATAAAAATCCAGGGCTTCATGCATGCTAGGCAAGCACTCTACGACTAGGTCACATTCCCAGCCCTCCATTCTATTTTGAAAGTTCTCTTTCAAGTAATTAGGTATCAGGATTCAGAGATGGAAGCATCCAACTTTTGAAAGCAGCCAATGTAAGGTTTCTTCTAATTTTATTCGTAGTAAATACAGAATTTATAAAGGGGTTGAATGTCTCTACTAGGAACACATTATTAAAGCAATGACCAAATTTACCCATGCAAGCCACTCAATAAAGCTAATAACTTGGAGTTCTAAAGGTGTCTACTGAGAATTCTCTACTAGCCTACACCCTTTCCTCAGTGCATTTTAATTTCTCACTATCTAGTGTTGACTAAATGCTTGAATATCATTTTGTCTGGTCACTTGCCAGCACCGAGAATAACCTGATGATTCAGGTAATGCATAATAACAGGTCTTGAGCCAGGAATAAACTAGCTGCCAGGATTGTGGTGTTGCCTGAAAATGCAGGCATAGATGATGGCTATAAAAATCTACCCTACTCTGTCACAATCACTGAATATAAGAGCTGGTGAGCTTGTACTGTAATTCTAGCTACATAGAAGGCTGAGATCTGAGGTTTGAAGTTTGAAGCCAGACCCTAGGAAAGTCTGTGAGACTCTTATCTCCAATTAACCATCAAAAAGCTGAAAGTAACAGAGGAACTGTTCAAAAAGAAATATAGTCACTGGATGCCGATGGCTCACACCTGTAATTCTAGCTACTCAGGAGGCTGAGATCTGAGGATGACGGTTCAAAGGCAGCCTGGGCAGGAAAATCCATTAGATTCTTATCTCCAATAAACCACCAGAAAACCAAAGTCACACTCTGGCTCAACTGATAGAGCACTAGCCTTGAGCTGAAGAGCTGATGGACAGTACCCAGGACCAGAGTTCAAGTCCCATGACTGAAAAAAGAAAAAAAAAGAAATGTACTCATTGTTTGCCTAGCATGCATGAAACCCTGAGTTTGATTCCTGAGTACCACATGAACAGAATAAGCCAGAAGTGGTGCTGTGGCTCAAGTGGTAGAGCACTAGCCTTCAGCCCAGAAAGTCTTAGGGACAGAGCCCAGGTCCTGAGTTCAAGCCCCAGGACCAGCAAGGAAAAAAAAAAAAGAAAGAAAAGAAATGCACTCATTACCTGCCTATGTAACTGTAACCCCTCTGCGCATCATCTTTACAATAAAAATCTTTTTTTTTTTTTTTTTGGTCAGTCATGGGGCTTGAACTCTGGGCCTGGGCGCTGTCCCTCAGCTCTTCAGCTCACAGCTAGCACTCTACCACTTGAGCCACAGAGCCACTTCTGGCTTTTTTTCTTTTTGCTTATGTGGTGCTGAGGAATCGAACCCAGGGCCTCATGCATGCAAGGCAAGTGCTCTACCACTGAGCCACCTTCCCAGCCCCTACAATAAAAATCTTTTAAAAAGCTGGAAGTCAAGCTGTAGCTCAAGTGGTAGCGTACTAGGTAAGGGATGGCACTCAGGCCCTGAGTTCAAGCCCAAATAAAGGCACCAAAAAAGAGGTGGTGAGGGCCAGAGGAACTATTTGATTTGGAGCATTATTCCTATTTTCCTGGCACGGGAAAGCCTTGTGCTTGTTTTATTTTTCAAGAGTTCACCATGCATGAGAAATCCTGTGTTTTCCAACAAGCCACAGGCTGCAAATGTCTGTCTCAGGCTTCCTGGTGGAGTCAGGAAGAGCCTTGCAAAGTGTCGTCCAGGCAAGGATCAGCCTACGCCTAGGAGAAGTTAACTTAGTACTAGAATTAATATTTCTACTTTAGACAATGACTACAGAAAATAATAGAATAGTAATATCAGTGGGACTGTCATTTTGGTGACTTTGATTGCTTTGTCACTTTCAAAATCAGGGCCGAGGATCAAGGTGCTAGGCTGGAGATGCACATGGTGACTCTGTGCAGGAACATTCATGGAAGGAAGTATCTCAACCCCCACTGCAACCATGACCTCTTCCACTCAACAGCTGCAGACAAAGCATACCAGCCCGGGCCACTGAGCCCAGGCTGCAATGCCCAGCATCCTTTTCCTCCAACAGCCTGCCTGTCTGCCTGCCTGTTCTTCCCAAATTTTGCTGTTCCTGATGCCTGAGGTCTGCTTCTTGTTGTTGTTTTTAGTCTGTTGTGGGGCTTGAACTCAGGGCTCGGGCACTGTCCTCAAGCTTTTTTGCTTAAGGCTAGCACTTGATGACTTGAAGCCACAGTTTTACCTTGAATTTTTAGGTGGTTAATTGGAGATAAATCTCATAGACTTTCCTGCAAAGTCTGGCTTTAAACTGCAATCTTCAGATCTTAGCCTCCTGTATAGGTGTGAGCCACTGATGCCTGGCGTGCATGCGTGCGTGTGTGTGTGTGTGTGTGTGTGTGTGTGTGTGTGTGTGATTGTAGCATTGCTAATCAAACCCAGGACCTTAGGTGAGCCAGGTAAGGATTCTACTACAGAGCCACACTCCCCACATCTGAGTGATAATTTTAACTAGTCACCCTGGAGATCTTTCCTAGACACAGACAGTAGACGGAGATGGCTAGAAACTGTCGCAATGGTCGGCTCCCACTGGTGCTCTGAGTGTTAGTGCTCCTTGTGGCAGCGGTGCACTGACCTGGCGGTTTTCCGAGTGATGCGGCAACCTGTTCATCACCGCGTCCAGCTCATCAAGCTTCCTCAGCACAGCTTGCACTTCTGCTGACAGCTCTTTGTACTCGGAAAACTGGTCTTGGAACACAGCTTTGTAACGTTCGCGATCATCATCCGTGTGAATTACAGGATATTTTCTGAGGAGAAAAAAAAAATGGGTTTAGCTTAGTCTTCACTAACCACATGCAACCGTCAGTTAACTTGTTACCCTTGGAGGGCAAACTCCTTATGATTACAGTAACTCGGAGACAAGCAGGAAGGCCTGGCCTGGTACTCACGCCACGTAGTCCGGCATCACCACAGGTTTGGGGATGTGGCCTGGGGGGATGTGGCTACTCAGCAGTTCTGGCTTCATTTTTGTTTTTCTCAATTCTGTGAAATTTCCTTCAGGGTCTCTCTGTCTGTCAATGGTGGCCACTTCACACTGCAAGTAGAAGAACAAGGACTGATGTGTAATCAGGAGCAAGAAAAAAAAAAGAGAGAAAAAAGCTACTGACATTTCCTTGGGAGAAAATGGGGAGGGGACAGGAAGAAGGACATTGCAAGGAACATCTCACTTGACAATGGCATGGTTTTAGCCATGAAAATGTTATGGTGGCTCCTGTAAAAACAACACAGAAGTACACAACAGGGAAAAATATGCTCTGCCTCCAATCATATCAGAAGTGGGTGAAGAGGGAGGGCTGGGTTAGCTCCCTAGAAGAACACTTGGCTTCTGTGCTCTGGGTTTGATCCTCAGTACACAGTGCATACATGCACACACAATGATGATGGAAATGTCAAGTGAGAGCTCTTTGTGTGGCTCTAAAGTTCCTGCTTTGGCCTAGTGATAGGACAAGAGGAAATGCTTTGGAAAAGGAAAGGTCCTTGAAAGATAACATTTTATCTTCAACTTGTTTCTTTTCAAGATCGAAGGGATTAAGGCAAAACTCAGGTTGTTTAAGAAATGGCTGAGAAAGCCAAGCGCTGGTGGCTCACGCCTGTAATCCTAGCTACTCAGGAGGCTGAGATCTGAGGATCGTGGTTCAAAGCCAGCCCGGGCAGGAGAGACCGTGAGACTCCTATCTCCAATAAACCACCAGAAAACCGGAAGTGGCGCTGTAGCTCAAGTGGTAGAGCGCTCGCCTTGAGCTGAAAAGCTGAGGGACAACGCCCAGGCCCAGAGTTCAAGCCCCACGACCGACAAAAAAAAAAAAAAAAAAAAAAAGAAATGGCTGAGAGTTCCTGTATATACTGTTAATCTTTGTTTTTTTTGTCAGTCATGGGGCTTGAACTCTGGACCTGGGTTCTGTCTCTGAGCTTCCCCCCCAACCCCCGCCCCCCTGCCAGTCTTGGGGATTGAACTCAGGGCCTGGGCTCTGTCCCTGAGCTTCTTTTGCTTCAAGGCTAGAACTATACCTCTTGAGCCACAGCACTTCTAGTTTTTTCTGTTTATGTGGTACTGAGGAATCAAACCCAGGGCTTCATGCATACTAAGCCACATTCCCAGCCCTCCCTGAGCTTTTTTGTTCAAGGTTAGTACTCTACCACTTGAGCCACAGCACCACTTCAGGTTTTCTGGTAGTTAACTGGAGATAAGAGTCTCATGGAAGCCTGGCACCAGTGGCTCATGCCTGTAATCCTAACTACTCAGGAGGCTGAGATCTGAGGATCGTGGTTCAAAGCCAGCCGGGGCAGGAAAGTCTGTGAAACTCTTATCTCCAATAAACTGCCAGAAAACCGGAAGTGGCGCTCTAGCTCAAGTGTTAGAGCGTTAGCCTTGAGCTGAAGAGCTGAGGGACAGCACTCAGGCCCAGAGTTCAAGCCCCATGACTGACAGAAAAAAAAAGAGTCTCATGGACTTTCCTGTCTGGACTGGTTTTGAGCCTTTGATCCTCAGATCTCAGCCTCCTTAATAGCTAGGATAATAAGCATGAGCTTCTGGAGATACATATTTGCTCAATGTTAGTGCTCTATGATTTGAGCCACAGCACCACTTCAGGTTTTCTGGTAGTTAACTAGAGATAAGAGTCTCACGGACTTTGGTGCTCAGGCAGCCTTGAACCACAGATCTCAGCCTCCTGAGTAGCTAGAATTACAGGTGTGAGCCACTGGCACCCGGCTATCTATCTATCTATCTACCTACCTACCTATCTACCTACCTACCTACCGACCTACCTACCTACCTATCTATTGATCGATCTCTCATCTATAGAAGCAGAAGTGGAATGTAATTCAAGAGTGCTAGCCTTGAGCAAAAAGCTCAGAGACAGCACCTAGGCCCTGAGTTCAAGCCTCATGACTGGTATCTTTCTCCCAAAAGAAAGAAAAACAAGCAGATCTACCGCCACAAAAAACAAAAAACCTTGTCTGATCTTAGCCTTTGTAAATGGAGGAGGACTTGCTGGGACTATCTACAGAGCATAGATAACATGTGTGTGTGTGTGTGTGTGTGTGTGTGTGTGCGCGCGCGTGTGTGTGTGTGTGAGAGAGAGAGAGAGAGAGAGAGAGAGCTGGACTAGCACTCTACCAATTGAAGCAAAGTACTACTTCTAGCTGTTTTGGTAGTTTAGTAGAGATAAGAGTCTCATAGACTTTCCTGCCCAGGATGGTTTTCAATCTCGATCCTAAATTCTCAGCCTCTTGAGTAGCTAGGATTACAGGTGTAAGCCACCAGTGTTTGGCTCTATGTTTAGTTTTTTGAGCAACCTCCAACTACTTTCCAGAATGGTTGTAGTAGTTTACATCCCACCAACAGTGGTTTTCAGGTACTATATATAAGTGAATAAGGAGAAGGAGCCTGTATATGAGACTGTATCTTGTCCTAAAGATAAACCTGTCCTAAAGTTCCAGAAGTCATAGAAGTACATTGGAAGAGTCTGTAGAGATAGGATAAGCAGGCTGTAAAGAAATAAGATCTCTGGGCTTAGGAATAAGATTCTTTAGTTTAGCAGAGGAAAATCCTTCTTCTCTCCAGTAAGGCCTTAAATGCACTCATGCCATTCAGTATATGTCATGTGGAAAATGACCTATGTAATTTGTGGGCAGGGAGGGGTGGGGGAGGGGAATATAAAGGAAGGGGTGGTATTGTCCACAAAAAGAAATGTACTCATTACTGACTTATGAAATGGTTGCGCCTCTGTACAACACCAATAATAAAAATTATTTTTTAAAAAAGAAAAAAACAAAATACGAAACAGGATTTTGACATTTTGCTCTCTATCTTGCCAAGAAAGCTTTTCAAGTCTTGTTTTCCCAACTTCCCTGCTACTGACTAGCTTGGAAGTTTGGTTTAACATTATGTCATTCTCAAACCACCAGCTCTGAACTCATCAAAGACACAGCTAGGGACTGAAGGAGGAAGAGGCGTCTCATGCCTCACCAGCCCAGGTGACAGGTACGGAATGGAGAAGCTCTGCACACAACTGGAGCAAACTAGATGATCTCTATCTGGAGGAAGAAAGGGTGCTGAGCCACTGGAGCTCAAAGCAGGGAAAGAAAGCATTGCTACTAAACAAGGCTCTTAAAAGAATGGTTATGGGTTAGCCTGTGTTCAGCTGTGTTCTCAGATGGTCAGGAATCACTTCATCTGAATTAATTCCTGTAGCTTCAGTCTGGAAACGAATCATGGTAGATGTTGACACACTTCCTAAGGCATTGTTGGTTTTGGTTTTTTGCGCAGGTACTAAAGCACTGTTAAGAGTGTGTGGAAGTCAGTTTTGCTTCAGAGTTGAAAGTGGCATAAAACTTCTACATGACAATCTACATCAAAATAAAATAAAAATGTATATCCTGTTGAGACAGAAATTTGCCTCTTAGATTACCTGTCAGGTATACTTGTAACATAAACGGAATGAGGTATGTAAGGATATATACTTACATGTATAAAGTTTTCCTCTGTAGTAATTGTGTGTGTGTATCCCAGTATCAGGGCCTGGACACTGTTCCTGAGCTTTTTTGCTCAAGGATAGTGCTCTACCACTTGAGCCATAGTTCCATTTCTAGCTTTTTTGGGTGATTAATTGGAGATAAGAGTATTAGGAACTTTTCTTATCTTGGCCTTCGGAGTAGCTAGGATTACAGATGTGAGCCACCTGTGCCTGGCTGTAGTAATGTATTTTTGTTTTGTTTGCTGGTGTGAGAGACTGAATCCAGGACCTTGTACATACAGACAAACCCTTAATTACTGAGCTACATCCCCAGCCCTGTACAGTGTATGTAACAGTGAAAGGTTATAAAGCAATTTACCTATTCATTTGTAGCTAACTGATAAGACATCCGTACAATCTAGTAGCATCTAGTTATAAAACTACAAAGACTCAGCGGGGCGTCTGTGGCTCATGCTTGTAATCCCAGTTACTCAGGAGGCTGAGATCTGAGGATCACTGTTCAAAGCCAGCCTGGACAGAAAGGTCTGTGAGACTCTTATCTCCAGTAAAACACCAGAAAACTGGAAGTGGCACTGTGGCTCAAGTGGTAGAGTGCTAGCCTTGAGCTGAAGAGCTGAGGGACAATGCCCAGGCCCAGAGTTCAGGCCCCATGACTGACCAAAAAAAAAAAAAAGACTACAAAGGCTCTTTATGTATTAAGGAAATACTCTAGAAATATATTAAGTGCAACAAATGAGATATAAATTATATATCTCATGCTAGTCTTTATATAAAAGGGAGAAGAGACACATGTCTCATATTTCTGAAAGGAAACAAAGATTGTGATAACCACCACTAGGTAGGGGAACTGGGAAGCCAGAAGCAGAAGTGAGAGAAGACTATATTACAGACCTTTGGAATGGTTTTTTCTTCTACTGTCAGGATTAAAAGGCTTCAACTAATGGTCTTTCTTACTCATAGCTGGTGCTGTACGGTTTAAGCTATGCCTTCTGCCCAGCATTTTGTTGCTTAATTGAAGAGGGAGGTTTACAGAGCTTTCTGCTTACAGTGGCTTCAAACTAAAATCCTCTAATCTCAGTCTCTAAGTAGCTAGTATTACAGGTGAAAGCCATTGGTGCTTGGCGTGTGTGTGTGTGTGTGTGTGTGTGTGTGTGTGTGTGTGTATGTGTGTGTGTGTGTGTGTGTGTGAGAGAGAGAGAGAGAGAGAGAGAAAGAGAGAGAGAGAGAGAGAGAGAGAGAGAGAGACAAGGTCTCAAGATGTAACAAAGGCTGCTTTTGATCCTTCTGCCTCAGCCTCCAGATGTTGGGATTATAAGCATGTACTTTTTCAATGAAGGGAATAGAATTACTTTTCAAGTAAAGAAATTGAAAGGTTAGCATTTCAATTTCTTCTTTAGAAATTATGTCCAGTATGTGAAAAAGAAACATCCAGTATTTGGACTGGGAATATGGCTTAGTGGTAGAGTGCTTGCCTAGCATGCATGAAGCCCTTAGTACCACATAACCAGAAAAAGCCAGAAATGGCACTGTGACTCACATGGTAGGGTGCTAGCCTTGAGCGAAAAGAAGCTCAGGGATGATGCTTAGGCCAAGTTCAAGCCCCAAGACTGTCAAAAACCAAAAACAAAAAAGAAAGAAAGAAATATCCAGATTTCTTCAACAAGGGTAAAATTATTATTAAAATATATACATGTACAAACAGTTATGATATCTGTATTTCACTGAATCCTCCCAGCAAACTCAAACTTGGGGGGGAGATAGATTATTATTACAATTTTATAAATGAAACAGGATAGCTGTGAAAGTTATTAAATCATTGAATAAAAATTCCCTGATACAACATTTGGTATCTGAAAGAAAGCTTGAGGCATACAGAAAGGAATAGCAAAGGGAAATTAGGAAAATTCTGGAAAGTTACTTTCGTTTAAAACACTAAATTAAAAAAACAAACCCACTAAATTTTAATCATACAAGGAACACCGACTGTACTTATTTACATAATCTTTCATGCAACAAAATAAAAGGAGGTGTAGGTATTGGGTCCTTTTAAAATTAGAGAAACACTGGAAGTCCTGATATGAAATCAATGAAATAGGTGGATTGAAATAGATGGATTCTGGGCTGGGAATGTGGCTTAGTGGTAGAATGTTTGCCTGGCATGCATGAAGCCCTGGGTTCAATTCCTCAGTACCACATAAACAGAAAAAGCTGGAAGTAGTACTGTGGCTCAAGTGGTAGAGTGCTAGCCTTGAGCAAAAGCAGCTCAGGGACAGTGCCCAGGCTTTCAGTTCAAGCCCCAGAACTGGCAAAAATAAAAATAAAAAAAATCAAAGGATTCTACTATGCAGAGAAATAGACAAGAGAAAAGTTATTTCCTAAATCTAGACATATAAAGCACAATGTGAATGAAACTTTATTCTTACCAGTTTCCTTTTTGATGGGAATGATGCCTCATTGATCTGGAAAAAGAAGAGTGACAATGAATTTTGAAAGGCATGTATGTGACTTTGCACATTTGTCTAGAAGCTGATCCTCTTTGCTATGGTTGCTTTTCCTCCTCTCTCTCTGGAGTGGGAATGAGGGCAGTACGGCTCCCTGTCACAGGAGAACGCTGAGGACTCACAGGTACAAGGCTGACACTGTTAGGTAAGCTGCTTGAATTACCTAGACACTTTATTCCTTCCTGGCTCTCTTACCCTGAACAATTCAAATGGCTACCCTATAAAATTTCTAGAAAAAAAAAAAGTCAAAAGATCATCACATCTTTGAACCTTTAGGAAGTAACAGTAACAGATAAATTGGAACAATTTTCACTAGCATGGAAAATTCAAGTCTCATTAAGTATGGAAAATCTTTATAGAGAGGAGTTTTTGTTAAGAAAGGAAAAAAGTGGGCTGGGAAGGTGGCTCAGTGGTAGAGCGCTTGCCTTGCATGCCTGAGTCCCTGAGTTCGATTCCTCAGCACCACATAAGCAAAAAGAAAAAAGCCGGAAGTGGCGCTGTGGCTCAAGTGGTAGAGCACTAGCCTTGAGCTGAAGAGCTGAGGGACAGCGCCCAGGCCCAGAGTACAAGCCCCACGACCGGACCCAAAAAAAAAAGAAAGGAAAAAAGTATTATGTTAATAGTTGTAAGCACATTAATGTAGAAGATAGAGATAATAAGAGTTAATGTATTAGACAGAGATAATAAGATTTAGTGATTTATATTAAGCTACTATAAAACTACCAGGAAGAATGTGTCATTAGCTGAATTTCACTTTAGATTTTAAAATTCTTTGGTTTGTACCTAAAAACACAAATTGAAGGAATATGCTTGAAGTGCTGAGATAAATCTTTAGAAGTAACTTGAATCCATGTAGACTTAGGCCAGGCATCGTGACATATGCCTGCAATGTTAGTCCTGGGGAAGCTGAGGTGGGAGAATCATGAACTCAAGGCTAGCCTGGGTTAGTTAGTAAGATTCTGTGTAAGGCATCGCTCAGGTGGTAGACCACCTGCTTAACAAGTACAAGTAACACACACAACACACACACACACACACACACACACACACACACACACACACACACACACAGTAACAATAGAAAGTAAAAACGTTACAATATATTAAGGCTCTTTGGATAACATTTCTTTTCTCTTTTTCTTGCCAGTCATGGCGCTTGAACTCTGGGCCTGGGCGCTGTCCCTCAGCTCTTCAGCTCAAGGCTAGCGCTCTACCACTTGAGCCACAACACCACTTCCAGCCTTTTCTGCTGATGTAGTGCTGAGGAATCGAACTCAGGGCCTCATGCATGCGAGGCAAGCGCTCTACCCCTGGGCCACCTTCCCAGCCCCTGGACAGCATTTCACAACAGGCACTCGTTAGAAAGCTATCTGCCACCGTTACTGCCACGGATGTGTGGGAAGCACGACCCACGGCCTGCGCAGGGCGTCCTGCAGGAGAGGGCGGCTTACCTCCTGCTGCTCCAGGCACTCGCGATGCCTCCGCGCCGCCTCGTGCCTCCACAGCTTCAGGCACACGAGGGCGCCCACCAGGTACACGATCATGGTGACAAACAGGAAGATGATGGCTGCTATCTGTCCTCCTTCCACCCGGCAGAACGCGGCGTTCATGGGGGTGTTGAAGAGCGGGTAGTAGCAGAGCCCGCCTCGGTTGGTGTCGTTCACGTAGACGATGGCCGCAGCCATGTACAAGACGAACAAGGCCACGTTGATTCCGAACTCCGTCAGGGGCCACCAGCTCGAGTCCAGAAGAATGGTCCGGTAGTACACGGACATGCCAAGGACCAGCACGATGAGGGTGGCGATCCACGCCACGCCGGCCACCACCAGCACGAAAGGGGTCTTGGGCCCGCTGTAGTAATAGCCCCCGTACGCACTGCCCAGGCCCCCCAGGCCCCCCGCGCCGTAGGGCTGCGAGTAGCCGAACAGGTTGTACCACTCGCTGTCCTTGTGGATGTACGCCGTGACGCAGGCGAAGACGCCCGCGCCCAGCAGCAGCTCCGCCACGCCGAGCATGCGCAGCAGGCCGGCCCACGACTTCATGTAGGCGTAGCGCAGCCGGTAGGCCTCCACCTGCTCGCTGTACGTCCGCGCCGTCGGCGTGCGTCCGTCCACCGAGCCATAGGGGTCGCGGGGGAACGCCACGCTGGCCTCCCTCCGGGAGGGGCAGGTGCCTTGCGAGCCCCTGGAAGGATCCGTGGGTGAGTGGTGGCGATCGGGTCTCCCCGGAGAGGCTGGAGGCGAACACGGCACGCCGTCGGAGATGCACCCGGTGTCAGAGTCGGCCCGCTCCCATCCCCGGTCCTTTCTCTTCCCTCTGAAGAAGTCCTTCCAGGAATCGGGGACAAAGCGCCTGACGGGTTTGAGGTCGGGCGCGAGGGCGGGTTCCTCCGTGTCACTGGAGTAGAAGTCCGGGCCGAAGGGCGGCTGCGCCGGGAGCGGGGGAGGGGGCAGGGGGTCGGCGCTCACCGCCAGCTCGCCGGCCTGGAGCGTCTCCAGGGGCCTCAGGGTGCCATCTCCAGAGGGCGAGTCCCGGGGCACCTCGCTGTAGCCCCTGTCTCGAGTCTTGGCTCTTCCACCATTGGACGACATTTGTGGTGCCACACCTGCGGCCAAGACTAAAGTTACACGCCTGCTTATTGCTAGGGACGCCGACTTGACCCACAGAGTGAGGTCTCATTATGCTGATAGACAGAGGTGATAAAATAAGCATGCACACTCTGAAAGCACTTCATAGATTACCCAACAGTGTAATTTGTAGTCACTGTTACCGGTAAGGTAATAAGAACATTTCTTGTCAAACTTGTTACCCCTTTCACTGTCATTTTGTTTTGTTTTGTTTTTTGCAAATTTTTATTGTGATTAAGTGATTCCATAAATTTCACGGTATTGTGAGATAGTGATACTTAAAGTCATAAACACATTCTAACCTTCATGGGACAAATTGTCTTTATCGTGGTCTAGAGTTCTATGAGTTTTGACAATACAGTTATTCCACATCGGGTGATATGAACATTTCTTTCCTTTTGCTTATTTCACTGTCATTTTAAAGCATGCACTGTATATTTGGGGGGAGGCAATACTGGGGTTTGAACTTATGTTCTTGTGCATGCTAGGCAGGGGCCTTACCACTTGAGCCATGCCCCCAGCCCTCAGTAAAATAAAAGTTTTATATCTTAGTTTTAAATTGTATATGATACAATATTTACCCATGAGCTCTGTAAATAACAAAATATAAAAAACAAAATTGACAAAATTTACATGATGTGGGATGATAGCATGTTCTCAAGTCCTTTCCTCAGACATTTAAGTAAAAAGAAAATGTGTGCATACCAAAACTTGATGAGTCAGCAAATACTCTTCATTTTTTTTTTTTTTTTTTCCATTAACTTGCATCTGTTTTGGAATGGTTACGAGCTGTGACAGCCCAACAAGCAAAAAGCCCCTCCCTATCTAAAGTAAAGAAGTCAGTTCATTGGTCTTGCTTACTTTCCTCTAAACTGTTACACTTGTTATTAGATTTTAATATTAAAAATTATTAATTAGCTGGAAGCCAGTGGCTACTCAGGAGGCTGAGAACTGAGGATTGCAGTTCAAAGCCAGCCCGGGCAGAAAAGGCTGTGAGATTCTCTTCTCTAACCACCAGAAAACTGGCAGTAGTGCTGTGGCTCAAAGTGGCAGAGTGCTAGCCTTGAGCAAAAAGAGCTCAGGACCTGGAGGCTGGCTCATGCCTGTAATCCTAGCCACTGTACTAAGGAGGATGAGATCTGAGGATCACAGTTTGAAGCCAACCCTGGGCATAAAAGTCCCCATGAGATTCTTTTTTTTTTGTCGGTCATGGGGCTTGAACTCTGGGCTTGGGCGCTGTCCCTGTGATCTTCAGCTCAAGGCAAGCGTTCTACCGCTTGAACCACAGCGCCACTTCCAGTTTTCTAGTGGTTTATTGGAGATAAGAGTCCCATGGACTTTTCCTGGACTATCCTGCCTGGGCTGGTTTGAACAGCAATCCTCAGATCTCAGCCTCCTGAGTAGCTAGGATTACAGGTGTGAGCCACTGGCGCTGGATCCCATGAGATTCTTATCTACAACTAACCACTCAAAAACCAGAAGTGGGCTGGGAAGGTATCCCAGTAGTAGAGCGCTTGCCTTGCATGCTTGAGGCCCTGGGTTCAATTCCTTAGCACCACATAAGCAGGGGGGAAAAAAGCCAGAAGTGGTGCTGTGGCTCAAGTGGTAGAGTGCTAGCCTTGAGCTGAAGAGCTGAGGGACAGCGCCCAGGCCCAGAGTTCAGGCCCTACGACCGGACTCCCCCCCTCCCCATAAAAAGAAAAGCCAGAAGTGGTGCTGTGGCTCAAGTGGTAGAGCAATAGCCTTGAGCACAAAGAAGTTCAGGGACAGTGTCCAGGCCCTAAGTTCAAGCCCCAAGACCAACAACATCAACAAAAAGTTTAAGTCCAGGGCTAGGAAGGTGACTCAGCGGTAGAGTGCTTGCCTTGCACGCATGAGGCCCTGGATTCGATTCCTCAGCACCACAAAACAGAAAGAGCTGGAAGTGGCGCTGTGGCTCAAGTGGTAGAGCACTAGCCTTGAGCTGAAGAGCTGAGGGACAGCGCCCAGGACCAACCAAAAAAACAAAAAGTTTAAGTCCAAAACAGGGTACTGGTATAATCCCAGAAGGGAGTTTTAGGGTGTTCTAACAGGGTACTCCAATCCTGAGAGAGAAACTTTCATAAATAGATCTTTAAATGATAGCAGTTATTTTTGTCCCTTTTATTTTTCTTGTCCAAAGGCTTTAAATAACAGAAATGTATAGAACCTAGTTAGGTTTGTGTGTATACACACACACACACACACACGTGCTGGTACTTGGGGTTGAACTGAACTCTGGGCCTGGAGACTGTCTCTTAGCTATTTCACTCTAGGCTAGTGCTCTACCATTTGAGCCACAGCTCCATTTTCAGCTTTTTGGTGGCTAATTGAAGAGCTTCACAGACTTGACCTGGGTGGGCTTCAAACTGTGATTCTCAGAACTCAGCTTCCTGAGTTGCTAAGATTATAGACCTGAACCAGCGCCTGACGTAAAACTAGTTTAAAAATGTATTATTAAGGTATGGGAAGGTGGCTCAGTGGTAGAGTGCTTGCCTTGCATGCATGAGGCCCTGGGTTTGATTCCTCAGCACCACATAAGCAGAAAAAGCTAGAAGTGGCGCTGTGGTACCCTTGAGCTGAATAGCTGAGGGACACAGCTGACAGGCTTAGAGTTCAGGCCCCACTTCCGACCAAAAAACAAAAAGTATTATTAAGAAATGGAGAGCAAGCCGGGCGCCGGTGGCTCAGGCCTGTAATCCTAGCTACTCAGGAGGCTGAGATCTGAGGATCGCGGTTCAAAGCCAGCCAGGGCAGGAAAGTCCGTGAGACTCTTATCTCCAATAAACTACTAGGAAGCCAGAAGTGGCGCTTGGCTCCAGCGATAGAGCGCTCGCCTTGACTTGAAGAGCTGAGGGACAGCGCCCAGGCCCAGAGTTCAAGCCCCACGACAGACAGAAAGAAAAAGAAGAAAAAGAAATGGAGAAAGCACATGAGCAACCTTCGCACCGTTCACACAACGCTGCTCACATCTACAATGCGCAGGCATTTCTAGGACACTCCATGGCTGGAAAGTAGGTTCCCCGTGTTGGGGCTTGGCGTTAACGCGCCCTGGGGTCAGGTACCCCGCACCCCGGCGGGGCCCCGGTCCGCTCGACGCCGGTCCTGCGCACCGCCGCCCGCGCTGCCCCGCTGGGGGTCCGGCTCTGCCGGTACTCCGCGGGCAGGCATTGTGGTTCCCGATCCCGCCCCGAAGTGGCCGGAACTCAGTCCGGCCAGGGACGGAAGGGTTAGAACCGGGCGAGGAGCGGCGCCACCCCGCGCCCGGAAGCCGGGCGGCGGAAGGCACCTGCGGCTGACCGAAACCCTCAGGTGCGCCGGCCCCGCGCGCCCCGCCCCGCCCCGCCCGCGTAGCGCAGGGGTCCCCACGGGGTCCCGGCAGCCCGACCCAAGGGTCTGAGGCGAGCCACGAGGGCTGGGGTCGGCGGCGCGTGCCCACCCTCCGCTCGCCCGGCCCGCGCCCTCCCGCCACCGCCACGAGCCCCTCCCCTGCCGCCCCACTCACCTGCGCGGCCGGGGAAGAGCGCACGCCGCCGCCGCCGCCGCCGCCCGCCGCGGGCACCGAAACCGCCGGGCTCCAGGGGCGGGGCCGGGCCGGGCCGGGCGGGCGGGGCGTCTGCGAGCCCCGGCCCCGCCCCGCCCGGCTCTCAGCGCCCTCCGGGCTCGGGCTGCACCTGGTCCGGCCCCTCCGCTGCTCACACCGCTGACAACTGCGCACTGGCAAGGCTGCCCTCCCGTCTCCCACTACCAAGGCTGCCCAAGGAGCGGTTACAGCGCCTGCAGAACCCACGCGGACAGAGCGTTCTAGGTATCATTCAAGAAGAGGAAAAGCAAGATGAAATCCAACATTTTAATTTCGATATAAATTATGTAAATATTTTCCAAAAAGTAAAATATTCTATTGTACAACATATAAAAATGGTATCTGAGGAGCTGAAGACAATACTCTGAAAATAAGGCACAACGTTTATTTACACTCATAATTGCATCCTATTTTATAAATCGTATTTACATCATAAATTTTTGTATTCTGGGTTATTCGTTCACATTTTCTGGTATTTGGCATAATGTTCAAACATACTTCACACGCACTGACCTCCTTGTTCTCCCTAAAGCATTGACAAGCCTAAGTATTAGGGGGAAACAGAGCATGCTTTTAGGCTTGAACTTTTGTTTACTTCAATATGACCACGATTCAGTTGCTTGTGATAAAGAGTAAAGAATTATAAAAACGTAATTCTCCAGAAAAGTATATTAATTCTGTGTAAGTACCACTGAGTACAACTAACTGAATGTTGAGTAGCTATCTGATTGGCAGGCTGGCCCCTATGGCCCATCACTGTCCCATTCCTCTATTACAATGTTGTCTTCTTCCATATCAGCTTTCCAGGAAGAGGGCCAAAGCTGGCTGGCAGGCAGGTCACTCCCACTGTTCTGACTCAAAGGAATTGACCAGGTTTCCTCTTCTGCAGTGTGAGCAGCTTCAGCAGGCACTTCCTCTGCTGGATGTCCTCCACTGAGGTGAGCTTCATCTCCATTGTCATGGTCCATCAATCCATGTTCCCTATCAGTTAAGGCCTCCATTTTCAATCTGTGGGATTCACAGGGCAGATATTAATAAGAATAGGGGATATCCTTAAGTTACATCATGAGTATGATTATAATGAAGCTACTCTCTAGTCTGATTCAGTTTAATTGCACTGTTCAGCTAGCAAGATTAGTTTAACTATGTAAAAAACACTACAAGGTAAATGACCAACAATGAATAAAACCTAAAAGCTTGAAATATAAAAAGGATTAATGGGGACTGGGAAGGTGGCCCAGTGATAGAGTGCTTGCCTTGCATGCATGAGGCCCCAACATTTTAATATAAATTATGTAAATATTTTCCAAAAAGTAAAATATTCTACTGTACAACATATAAAAATGGTATCTGAGGATACCTCAGCACCACATAAGCAGAAAAAGTTGGAAGTGGCACTGTGGCTCAAGTGGTAGAGCGCTAACCTTCAGCTGAAGAGCTGAAGGACAGTGCCCAGGCCCAGAGTTCAACCGACAAAAAAAAAAAAAAAAAAAAAGGATTAATGTCTTTGATAGAGTTCTTACAGATTAAAAAGGAAAAAAAAAACAGAGCCTACAAAATACTAAATTGTTTAACTTCATTTGTAACTTTAAAGGTGGAAAATAATATACTTCTATTGTTATCTTACAAACTAGTGAAGATACTTTCAAAGTAATAAAACCCAGTCTGTTGTTAGCAAGGTTAAAAGAAAAAGAACATGCTAACATAATGTAAGTGTATAAAACTGGCAAAATGTTCTTGGAAGCAATGTGGCTATATAGAGCAAAATTCTCTAAAAGGAATCCACTTATAGAGACAACACTTTCCTTAGAATCCACTTATAGAGACAACACTTTCCTTTCTAGGACTTCCTCCTAGTAAAGAAAGATCTGACCGCTGGTACATCACCCTTATAGTAACAATAAAAACATTAAAAACATTTTGATATTCACGGTAGTTTATGTACAAGGCTGAAAAGAAGCTAAAAGCACCAGAAATTAGTTGTAAGCTTAATTACAGGAAATTATATACCTATTAAGTTAAACACTATTTAAACACTGATACTAAATTTTATGAATATGAACTAGCGATTTTAAATAGTCAACAAAAATTAAAGATAACAGTACTAGTTACTGTAATATGAAATATGGAGAAATCTCTACTCCCAAATCACATAAAAAAAGCTGACCTAGTAATTATATGAAGATTCCCATTCATTTACTCCTCATCTCAGAAATAATTATAGAGTAATTAAATGGAGTAATTAAACGGAGCCGGGGACAAAATTCAGAGCCTATCACCAGCTCTACTTTTTTTAATTTTTAAAATTTTTTTGAATTTGACTTCACAATTTTATTGTCTTATAACAAAAGTTGGAGCTTAGAACTGGATCACTTGCCCCTTTCTCTTTTTATCTCCACCCAGTTCAAAATGTTTGCATCTCTATTTAATAGCTAGCATTCTCTTAGATCTACAGCTGGGCTCAACACATTCAAGTCTCAGCACAATCTTCTTTGTAGTCTTAGCTTTTTTCCAGAAAATTGGCTTAGTCTGACTGCCATAGCCACACTGCTTCCTGTCATAACAGAGAATCCTTGCCCTTCTTGTACTGTTACTTTGTGAGGTTGGTGCTTGCCACACTTCTTACAAATAGTACGGTGGGTTTTAGGAACATTAACCATGATGACAGGAAGCCTGCAGTGGCACCAAAAAAAAGCAAAAAAAAAAACAAACAAAAAAAAGCTCTATTTTTGTTTTATTGAGACAAGGTCTCACTACATAGTCCAGGATGGACTGGAACTCTCTATCCTCTTGCTGACTTCAAAGTGCTGGGATTATATATCAGTGTTGGATCACACTGATGCGCCTCCACACCTCCATGCCCAAGCTGATCCTTTAATTTCAACATTATAATCTTGAGGCGGGAAGTAGCCAGCAAAGAGAACTGGTCTTCTGATTCAGAGATATATGAAGAAAAAGGCAAAGTTTATAAAGGGTCTGAGTCCTGCTCACATCCCAGTGCTGTAGCCAAATCAGATAGATATAGCTAATGGATGGCCTATATGTCAGGTATGATGCTTTACGATCCACCTTTGGCTTTCTCTAATAGGCAGGAGGCGCTGAGCAGGAGGTGCTGCAGTAGCTACAACCTCATGAAGAAGAAGAACTTAGCACCACAAAGTCTTTACAGACTGGATGAGGTAGGAGGAAGAAAAGAGCTCAGACAGCAAGAAATTTCTTCTTGGGAAAGGAATAGGAGAAAAGATAGCAGGGCTATATAAAAGGTGTCACTTCTAACAATTACCTTTGCCCCTTTTTAATTAGTAAGTACTCTTTTTGTTTTTTTGTTTTCTTGGTCCTGGGTTTGAACTCTGGGCCTGAGTGCTTTCCCGGAGCTTTGTTTTACTCAAGGCTAGTGCTCTAGCATTTGAACCATAACTCCACTTCCGGCTTTTTCTGAGTTTATTGGAGATAAGAGTTTCAAGACGTTTCTTGTCCTGATGACTCTGAACTCTGATCCTCAGATCTCAGCACCTGAGAAGCTAAGATTACAGATGGGAGCCACCATGTTGGCTTACACACACACACACACACACACACACACACACACACACACACACACACACACACACACACACACACACACACACACACACACACACACACACACACACACACACACACACACACACACACACACACACACACACACTCTTTCTCTCTCTGGCCAATCTTAGGGCTTGAACTCAGGGGTTGGGTACTGTCCTATGACTTCTTTTTCTCAAGGTTAGCACTCTACCACTTGAGCCACAGCATCACTGCTAGCTTTTTCTGTTTATATGGTACTGAGGAATGGAATGCAGGGCTTTATGCATTCTAAGCAAGCACTCTACCACTAAGCCACATTCCCAGCCCTGGAATTCTATTTTTTTTTTTATTATGAAAATACTGTACAGATGGGTTACAATTACATGGGCAAGACAATGAGTACATTTCTTTTTTTAATTTTTTTTTATTGTGAAAATACTGTACAGAGGGGTTACAATTACATGGGCAAGAATGAGTACATTTCTTATCAAGCATTGTAGCCTCCTCCTTTGTTTCCCCTTCCCATCCCTTCCCATCCTCCCCCCACCCCTCTGGAATTCTTTTTTAAAACTGCTTTTTGAGCTGAATGCCAGTGGCTCCTGACTGTAATCCTAGCTATTAGGAGGCTGAGATCTGAGGATCATGGTTTGAAGCCAGCCTGGGCAAGAAAGTCCATGAGACCCTTAACTCCAATTAACTACCAAAAAGCCAGAAATGGAGTTATAGATCAAAGCGGTAGAGCACTAGCCTTGAGCACAAAAGCTCAGGACAGCACCCAGGCCCTGAATTCAAGCTCCAGGACAGGCATACACATACACAACCCACAAAAACTGCTTCAGAGGGCTTAGTGGTAGAATGCTTGCCTACCATGCATGAAGCCTTGGGTCCAAATTCTCAGTACCACATAAAGAGAAAAAAAGCCAAAATGGCACTGTGGCTTAAGTGATAAGAGTGCTAACCTTGAGCAAAAGAAGCCCAGAGACAGTACCCAGGTCCTCGAGTTCAAGCCCCAGGACTGGCAAAACAAACAAAAAACAAAACAAAACACCCTCCTTTTGAAACTCCTTTTTAAACTGCTTGAGTACTTAATTTGATCTTATTTATGATTAAGTAATCTGAGATATAATTTCTCTAGATTATTGGCACTACTCTAGAAGCTATTTTCCAATAATATTTTTTTGAAAAACAGTGCATCTCTCTCTTTTGTGTGTGTGTCTAAATTTTCTGAAATAAGGAAATAGGATTTTGCTATTTTAGAAGCAGTTTCTGATCACTGCAAATCTTCAAGCCTTGATTGAGAATACCTCTAGGCAAGAAAGCTGCAAAGGTTTCTAGAATCACAAGATTAGGTGAATTTTGGGTTCTTTTGATATAGGTATAAGATGAAGGAACTACAATGTAATTATATAGCATTTAATCTCTGGGGATACTGTATTTTTCTATTTTACAGAGAATATTTATTGACTATAAGTTGAGTATATTCAATGAACACTTCAGCTTACCTTCCAAAGTGTCTCTTCAGAGGAAGTCTTCCAATATCTTGGATAAAAGAAATCTGAGCTGAAAACATATTTGAAAAGTTTTTTTTAATGCCATCATTCTTTGTCTTTTTCTTTCTTTTCTTTTTTGGCAGTACTGGGGTTTGAACTGCAGGACTCAAGTGTGCTAAGCAGGAGTTTTTACCACTTAGTGCCATGATAGTGGGTATCATTCTTTTCCAACTGATAAGTAAAAACCATGTATATTTAAGTTGTTCAACATGGCATTTGACTTGCCCATGTAATTGTAACCCCTCTGTACAGTACATTCACAATAAAAAAAGAGTGCCAAAAACATGACATTTGATTTATGGGTACGTTGTGGAATGGCTACATCAAGCTTACATGTATACCATCCTACCCACTTACTCTTTTGGTAGAGCCCTGAATGAAAATCTACTTGTAGCATTCTTCAAATGTACTATATCTGTAGGTGACAGTACTGGGGCTTGAACTGCGAGCCTTGTGCTCTCCTTGGCTTTTTGTTGTTTGTGTTTTTATGGCGCTGGTCCTGGGGCTTGAACTCAGGGCCTGGGTGCTATCTCTGAGCATTTCTTTGTTGTTATTGTTGTTTTTCAAGGCTAGAGCTCTACCATTTGAGCCACAACTCCATTTCTGGCCTTTTTGGTGTTTAATTGGAGTAAAAAGTCTCATGGACTTTCCTGCCTGGGTTGGCTTTAAACTGTGATCCTCATATCTAAGCCTACTGAGTAGCTAGGATTATAGGTGTGAGCCACTGGTGTCCAGCTTGCTTTTGTTTTTATGCTAACACTAGGGCTTGAACTCAGGGCCTTGCATATGTGCTTGGCTTTTTCCTCTCAAGGCTGGCACTTTACCACCTAAGCCATACCTGCCCTTCCATCATTAATTGGAGATAAAGAATCCCACAGACTCTTGTCCCAACTGGCTTCAAACTACAATTTTCAGATCTGAGACTTTTTTTTTTTTTTGCCAATCCTGGAGCTTGAACTCAAGACCTAGGTGCTGTCCTCAAGTCTCTTTGTGCTGAAGGCTAGTGCTCTACCACGTGATCCACAGCACCACTTCTGGCTTTTTCTGAGTTTATTGGAAATAAGAGTCTAGTGGACTTTTCTGCCCACGCTGGCCTCAAACCGTCATCCTCAGATCTCAGCCTCCTTGAGTAGGTAGACTTATAGTGTGGTCAGAAAGCTGGAAATGAAGCTGTGGTTCAAGTGGTTAGAGCATCAGCCTATAGTACAAAAGATACGGAACAATGTCCAGACCTTGAAGTGAATCAAGCCCCAATAGCAGAATATACATACAAAATAATAATCCTGGGGCTCGGAAGGTGGCTCAGTGGTAGAGCGCTTGCCTTGCATGCCTGAGGCCCTGGGTTCAGCAACACATAAGCAAAAAGCCAGAAGTGGCTCTGTGGCTCAAGTGGTAGAGTGCTAGCCTTGAGCTGAAGAGCTGAGGGACAGCGCCCAGGCCCAGAGTTCAGGCTCCACAACCGGACCCCCCCCCTCAAAAATAATAATAATCCTCAAAAAATTAGCAATATTTGAATGTAATTTAGCATTACTGCTCTGACATTAACATGTATAAGTGAAAAATGTTATTTTCACTTACATTAGTATTTGCTTATATTATCAATTCAAGCTTGGGCACAAAATAAAGTCCAGAAAAGTGTGAACAACTCTAGTCTAATGCTAGTTAGGTGGTTGAGGGGGGAGGTGCCTTCAATTTATTTCAATAAAAAGCATGTATCAATTCTGGGTCAAAAACAGGGAAGCCAGGTGCTAGTGGCTCATGCCTGTAATCAATCTTAGACACTGGGTCAATGTAAGGACTACAGTTGAAAGCCAGCCTGGGCAGAAAAATCTGTGAGAATTTTATCCCCTATTACCCACCAAAAAGTTGGGAGTGGAGCTGTGGCTCAAGTGGCAGATCATTAGTCTTGAGTGAAAAAGCTGAGGAATAGTGTCTAGGCCTTGAGTTCAAGCACTAGCACCGGCACATGTATGTGTGCATGTGTGTACACACCACACACGCTACATACATATATTAAAAGAAAAAAGCAAGAACACAGAGGGAGTAGAAGTCTGATTTAAGTGGTAAGTGCTAACCATAAATAAGCGAGCCAAGAAGAGCTGGAAGGACCTGAGTTTAAGCCTTATCACCAGTGGAAAAAAAAAATAAAGGAGGAAGGGAAACCTTTTATCTCACTATGTATTGTGTATACACAGAGTACATTCGACTCACAGTAAGTTACTGTTATAAAACACGACTATTGGAAGGAAAGCAAAGCTTGCAGTTACCTTGATTTCGCATTGGAATGGTGAGCTGAGCAAGATAGGGCAACAGCTGTGTTTGAAGGCATAAAGCTGGTAGGCAGAAGTCAGAAAAAAGTGCTTTTGCTGCCAGGCAATTTTCCCGATACTGTATGGAAAAAATATGAAAAGTTAAATAAAACTGAAAATATGGTTATACACTGCTAGACAAATATAGCTTTTTTTTTTACTTTTTGGGAGAAAGTCTCATGTAGCACTGTATTGACCTCAATTTCAATACTTTGCCTTCACTTCCTTATGTACACAAATATATTTAAAATCTGTTTTATGAATTTATCTAATTATTTTCTCAGCATAACCTGAGACATTAGCAGCAACCTTCATATCTCATGTTTACTGTAGTTTCTAGGTTGAATTGAGACCACACTGCATAACTAACCTACACAACCCAGGCTTCTGTAAGAACTACAATGAAATGGACTAACAATGCATTTCTCAGCACATTTTTCTAATTGTTTCAAGTCAATGTGGCACAAGACACCTCAAATTTACTTCTAAGTAAAATTTGTATCTTAGGGCCTTTTTGATTTTGTCTTTTTTTTTTTTAAATGACATACGGTTTTCCTATATATCCCAGTTTGGCCTCAAATTTGTCTTGTTACTGATTATAGGCATACACCACTCCATCTAGTCATTATATCATTTCTTACTAGTGGTAGTACCAGAGTTTGAACTCAGTGCCTCATGCTTGCTTGGCTGGTGCTCTACTACTAGAGCCATGCCTCCAGCCCTGCTTTTGATTGGTTATTTTGGAGATGGAGTCTTAAGGACTTTTCTGCCCAGGTTGGCTTCAATCTGAGATCCAGAGGATCTCAGCCTCCCAAGTAACTCAGATTGCAGGTGTGAGCCATCAGTGCTCAGCATCTATGATGTATCTTAAGATTACGAACACTGCCAGGCCTATGTGGCTCTTGCCTATAATCCTAGCTATTTAGGAGGCTAAGATCTGAGGATAGCAATCTGAAGCCAGTCCAGACAGGAAAATCCATGAGACTTATTTCCAATGAACTAACTACTCAGAAAAACCTAGAAGTGATGCTGTGGCTCAAGTGGTAGAGGGCTAGCCTTGAGCAAAAGAGCTCAGAGACAATGCCCAAGCTCTGTAATCCTATTCAGGAGGCTGAAATCTGAGGATCTCAGTTTGAAGTCAGCCCAGGAAGACTAAGTCTGTGAGACTCTTATATCTCCAGTTAAGCAACAAAAAAGCCATAAATGGAGCAGTGGCCAAAGTGATAGAGCACCAGCCTTGAGCAAAAGAAGCTCAGGCACAGCACCTAAGCCCTGAATTCAAGCCCCAGGACAGGCAGAAAGAAAGAGGGGGTAGGGGAGGGGAGGGGGGGGAAGGAAGGGAGGGAGGCAGGCAGGCAAGAAAGAAAGGAAATACAAGAACACTGTGGATTTAGCAAGTAAAATGATAAATTTTTCTATTTCTTAAAATTTCAAAATAAGAACAACTTCATTGAGGTACAACTCATATACAGTTCAAATTATACAATTCAAATGCATAATGTACCCCAAGCTATCTTAGAACTACCTATATAGACGAAGCTACAACTTACCATTTTACCTGCCTCAGCCTTCTGAATGCTGAGATTACAGATATGTGCCAACATGCCTGATCAAAGTGTACAATTTTTTTTCCCTCCAGTCCTGAGTTCTGAATTAAGGAACTCAAATTTATTTGGCTTGCTTGCTTGGCTTGTTCTGTTCTATTCGAGCCTTGTCCATAGAAGCCAGCTTTTTGCTGTCAATTGGTGGAATCTTGAGCATATTTCTGCCCATCCTGGAGATTTCAGCTTCCTAATTAGCTAGGATTACAGGTATGAGCCTGTACCAACAATGTACAAATATTTATTGTTACCTTTTTGTGTATTAGAAACCACTGAGGCTTGTGCAAGGGTCGAAAACTTGATCCTCCTTGGCAATGAGCAAATCCGCGGGCTTTGTTGGAATGTATCACACCTCTTGTAGCTACAGACGTACTATATTCCCCAAGTAAAGAGCGTGACTATCAGACAAGATGAGAAATTTAAAAAAGAGATTTATGAAGCAGCATAAATGGTACTACTGATACACAAAAAAGGTGAAGCCAAATTTAGTTGCTTTGCATCCATTTCAACATTATCAAAGCCTAAAAATGATAGTGTTGCCAAGTTATTTAAAAGAAGACCAACTTAGACATAAAAATCAAATACAATGGAAAACCCTTTGTGGGACTTAAATGAGGAGAGGGGAGCCAACTTGAAATACATTTTTGAGGCAACTTGGTGAAACCTAAGTAAGGACAATACAATGCTAAACTACTATAAACTAAACGTCAATGTTCTCAAGTGTGAATGTCTTTCTTCACGCATGTTTGAAATTAACTTTCCAATTATTCAGCACAAAACAAATGGGTAAATATATAGACGGTAAAAAAGTTGCAAAATGTAAAAAAATAACAATAGGTAAGAACATACAGGCTTTCATTGTACTATTCATTGAATTACTCAGAGGTTGGTCATTTTCAAAATAAAAAAGTAATTATATGAAGACATAAGAAATAATTAAAATAAGGTAATAGATATGCTTATTATTGAGTTGATTACTACCCATGAATCCAAACCATCACACTGTAATTCATATACAGATGTATAAATATGCCAGGTGATGGTGGCTCACACCTGTAATCCTAATTATACAGGAGGCAGAGATCTGAGGATTTCAGTTCAAAGTCAGCACCAAAAAGCTAGAAGTAGAGCTGTAACTCAAGTTGCAGAGTGCCAGCCTTGAACCAAAAAACTTAGGCTCTTATAGGGATAATGCTAAGAGCCTGAGTTTTAAAAAATGGGGGGGGGGGGGGGGGGGGGACGGACTTGGGAATGTGGCTTAATGTGCTTGCTTAGCTTGGATTCCTCAGTACCACATACACAGAAAAAGCCAGAAGTGGCACTGTGCCTCAAGTGGTAGAGTGCTAGCCTTGAGCAAAAGCAGCTCTGGGACAATGCTCAGGCACTAAGTTCTGAGTTCAAGCCCCAGGACTAGTAAAAAAAAAAAAAGGCCAGGCGCTGGTGGCTCACGCCTGTAATCCTAGCTACTCAGGAGGCTGAGATCTGAGGATCACGGTTCAAAGCCAGCCCGGCAGGAAAGTCCGAGACTGTTATGTCCAATAAACCACCAGAAAACTGGAAGTGGTGCTGTAGCTCAAGTAGTAGAGCGCTCACCTTGAGCTGAAGGACAGCACTTAGGCCCAGAGTTCAAGCCCCACGAGTGACAAAAAAAAAAAAAAAGCACAAACACTGTTGCAATAAAAATTTTTAAAAAGTATTTTAAAATATTAAGTAAGGGCTGAGAAAGGTGGCTCAGTGGTAGAGTGCTTGCCTTGAATGCATGAGGCCCTGGGTTCGATTCCTTAGCACCACATAAATAGAAAAAGTGAGAAGTGGTGCTGTGGCTCAAGTGGTAGAATGCTAGCCTTGAGCTGAAGAGCTGAGGGACAGCAACCCAGGCCTAGAGTTCAAGCCCCATAACCAGGAAAAGAAAAAAAATTAAGTAAAAACTGCTGAGTAAGCTGGGTGCTAGTGGCTCACGCCTGTAATCCTATCTACTCAGGAGGCTGAGATCTGAGGACTGTAGTTCAAAGTCAGCTCGGGGAGAAAAGTCTGTGAGATTCCTATCTCTAATAAACCACCAGAAAACCGGAAGTGGTGCTATGGCTCAAGTAGTAGAGCACTCACCTTGAGCTGAAGAGCTGAGGGACAGCACCAGGCCCAGAATTCAAGCCCCACAACTGACCCAAAAAAAAAAAAAAAGGAAAGAAAAAAAAAACTAATTTAAGCCAGGCACTGGTGGCTCACTCCTGTAATCTTATCTACTCAGGAGCCTGAGATCTGAGAATCATGGTTCAAAGCTAGCATAGGCAGGAAAGTTGGAATGTTCAGAAAAAGCTGGAATGGTGCTGTGCTCTACCACTTGAGTAGAAAGAGGCTCAGGAACAGTACTCAGGCCCTGAGCTCAAACCTCAGGATCCCCCTAAAAAAAAATTTACAAGGTAAGTACTGGTGGCTCACACTTGTAATCCTAGCTACTCAGGAGGCTGACATCTGAGAATTGTGATTCAAAGCCAGCCAAAGCAGGGACGTGCATGAGACTTTAAACTCAAATTGAATACCTAAAAAGCTGAAAGTGGAGCTGCGGCTCAAGTGCTAGCCTTGAACAAAAAAGCTCAGGGTAAGCACCTAGGCCCTGAGTGTAAGCCCCAGGACTGGCCCATACACACACACAAATTACAAGACAGTAAAACAGTGTGTGGAGGGCAGGTATAGGTATAACAAAAGAAGCCAAAAGGGGGGAAGAAAACAACTCAAAAATGTAGTGCTATGTATTAATAAGATACTGGATTAATTAGGTATAGTATAGTAATTAAGAAGAGTCACAAAACATGTCCAATAAGCCAAAACTTTATCAATTTGAAATACAAACAAAAACATTTACAAAAAATAGTCTTACATTCCAGTTCCCACTGATGATATCTGCAAAACTCAGAAATTCACTGGCTCTGACAAGATCATCTATTTCCATGAAGAAATCTATGTAGTTTTGGTGAAGATATAAATTAAACAACTCTCCTGGCATGTGTGACATTTCTACTATTTCCTATAAAAGAGTATAGAAATTATGTAACTCTGGTCAAAATACACAAGTTAGATATGTGCAATATACCTTTTAGTAAGAGTATTAAGTACTATGAAAGACTTTACCTCAGGTTGAACAAGTAATGTATCCCGATCATGCTCTGATAAATGAGATGGTAGCCGAGGTGAGTCTAATTCTGCTAAAGGTGCTCCTATAAGAAATTTCTAGAATTATTAAATACTATCTTTACAATTATATAGCACCTTATTTTTAAAATTTTATTTTATTGTAAAGATTCTGTACAGAGGGGTTACAGTCACATGAATAAGGTAATGAGTACATTTCTTGTTGAATACTGTTACCCCCTTCTTTGTTTTTCTCCTACTCTTCCTTCCCTCACCTCCCTCCTCCCCCCACCTCGTTATAAAGTTCATTTCCAACATAGTGTCTTGTGAGTATCATTGTTGCAATGGGTCATCCTGTGTCCTTGTTTCAGCATTTTGTTATTTCCCTTCCCCTCCCCAAATTAGGTAAATGTATATACAAGATGCACGGTGTCAAAATCAAATACAGTGACAACAGGGGATATACCATAGGGGGAAGAACATACAACAGAAACAAAAGCACCTTGTTTTTTATGTGTGTATTTGTATTGGGGGCTTGGACTCAGAGCCCTGAGCTCTTGCTTGGCTTTTTCACTCAAGGCGGGCTCTGTACCATTTGAGCCACAACTCTACTTTTTGCTAGTTAATTGGAAATAAGAATCTTATGGATGCCGGGTGCTGGTGGCTCACGCCTGTAATCCCAGCTACTCAGGAAGCTGAAATCTGAGGATTGCGGTTCAAAGACAGCCTGGGCAGGAAAGTCCGTAAGACTCTCTTCCAGAAAACCGGAAGTGGCGCTGTGGCTCAAGTGGTAGAGTGCTAGCCTTGAGCTGAAGAGCTGAGGGACAGTGCCCAAGCCCAGAGTTCAAGCCCCATGACCAACCAAACAAAAAAAAAGAATCTTAAGGATTTTTCCTACCTGGGCTAGCTTCAAACCTCAATCCTCAGATCTATCTGTGAGTAGGATTAAAAGTGTGAGCCACCAATGCCCTGATACAGCACCTTTTATTTGAAGATTTTCACCATTTTGTACGTAATAGCAAAATACTCAGCAAACTGATAAAAAGTTTATGGCTTTTATAGACTTAAATAATCATTTCTGTGGCTGGAAGTGTATCTCAACCTGTAGAGTGCTCTCCCAGCCAGCATAAGCACCATTAAAAACCCATTCTCTAAAGTACTTCCCATTTCAGGTGTAGCCTGATTCCTTGCTTGGATTCAATTTATTAATCTATGTTGTTTAATTACTTCATAGGGGAAAGATGCTCTTTGCCTGGAGAGTAGAATGTTACTCCCTCATGCAAGAGGTTATAAATCACCACTAGGGGGGAAAAGAAAGGGTGGTAGGAAAAGAATCAGATTGCACTGGCCAATGACTTTCCAAAGTGAGAGTATACAGTGAGGTGAGTATTTTCATTGCTTACTAAAATGATGGTCATTTACTTTCCTTATGCTGACATGAAGATTTCCATTTTGAAATACCAGTTTCTTTTTACAGGATCATAAGGCTATCAATTGGCTCTCACTGTTACATAAAGAAAAGAAGTTTGGGATTTCATTGAAAGAAGGGACAACGTGGGGCGATTAAGGATGGGCAGCAGGGATGTAGAAGCCCAGGGGGAGTAGGTAACAAAACAGACTGAAGAGGGCAATCAACACTTGTAGTTGGGTGGGCAGCAAGTTAGTGAAAAGTAGAGAAATACATGAGGAGCAAAAGCCCTTAAGCTATCTGACAACTTGGCTAGGGTCTCAGTGCCAGACCTCGTGGCTAAGATAACTTTAGGCTACTAATACTTGCTGCTTAATAGCCTTGATAGACTGGCATCTAGTCGCAACAAACTGCACTTTATATATTTTATAGACATGAATATGGCCTACAGTTTGTTTTTAAGTTTAATTATGCTCATAGTAAGAAAATGGCCCACATAGTTAATACAAAAATTTTCTGCTATGTTGTAGGTCTTGTTAACAAACATTATCTTACCTGGCCCTAGGGGTTTCTTGTAACAACACAAAATTCGAGGCATTTCAAAAATGTGGCATCATATTTCCACTTTACAACTAATATCAAACACATAAAAAACCCCACATACATAGAAAGAAAAAATGCACAGTTTCTTACTTTTACAATACAGAATTTTCCCCAAAGCTCTGAAGAGAAAGAGAGAGACATCCTTGCCACCAATGGGCTGGACCTCCTGATTTTCAAAAACACCATCCGGTTTTTTTCCTCGTTTTGATTTTGACAGTGCACCATCTGATTTTAATGACATTCCTTTTTTCCTTGGCTGTAAATTGTTCTCTCCTAAATAATATGCATCCAAAGGAAAATATTTAAAATAAAATCAAAATATGAAAATTAAAATTGAGCATTGCAGCTACACTAAACATTGTAAATAAAATATTTTCCTAATAAACAATAAGTGTAAACTATGTGAATTAAGAGTCTTCTTTGGGTTGCTATTAAAATGATATAAAATGTTTTTTTAAATGATCTCAGCTGGGTACTGGTGGCTCACACCTGTAATCCTAGCTACTCAAGAGGCTGAGATCTGAGGATCACAGTTCAAAGCTAGCCTGGGCAGGAAAGTCCTTGAGATTCTTATCTCTAGTTAACCACCAGAAAATTAGAAATGGCGCTGTGGGCTCAAAGTGGTAGAGTGCTATCCTTGATCTCAGGGACAGCGCCCAGGCCCTGAGTTCAAGTCACATGACAGACAAGAAGAAAAAAAAATCTCATAATTTCCAACACCAAAAATAAATAGTATCTTGTAATACCTGCTGCAAATTTTCACATATTATTTAAGGATACACTAATACAATCATATTGGTATAGGTACAAGGTACTTATTCTTAGCATCTTATCTATAAATATGTATATTAACTCATTTGTCCCCTATAACAATTCTAGATGGGGGAAATATTTTTTTTTTGAGGGGGGGGGGGGTCTGGTCATGGGGCCTGAACTCTGGGCCTGGGCACTGTCCCTCAGCTCTTCAGCTCAAGGCTAGCGCTCTACCACTTGAGCCACAGCCCCACTTCCGGCTTTTTTCTTTTTGCTTATATGGTGCTGAGGAATTGAACCCAGGGCCTCAGGCACGCAAGGCAAGCGCTCTACCACTGAGCCACCTTCCCAGCCCGAAAGGGAAATAATTATTAAATACACATCTGTAATCCCAAACACAAGAAAATATTTGATTTCATTTCATAAATACTTTAGAGAAAGCCACTTATTGCATAATGCTATGGCAATGGGTAGTTTAAAGTTACCTTTGGAAGAAAACTGGAGGCTATTTATTGCACTTCTGATGTCACCAGAACATCCTTGGCAAAGCAACTCTAGAGAAGTTTTATCAGGAACAGTAGTTTTTCCTCCATTCTAAAATCAGCAAAGTAAACTTTAGAAAACTTAAAAGAACTTCCCCCCAATCCATTTCTTAACTTAATAAAAGCAAAAATAACAAAAGACTTCATATTCATAGTCAAGTATGGGTACATACTCAGCACTCAGGAAGACTCGAGTAGCCAGCCAAGGTACACTGAGACTATCTCAAGAAAGGCCCCTGTTTAAAACATGAGTTTGCTTTTGAATGGTATTAATGTCAATGACTGCATAATTTAAGCTAAAATTCCAGGAGTAGTAAATATTGTTTCCTTTACTGTGACTAGATTAATTTCTGTTTTTGTGCTAGTCTGGAGACTTGAACTCAAGAGCGTAGGGCCCAACCTTAAGCTTTTATGCCCAAGGCTAGCACTCTACCACTTTGAGCTACAGCTCTACTTCCAGATTTTTGGTAGTTAATTGGATATAAGTCTCACACTTTTTCTGGCCAGGCTGGCACTGAACCATGATCCTCAGATCTGAGCCTCCTGAGTAGCTAGGGTTATAGGCATGAGCTGCCATTACCCAGCTGGCTAAGTTGGTTGTTTTTTTTGTGTGTGTATGCATTTTTTGTTGTTGTTGTTGCTGCTCTTGGGGCTTGAACTTGGCCTGAGCACTGTCCCTCAGCTCTTCAGCTCAAGGTGAATACTCTACCACTTGAGCCACAACACCACTTCCAGTTTTCTGAGTGGTTTATTGGAGATAAACCACGGACTTTCTGCCTAGGCTGGCTTTGAACTGTGATCCTCAGATCTCAGTCTCCTGAGCAGCTAGGATTATAGACTTGAGCCACTGGTGCCTGGCTGCTGTTGGTTTTTAAGTTCTCTCTCTCTCTCTTTTTTCTTTGCCAGAACCGGGGCTTGAACTCAGGGCCTGAGCATTGTCTCTTTTTTGCTCAAGGCTAGCACTCTATCACTTGAGCCACAGCACCATTTCTGGATTTTTCTGTTCATGTGGTACTGAGGAATTGAACCCAGGGCTTCATGTATGCAGGGCAAGTGCTCTACCATTAAGCCATATTCCCAGCCACGTTCTCTTTCTTTTTTCATATACATAATACTCACATATACAAAGTTGCTTCATATACACAGTTATGTGTTTTAAAGATAGGTATTAAATTCAAATATGCGTGTTAATATATAAGAAGTTCTATTACTTTACCCCATACTTCACAGTGCAGCATATGGCAAGATTTATCTGACCTATTCCCCATTTACAAACTTGTAATTCTTTATTAACAAAAGATTTAATTCACTGACTCTAGCTCACCCCATTTCAGACGTTGTAAAAACTGACTATAAGCTAGGCAACAGTGGCTTACACCTGTAATCCTAGCTATTCAAGAGGCTGAGATCTGAGGATCACAGTTCAAACCCAGCCAGAGCAAGAAAGTCTCCAATTAACCACTCAAAAATCAGAAATGGAGCTGGACACTGGTGACTTACACCTGTAATCCTAGCTACTCAGGAGGCTAAGATCTGAGGACTGCGGTTCAAAGCCACCCTGGGCAGAAATGGCCGTGAGACTCATCTTCAATAAACCACCAGAAAACTGGAAGTGAAGCAGTGGCTCAAGTGGTATAGCACTAGCCTTCACTGAAGAACTCAGGGACAGCACCCAGGCCCAGAGTTCAAGACCCATGACAATAAATAAATAAATAAATAAATCAGAAGTAGTGTTGTGGCTCAATTGGAAGAACACTAGCCCTGAGTACAAAACTTATTGGAAGAGAAAAAGTCTTGCTAACTTTTTGCCCTTAATGGCATACCATCAATTCTGTGGTACATTCAATGAATTATTGCCTGTAATCTTCCCTCTAATCCCTTCATTCTTCTACCCTTTTCGTTCTGGCCCAACCCTCCCCTCTTGCAACAGCGCGTTTCCTGGTACTTATTTTGTTGGGCTTTAACTAAGTCTTTTTAAAGATTTATACTATTTGCACTCTCCATAGTCTATTATACTTGTTAATTAATTTGTAACCCTTTGCTTACAACCACACAATTAATCTCACCACAAATGAATCTCAAGTAGCTTATAGACATAAGCCACTGTGTTCAGCTTTTTTGATGTTATTCTTATTTTGATAGTGTAAGGCTTTGCATTTTTTTAGGCAGACACTGTGCATGCTTAAGCCATACCTCTAGTCCTTTTTGCTCTGTTTATTTCTGAGCCAGGGCCCTGTTTATTTCTGAGACAGGGGATAGGAACTCACTTTTTGTTCATGCTGACCCTGACTAGGGTACATCTACTTTCTCCATCCTATTGAACATGGGACGTCAGACATTATGAAAACAACTGAGTTTTTTTTGTTGAAGAACTTTTTTTTGCTTTGGACTTCCTGGAACCATGATCTTCTTCCCACATTAACCATGATTCATGACTGCTAGGATGATAGGTGTGCACCACCATGTCCAGTAATGGGTTAAGAAGAGATCTTACAAACACTTTGCTTAGGTTGATATTGAACCACAATCCTTACCATCTTAGTCTCCAAGGCAGCTAAGATTTAGTTAAAGGCATGCTATTCATTTTTCAAAAATTCTAGATATGCATCATTTGCCCGAAATAAAATGTAATTTAAAATCTCAATCCTTGTAGAATGAAGGATATCCCGTGAAAATTATTACTACACACAATGTGGTAATAATGTAGCCAAAATGTATGGGCAATAGTTCTTTCCATGCTTTATGATGTGAGAGGAGACTAAAGATCCAGGGTGAGGCATAGCTCCGTAGTAGAGTTCCTAGCATGTTTGAAGTCTTGGGCTTGATACCCAGCACTGAAGGGGGTAGAGGGGAGAAGCAAGCAAGTAAGAAAGAAATTCAGTATGTTTTTGGCAGTACTGATATTAGAATTTAGAGACTCATGCTTACTAGCCAGGTAGGTGCTCTGAAGAGCCATGCCTTTATAGTTATTTTGAGATAGTTTCTTGTTTTTTTGTCTGAATATTTTGATCTACCTGATCTCAGCCTCACACATAGTTGGGATAAAAAGTGTGAGCCACAATACCCAACTATTGATTGAGAAAGGCTCTAAAAAACTTTTTTTTTTTTTGTCGATCATGGGGCTTGAACTCTGGGCCTGGGCACTGTCCCTGCGCTCTTCAGCTCAAGGCGAGCGCTCTACCACTTGAGCTACAGCACCACTTCCGGTTTTCTAGTGGTTAATTGGAGATAAGAATCTCATGCACTTTTCTGCCCGGGCTGGTTTTGAACCGTGATCCACACATCTCAGCCTCCTCTGTAGCAAGGATTACAGGCGTGAGCCTGTAGTAGAAAAAGGTTCATGATTTTAAAAATTGGTCTTTCTAGGGGCTGGGAAGGTGGCTCAGTGGTAGAGCACTTGCCTTGCATGCCTGAGGCCCTGGGTTCGATTCCTCAGCACCATATTAGCAAAAAGAAAAAAGCCAGAAGTGGCGCTGTGGCTCAAGTGGTAGAGTGCTAGCCTTGAGCTGAAGAGCTGAGGGACAGCGCCCAGGCCCAGAGTTCAAGCCCCACGACCGGACCCAAAAAAAAAAAAAAAAGGTCTTTCTTAAATTTTCTAATTCTTTTTTTTTATTATGAAAATACCATACAGAGGATTTATAATTACATGGGCAAGATAATGAGTAGAAATTTTCTAATTCTTTATTAGTCTATTATACATATTTAAGACTAAGAATCACAATGATACATATCCAACTGCTGCAACTTATTCAGAACATATTGGGCCCTTAATGCTACAAGTTAAGATTAAAATTAATCAGATTCTTACCTTTATAGCTTCCATGGTCACTATTCGATTGAGAAATTTCATCATAATTGTTGGTGCCACAGGGTTGAAACTGTAGAAAGAAGTTTTATAAAGAAGGTGGTGGTCAAATGGTTAAATTTTTTAAAATGTAACCTATATTAAACATGATAACCAGAAATTTCTTTCTTACCTAATACTTGCGATAGAACACTCTTCTTGAATTATTTTAGGGAAGAGTAACCTATGGTGATTATCTCCACTGACACTGTCAGAGACTATAAATACAAGAGGACAACGGCCAATCTGCACATATTTCCTAAAATACAATATGTTGAAAATTTAAGTCATTTGTCATTTAATATGGAGTTTTAATTTAATATGGAGTTTTACTTTTTTTTTTTGGTTGTAGGGCTTGAATCTGGGGCCTAGGCACTGTCCCTAGGCTCTTTTTTCTCAAAGCTAGCACTCTACCATTTTGAGCCACAGTGCCACTTCTGGTTTTCTGATAGTTAATTGGAGATGAGCATCTCATGAACTTTCTCGCATGGGCTGTCTTTGAACTGTGATCTTCAGATCTCAGCCTCTTTTTTTTTTTTTTTCCCAGTTGTGGGGCCTGAACTCTGGGCCTGGGCGCTGTCCCTCAGCTCTTCAGCTCAAGGCTATAGCGCCACTTCCAGCTTTTTCTGCTTATGTGGTGCTGAGGAATTGAACCCAGGGCCTCATGCATGCAAAGCAAGCACTCTACCACTGAGCCACCTTCCCAGCCGCAGATCTCAGCCTCTTGAATAGCTAGAATTACACGTGTGAACTACTAGTACCCAGCAGTTTTACTTATTTTGATCTTGTGTGTGTGTTAGTGTGGTCAGGGGTTCAAACCTAGAGTTTTACTCATGTTAGACAAACTCCACTGGACAAATTCCATGGGACTACAACATCAACACCTAATGTGCGTGTAAAGAATGATATACTTCACTGACACTTACCTTAGAATTTCATGTAAAGTATGAGGATCTCGAAAAAACTGGTTAGGAAAATCCTATTAGAGATACAGGATAAATATTACTTCAGTTGTATTGCACTGACAGTTTATTTTCAGATTTATATTTATCAAGGAACATTTTTAGCTAGCCAATGTATTTTAACTAGTTTTCAGAGAAATATGAAGTAGTTCACAGCCTAAATAGTAATATAAATCAATGTAAATCTTAACTTTTACATCAAACTTCTTAGAGTTACTTTATCAACTATATAGTATATTTCACTGAAAAGTAACTGTTCACAGATTTCCTTCTTTTTTCTTTTGCTAATACTAGGATTTGAATTCAGGATTTTGCCAATACATGCCTTTATCCGTGTTTTTGCTTCAAGTTCCTTTTCAGAGAAGTTCTTTTTTTTTGGTCATGGGGCCTGAACTCCAGACTTGGGTGCTGTCCCTCAGCTCTCCAGCTCAAAGCTAGTGCTCTACCGCTTGAGCCATAGTGCCATTTCTGGCCTTTTCTGTGTTTATGTAGTACTGAGGAATCGAACCCAGGGCCTCATGCAAATGCTACCACTGAGCCACCTTCCCAGCCCTCTTTTTTTTTTTTTTTTGGTCCGGTTGTGGGGCCTGAACTCTGGGCCTGAGCACTGTCCCTCAGCTCTTCAGCTCAAGGCTAGTGCCCTACCACTTAAGCCACAGTGCCACTTCCGGCTTTTTTCTTTTTGCTTATGTGGTGCTGAGGAATCAAACCCAGGGCCTCAGGCAAGCAAGGCAAGCGCTCTACCACTGAGCCAACTTCCCAGCCCCTTCCCAGCCCTCTTTTGTTTTTTCCTGAAGCCAGTTTAGACTCGTCAACACCTACAGCCTCCTGAGTGGTTGGTGGAAAGCTTAGATACTGAGATAGGGTTTACCACATGTTTTGCCTGGACAGCCACGATTCACATCTCTCATACCAGTGGAGCTGAGATTACAAGCTTGAACCACTATACACAGTATCCTTGACTTTCCTATATTTAAGCCTTTTATTTTTGGGGGGCTTGAACTGATCAGGGCGCAGGCAGTGTTTCTGAGCTTTTGTTCTGATCAGGGCGCAGGCAGTGTTTCTGAGCTTTTGTTCTCAAAGCTAGTGTAATAGCACTCCAGACACAGTTCTACTTCCAGCTTTTTGGTGGTTAACTGGAGATAAGTCTTGTAGACTTCCCTGCCAGTGCCAGCTTCAAACTGGGAACGTCAGATGTCAGCCTCCTGAGTAGCTAAGATTACAGGAGTGAATCACCAGCACCTGCTTCAACTAAACTATTTTAATCTACAGTTATTCTACTTATATTTACTAAAAGATTTTAGGCTTCTCATATTGAGAAATCTTTGTGTTCTTTTATTACATTAGTACTTTGTACATATACAAACGATACTTTTCACAATTGTTTACCCCTTAGCTACAGCAGGATTTTAAAAGTTGTCCTTACTTCAACCAGAATTATCTTCTTATCAGTTCTCAGATCATCTCCAAGCATTTGCAGATTAGTATACTTTGCTGCTCTTAGTAGAAACTCTTTGAAAGTTGATATCTGAGATTGATAAGGAAGTACATGGAAGTTTGATTCTGAAAAGAAAGACACAATGCCACTTTTATTTTCAATAAATTATATATATTATACATATACATAACACAAATTCATATGAATATACATGATGTAGTTTATAACACTGGAGCCTACTTTATAACTATGTGAGTTTATTCAAATTCGAAACATTTGAACACTCAGTTCACAAAACAAATGACAACATGGAGAAAAATCATCTTTCTTTCTTTCTTTTTTGGTTCAGTCATGGGGCTTGAACTCTGGGTCTGGGCGCTGTCCCTGAATTCTTCAGCTAAAGGTAAGTGCTCTACCATTTGAGCCATAGTGCCACTTCTGGTTTTCTGGTGGTTAACTGGAGTTAAGAGTCTCACGGATGTTCCTGCCCAGGCTGTCTTTGAACCACGATCCTCAGATCTCAGCCTCCTGAGTAGCGAGGATTACAGGCATGGGCTGTCAGCATCCAGGTTGATAACAATAATCTTTCTATACCAATGAATGAGAGTGTATTAACTGATTTCAGAAAATAGCCGCTGGGGAGGGAGGCCAGGAGGGAATAAAAATACTAATAAAAAGAAAATAGCTGCTGATAAAATATTCAAACAAAATTTGCAAATATAGATTTGCAGTAGATTCTTTGAACAAATTTGAAATTGTACATAAATGATCTAGCTAGAAGTTGGATCTCACATCTATAATCCAGCTATTCAGAATGTTGAGATCTGAGGATCTGCCAGCCTGGGCAGAAAATTCTGTGAGATTCTTTCTTGTTGCTGTTGTTGTTGGTTGTGGAGCCTGTACTCTGAGCCTGGGTACTGTCCCTAGGCTCTTCAGCTCAAGCCTAGCACTCTACCTTTGAGCCACAGCACCACTTCCAGCTTTTTCTGCTTATGTGTGTGGGACTAAGGAATCAAATTCAGGGCCTCATGCATGCAAGGTAAGCACTCTACTACTGAGCCACCTTCCCAGCTCCTTTGTGAGATTCTTATATAAAATTAACCAGCAAAAAGCTGGAAGTGGAGCTTAAGTGGCAGAGCACCAGCACTGAGTGGAAAAGCCAATTAAGAGCACAAAATCCTGAGTTCAAGCCCCAATACCAACACACTTATGTGTGCACACACATATAAAATTAAAAATGAAAAATAAATAATTTGGGCTGGGAATGTGGCTTAGTGGTGGAGTGCTTGCCTAGCATGCATGAAGTCCTGGGTTCCATTCCTAGTACCACATAAACAGAAAAAGCTGTGGCTCAAGTGGTAAAGCTCTAGTCTTGAGAATAGCATCAAGGACAGAGCCCAGGCCCTGAGTTCAAGGCTCAGGACTGGCACACACACACACACACACACAAAATAATAATAATTTGTGTAATAAAGGATTAACTACAAAAATAGAATGAATAATTAGCAAATCTGGGAATAACAAAAAGTTCCCTGAAGATATGTTTTTTAAAGAAGATTAAGTAAAAATTTAATCAGAGGACTTTCAAAACTCCCATTTCCTGCAAGGGAAGCAGAAAATGTTTTACTCTTCTTCATTGCTCCCTACTTAAAATTCTTGCTATAACTTAACAAACAAAAATACTCCTCAGACTATAAAACGTGTATTACTATTTATTTTTATTTTTTGTTGGTCATGAACCTTGAACTCAGGGACTGGGTGCTATCACTAAGCTTTTTTGCCCAAGGCTAGTGTAATGCCACTTTGGACAAGAGTGTATCTTCTGGTTTGCTAGTGAGTTCATTGAAGAGACTCAGTCTTTCCTGCCCAGGCTGGCTTTGAACCTTGATCCTCAGATCTCAGCCTCCTGAGCAGGGAGGATTACAGGTGTTACCCACCAATATCTGGCCTATGTTACTAATTAGAAAGCAATAAAAATTCAGAGAACATGGGCTAAAAGGAATGTAAGGGTATGCATATCAAAGTAATGGTATATTTAAAGCAAACTCAAGAGCACAGAGAAGATTCTGAGGAATATCCTACAATAAATTGTGCATATAGCCGGATGCCGGTGGCTCACGCCTGTATTCCTAGCAACTCAGGATGCTGAGATCTGAGGATCACAGTTCAAAGCCAGCCCAATCTGTGAGACTCTTATCTGCAATTACACATGAGAAAACTGGAAGTGGCACTGTGGGTCAAAGTGGTAGAGCACTAGCCTTGAGCTGAGGAGCTGAGGTACAGCGCCCAGGCCCAGAATTCAAGCCCCAGGACCAAAAAAAAAAATTAAAAAAACAAAAAAAAATTCTTATGTTTTGTTTGTCATGATGTTATGATTTGATTCTAACAGGCACTTATTGATCTAAGCTATCTAATTGTGATCAAGTTCCTTTAACACATCTTAAGGCTTGATTTAAATTCAAATATAGAAAAAGATGTTATACTATATAATTTCTATAAAAAATAAAATCTTGAGCTTAGGGGCTGGTGGCTCATGAATGTAATCCTAGGCTGAGATCTGAGGATCATGGTCAAAGCCCAGGCAGGAGTCTGTAAGACTCTTACCTCCACTAAACAACCAAAAAAGACAGAAGTGAATCTGTGGCTCAAATGGTATAGGCACTAGCCTTGAGCAAAAGCTCAGGGGCAGCATCTAGGCCATGAGTTCAAGCCCCAGGTCTAGCACCAAACCACCCCCCCCCCCAAAAAACAAAAACAAAACTTGCTGTCTATCCAGATGCTGTTGGCTCACAACTATAGTCTTAGCTACTCAGGAGGCTGAGATCATGGTTCAAAGCTAGCCCAGGCAGGAAAGTCTATGAGACTCTTATCTACAATTAACCACCATAAAACTGGAAGTAGGCTGTGCCTCAAGTGGTAGAGTGTTCACCTTGAGCCGAAGAGCTCAGGGAGTGTGCCCAAGCCTAGAGTTCAAGCCCTATGACTGACAAACAAACAGACAAACAAAATATTAACTTGCTATCTAACAAAATAGGTCTGGGAATATGGCTTAGTGGTAGAGTGCTTGCCTAGCATGCATAAATCCCTGGGTTCAATTCCTCAGTACCACATATACAGAAAAAGCTGGAAGTAGTGCTATGGCCCAAGTGGTAGAGAGCTAGCCTTGAGCAAAAGAAGCTCAGCGACAGTGCCTAGACCCTGAGTTCAAGTCCCAGGACTAGCAAAAAAAAAAAAAATAGTTAAGCTTAATTCTAAAAGAAAAACACTCTCCTCTAATCAGGGTTCCTTTTCACTGAAACTGGACATGATGGAGAAAAACTCATACAGCTTCCTCTGAAAGCTACATTAAACACAAGTTTTCCTGCTTTTTCAACCATCTTCATAGAAAGTCTTACCATAATTAAGTATTTCCTTGAAGTCATCTTTTTGGAATTCTGGCAAAACTGGATTAATCCACTCTTGTACTTGAATACCAAGCTCCTTTGATAGTATTTTTAAAGTAGTTGTCTTACCACATCCAGGAGGACCTGTTATTAATAAAATAGATCCACCCTAAAACCAAACACAAAGATTAATTAAAAACCAAAATCAGAACTGGGTGCTGTTGGCTCATGTCTGTAATCCTAGCTACTCAGGAAGCTGAAATCTGAGGATCACAGTTCAAAGCCAGCCAGGGAGGAAAGTCTGTGAGATTCTTATCTCCAACTAACTACCAGAAAACCAGAAGTGGAACTGGGCAAGTGGTAGAGAGCTTGCCTTGAGCTGAAGAGCTCAGGGACAATGAGTTCAAGCCCCACAACAGACCAAAAAAAAAAAAAAAAGAAGTATGGGGCTAGTAATGTGGCTTAGTGGTAGAGTGCTTGCCTTACATTCAGGAAGCAATGTATCCTCAATACCACATAAACAGAAAAAGCCGGAAGTGGCTCTGTGGCTCAAGTGGTAGAATGCTAGCCTTAAGCAAAAGAAGCTCAAGGACAGTATCTAGACCTTTAGTTCAAGCCCCAGGACTGGCAAAAAAAAAAAAAAAGTATGGATTTTTAGGGTATCACAACTGTCCTACATGATGCCACAATGGGCAGATACGTGCCATTTGTCCCTACCAAAGCAAACAACATAATCCAAACCTAATGTTAACTATAGGTTTTGGTTAATGATAAAGATCAATATTGATTCTTCAAGTGTAACAAATGTACCATATCCAATGCAAGACATTAATACTTAGGAAAAACTGGAGAGGGTGTATATAGGAAGTCTATATTTTCTGTTGAATGTTGTGTAAACCTAAAACTGCCCTAAGTAATGAATAAAATAAAATTTTAAAGAGAATAAAAAAATAAAGTATGAAGGAAAAAAAATGTCCTATATGCAAATGAATATTACAATCCTTGCTCTTGTGTTTACCTTTATATGTATTTAGCAAAGATAAGGATTATGTACTTGGACCTAAGAGTGCCACTTTGACTTTGTATGTGTCTATGTGTGTGTCTGTGTGTGCACACAGGCATGTGCCAGTTAGTAGGGCACTTAACCTCAGAGCCTCACTCAATTAAATTAAGGAGCTGTACACAGGGGCTATAATTCTATAAGTCTGGTCCTCATGTTCTTGTTTAGCTTTTTTGTTCAAGGCTAGTGTTCTACTACCTGAGACATATATCCACTTTCAGTTTTTTGATGGGGAGAGAAGAGTCAGATTTGTCTGCGCAGTCTGACTTTAACTGGGATTCTGAGATATCAGCCTCCTGAGTAGCTAAGTTTATAGGCATGAAACACCAGCGCCTGGCTCACTGATATTTTTAATGGCAGGACATGAGTTATGTGGCTGCTATCAGTTCAATGTTAGTGAACACACAATATATTTTAAAATCAGAAACACACATTTTATTTTATTTTTGTGAGGGGGATAAAATAAACATGAGAAATAATTTAAATCTTACTATTTATGAAAAGTCACATTTAAAAGCTATTGGAAGGTCATTTCACATGTTAACTAAGTTTTTACAATAACCCTGTGGATAAGGTATAGGTATTATAACACTTGAAGAATACATTTTAAATGGATGAGGGCTGGGAAGGTGGCTCAGTGGTAGAGTGCTTGCCTTGCATGCATGAGGTCCTAGGTTAGATTCCTCAGCACCACATAAGCAGAAAAAGCCAGAAATGGTGCTTTGGCTCAAGTGGTAGAGCGCTAGCCTAGGAAAAAGAGCTGAGGGACAGCGCCCAGGCCCAGAATTCAGGCCCCACAACAGACTAAATAAATGAATGAATGAATGAATGGATGGATGGATGGATAAGCTGAGGCCAGAGAAGTAGTTCAGTGCCTTCTTAAATTGCACAGGTAATAGAAGGTTATAGAAGAAGTTCATCATCAGCAACAGGAAAGAACTTTGTGAATCTAAAATGTGAGACTTTTGTTGGTCAATTGGTCTGGTCTCTTCAGTTAAGCCAATTTTGTGGAAGAAAAGTGTGAAGATTGTTAGTGATGGTGGTATTTGTGTGTGTGGTTTTCTTTTTTCTTTTTCTGCTTTGGGGGAGGGCAAAAGAGGGTACAGAAAGCGAGGGAAGAAAGGTGAATAAATGCAATCATGGTATTTGGTATACACTGTAGGGGTGACATCATCCAAAAGAGAAACATAGATATTACTTGAATTGTGAAATTCTGAACACCTTAATAGTATTATGTAAAAAATTAAACCCTCAAAAAAAGTGAAGACACCGTTGGCTAATAGATTAAACAACAAAAACAACCACAAAAAACCCTAGCATAGGGACTGGGAAGGTGGCTCAGTGGTAGAGTGCTTGCCTTGCATGCAAGAGGCCCTGGGTTTGATTCCTCAGCGCCACATAAGCAAAAAGAAAAAAGCCAGAAGTGGTGCTGTGGCTCAAGTGGTAGAGCGCTAGCCTTGAGCTGAAGAACTGAGGGACAGCACCCAGGCCCAGAGTTCAGGCCCACAACCGGACCCAAAAAACAAACAAATAAACAAACAAACAAACAAGAAACCCTAGCATACAGCAATCAAATGTAATATAATCCTTATTCATGTTTTAGTTGAAACAAGCCAGTAACAAAAGGCACTTTCATGACAGGAAGTGTGAAATGTTAGGGTGAATTTATTAATTAGACAATATTAGAGCATTATAGTTAATTTTGTTAGTGGAATAGTGTACATATTGTTAATAAGGAGAGAAACATTAAAAGAAGCATATAGCAATATCTGAAAGTCTAAATGAAATGTCACAATGTTTAGGATTTACTACAAAATACGTAAAAGGGTTCAAGCTCCATACAGTCAAACAGACAAATTTAAAGGAGGAAATTAGGTATACATTATGTATATGTGAGTGCTTCTATTTTTATCTTATGTTTGAAAAGTCTCAAAGTTTAAGAAGTGATGAAGAAAAGCATATTCTACTGGAGGGGGATAAGAACTGTGAAATTAGGAAGTGAAACAAAAAACATGACGACTATTTTAAACTACAGCTAACACAAAAACTAGTGGTAATTTGCCTAACTGCTTCAGCTTAAAGTAACCTGATTTGCTTAACATCCCAGTACCCTAATTGGTTTACTATGTACCTTATATTGATTATAAGACGTAAGACAGAAAAAGAGGAAGGAGGAAAGGGCAAATCTCCAAATCTCGGAGTTTTTAACAGAATGGATATAGTAAAGCCACTTCACTTTCTATTGGAGGTCATTTGGACTTAAACAAAGTTGTCATAAAAGATCACTTCTTAAAACATACAGAAAGTCAGAGATATATCTCACATCAAAAAACATGAAAGATATTTTTGTGTAATTACCTGTTTTGGATGCCTTTCCAAGACTTCAGCATTTAACCAGGTTTCAACTTCCTCAATTTTCTTCTTATGTACAGCAAGTTCATGCTAAGATAAAAATTTGAGGTTTTCAATTAAATATTTTAACAAAATTATTTTGCTACATTAGCGCCTATTGACATATTACTAGAGAAAATGCAAACCAGAAACATGCCATATTGTAATAAAATAAGTTTTGATTACACTAGCATTTTTTTTTTTAATTTAATTTAATTTTATTTGTGAACATACTGTACAGAGGAGTTACAGTTACATGGGCAGGATAATGCGTACATTTCTTACCAAGCATAGCATTTTTTTATTACAGGAAAAACCTGATCCTTATGCCAACACCACTGTAATTTTGGGTAAGATTATAATTATAAAACTTTTTTAAGGGCTGGGAAGGTGGCTCAGTGGTAGAGCGCTTGCCTTGCATGCATGAGGCCCTGGGTTCGATTCCTCAGCACCACATAAGCAAAAAGAAAAAAGCCAGAAGTGGTGCTGTGGCTCAAGTGGTAGAGCGGTAGCCTTGAGCTGATGAGCTAAGGGACAGCGCCCAGGCCGAGTTCAGGCCCCACGACTGGACCCCCCCCCCCCCCAAAAAAAAAACTTTTTTAAATTCCAGAAACATGCTTTGGGAAGGGAACATAAAGAGATATTATACTTGGTAAAATAAAGAGATCAGTTCTAGGTTGAAATTAAGTTACATCTAAGACAAAAAAATAGTATAATTCCAGAGTAATTTGACAAAATCAGCCTTAGAACATAAAAATGGAACCCCTCTCCTTCCCATCTATCCTTATGCACTCTGAAATTAAATCATATTGGTTTGGTATTCAATACCTGAGATTCCGGTTTATACTTATCCACCCATGGTTCATTTTCAGACATCCATCCATTTGAATTTTCTAGACCATGAAACTCTTCTAAAGGAGATAACTTTATTTTTTTTCTAGTTGGAAATCTGCTACTTTCTAATATGGAAGGCACATTTTTCCTTCTATGACTTGAATTATTCACACCTGAAGAGTCAGTAGTAATAGTAGAGATGGATGTATTCTCTGAAAAATCATCAAATGAGGGGTCTACCCAGCCTGTTACCTGAAAACACAAATGAACAAACAAAAATTAGGTAAATTATGGGTTTTTTGCATCTACTCTATAAAGCTCAACTATTCTGGACGAAAATATTCCTATAACACAAAATAAAATAAAAATATCACAACCTGGGCTGAGAAGGTGGCTCAGTTGGTAGAGTACTTGCTTTGCATGCATGAGGCCCTGGGTTCGATTCCTCAGCACCACAGAAGCAAAAAAAAAAAAAAAAAAAAAAAAGCCAGAAGTGGTGCTGTGGCTCAAGCAATAGAGTGCTAGCCTTGAGCTGAAGAGCTGAGGGACAGTGCCCAGGCTGAATTGAGGCCCCACAACTGACCTCCACCCCCCAAAATATATATGTATACATCACAAACTATCTTATTTATTTACTTTTCTCAGCAGTCCTGCTATGTATCTCAGCTAGCTTCAAACTCATTATCCTGCCTTAGTCACTTGACTACTAGGATAACAGGCAGATACCACAAAACCTTTTGTTCTTATTTACTTTTAATTTTTTGTTATTAGAAAGATGATATACAGCAGGGTTACAGTTACCTAAGTCAGATAAAAAGTAGATTTCCTTTTGGGCAATGTCTCCCCTACCCTTGCTCCCTCCCAGTTTTTCCCTCCTGTCCCACCCCCACAAGTTGTATAGTACATTTTCAACATAAGGTCTAGAAAGTACCACTGCTGCATTTGTTCACTCTTTGTCCTTCCATTTCTGTGCCCTACCTTATCCTCCTCTTGTTTCTATTTCCCAGAGTTCATTTCAATAAATTATTTTATACGACCAAGGCACATCATTTCTTTTTAATTTTTGTGAAAGGGGCAACACACACAGGCCCAAGCTAATCTCAACTTGTGATCCTCCAGCTTCAGCCTCCCAAATGCTGGGAAACAGACATACATCACTGTGTTTGACTTTTTTTTTCTTTTTGGTCAGTCCTGGGGCTTGAACTAAAGGCCTGAGCACTGTCCCTGAGCTTCTTTTGCTCAAGGCTAGCACTTGAGTCACACCACCACTTTCAGCTTTTTCTGTTTACGTGGTACTGAAGAATCAAATCCAGGGCTTCCTGAATGCAAGGCAAGCACTCTACCACATTTCCAACTCCCTGGCTTATTTTATTTTGAAGGCAAGGTCTTGCTATATAATATAGGCTGGCCTGAAACTCAAGTTCTTCCTGCTTCTGTTTCCTGAGGGCTATGAACAAATTAGACCTTGAAATAAGCTGGGCGAGGTGGCTCACACCTGTAATCCTAGCTGCTGAGGAGGCTGAGATCTGAGGATCTCAGTTCAAAGTCAGCCTGGGCAGGAAAGTGCAGGAAAGTCCGTGAGACTCTTATCTCCAATAAACACTAGAAAACCAGAAGTGGCGCTGTGGCTCAGGCGCACTGGCCTTGAGATGAAGAGTGCAGGGACAGTGCCCAAGCCCAGAGTTCAAGCCCAGCACCGGATTAAATAAATAAATAAATAAAACTGGCTCCATGTTATTACTTTTCCACTTTACGGTAAGTACATAAATTTAAATATTTTCCTACTTGACCAATGTAATGATAAATCACACCAGACTAAGAAAATAAGTTAATTCTTTATATTAATAGATAATCTTCTCAAAATAAAGAAGAGTATTTTTTAAACTCTTGGTATACCTGAAACATGAATATTACCTATTTTTAATAAACAGAACAAGCTAGGCACTGGTAGCTCATGCTTATAATACTAGCTATTCAAGAGGCAGACATCAAGAATCTCAGATGAAAGACAGCCTGGGAAGATAAATCCTCAAGATGCTTATCTCCAATTAACCAAGAAGATGGGTGTGGAGACCGCGACAGTGTGAGAACCTCGAGTTCAAGCCCCTGTATCAGCACAACAAAACAAAGTCGGTGGTGGCTCACGCCTGTAATCCCCACTACTCAGGAGACCAAGATGTGTGGATGGTGGCTCAAAGCAGGCTTGGGCAGGAAAGTCCATAAAACTCTTATCTCTAATTAACCACAAAAAATAAAACAAAACAGAAGTAGAGCTGTGGCTCAAGTAGTACCATGACAGCCTTAAGCAAAAAAGCTCAGAAACAGTGTCCAGGACTTGAAATCAAGTCCAGGACCAACACCAAAAAACAAACTTAAAAAAACAAATGAACAAAAAATACAAGAACTGGGAGGGGGGAGGGAGAGATATATCTCATAAATATAGCATTTGCCTAGCATGAACAAAGCTATGGGTAGTTTGACTTGCAGCAATACACACTCTCTCTCTCTCTCTCAAATATATTATTTTAGCAAGACATAGCAATAAAAAGAATAACAATTGTGCTGTGGCCAAAGAACCATTTCATATATCCAAATAATTCATATTAGCTTTAAATTTGTGAAAAGAAAGAATCATAATGTAATAACTACTAACTAGGACACTATTATTTTTCTTCTACGCACAAAGCAACATACTTTTTTTTTTTTTTTGGGGGGGGGGGGGTCTGGTCCTGGGGCCTGAACTCTGGGCCTGGGTGCTGTCCCTAGAGTGCTGGCTAGCGCTCTACCACTTGAGCCACAGCGCCACTTCCAGCTTTTTTCTTTTTGCTTATGTGGTGCTGAGGAATTGAACCCAGGGCCTCATGCATGCAAGGCAAGTGCTCTACCACTGAGCCACCTTCCCAGCCCAACACGCACATTTTTCAAAGCCAGGCAAGCTTGTCAGGTGGGACAAGATGTATTACACAGAGAAGTTTAGGAAAAGAACACTGGGATAACAGAGCAGAATGAATCAGTGAGTTCTATTTCCTGAACTTCTGCATTATAGAAACTGTCTCTCCTCATTTTTCCTATCATTTCATTTCTTGAAATCCCTCCTAAGATGCTGAATTGAGAAATTTTTCATCTAAAAACATTTAGAAGCACTAAAAAGTGTTTTTTAAATTTGGTTTTTGCTTTTTAATTTTTCTATCAAGAATACTCAGCTTGGGCTAAGGGTATACCTCACTTGCCTAGCCTGCTCTAGCTTCAATGTCCAGCAATGGAGAGAAAGGGAAGGAAAGAGCAAGATGAAAAGGAAAGGAAGAAAGAACACTCAGCTACATTTGCAACCTATTTATTCTCCTCTATTCCTCTCTGGGAGAAAAAGAATTAGAAGTTAACAAAACTGGTGCTGGTGACTCATACCTGCAATCCTAACTAGTCAGGAGACTGAAATTTGAGGATCTCGGTTTGAAGTTAGCCCCAGCAGGAATGTCCATGAGACTGTTGTCTCCAATTAAGCACAAAAAAAAAAAAAAAAAAAGAAGCCAGAAGTGGAGCTGTAGCTCAAGTGCTAGAGTGCTAGCCTTGAGCAAAAACACTTAGGGACAGCACCAAGGACCTAATTTCAAACCCCAGCACCAGCACACACACAAAAAGGAATTAGAAGTTGAACATAAGCATACACTCTCGGTCTGATAAGTATTTTATCAATGCTAAGTCACGTTTCATTTTTTTAAGACAAAGGGTTAAGTATATTATCTGCAATAGATAAAGGACATTAGGAAAAAATTTTGTAATAGCATGTTTCATTTCATCCTTGTCAATGTTAGTATAATTTTTCTCTTTCCCCTGTATTTAAGCATACATGAACCACTGTTACATTAAACAGTAAATTTCATCTTATAGCAATTTTTTTTTTTTTTTGCCAGTCGTGGGGCCCGAACTCTGGGCCTGGGCACTGTCCCTCAGCTCTTCAGCTCAAGGCTAGTGCTCTACCACTTGAGCCACAGCGCCACTTCCAGCTTTTTTCTGCTTATGTGGTGCTGAGGAATCGAACCCAGGGCTTCATGCATGCAAGGCAAGCACTCTACCACTGAGCCACCTTCCCAGCCCCTAGCAATTTTGATTTAAGTATTTATAGTTTTATTTCTTACACTAATACAAACTCCCATCTACTGGGAAAAAAACTATGACATTAATTTATTTACTATCATATAGAAATTAGAGCTACCACTTGGGATAGAGGTACTTTGCGTGAATATGATACTGTCTGTCCCATTCCCAAACCAATCCCTAACTTGCTGAGAACTGACACACCGAAAAACGTGATTTCTAAGTGACAAAGTCTGTGGCTAAGCTATATAGGTATAGATATAGATATAGATATATACACACACACACACACAAAAATATATATATAAAAACCAATGACAATCTCACAAATCTCTGTTGTCTTTCCATTAAAAAAAATGACAGGGGCTGGGAAGGTAGCTCAGTGGTAGAGCGCTTGTCTTGCATGCCTGAGGCCCTGGGTTCGATTCCTCAGCACCACATAAGCAAAAAGAAAAAAGCTGGAAGTGGCACTGTGGCTCAAGTGGTAGAGCGCTAGCCTTGAGATGAAGAGCTGAGGGACTGCGCCCAGGCCCACAGTTCAGGCCCCACAACTGGGCCCCTCCCCCGCCAAAAAAGACAGCTTTCTTGTGACTGCAATTATAGAATCCACTTAAGAATTAAAATTGGAGGGCTGGGAAGGTGGCTCAATGGTAGAGCACTTGCCTTGCATGCCTGAGGCCCTGGGTTCAATTCCCCAGCACCACATAAGCAAGAAGAAAAAAGCCGGAAGTGGCGCTATGGCTCAAGTGGTAGAGCGCTAGCCTTGAGCTGAAGAGCTGAGGGACAGCGCCCAGGCCCAGAGTTCAGGCCCCATGACCAAAAAAGAATTAAAATTGGTTATTTTTTTATCATATGTCAAACTTATTACTAATTACAACAGCTACTAAGTATTGTACTTTGATAGCAATTCACTAAGAAAACCCACAAAAAATTGTCATTTTATGCAGTTTTACAAAGCAATCTGAGTGTTTCATACCTTTGTGGAAGATACCTTTGGCCTAAGACCTATTTTTGACATTATAAACTTCAGTAGTTTCCATCCATAGTACACAAGTGGTAATATATTAAGGTATAATTCACCTGGGGAATGAGAGAAGAAAAATACTTCAGATTAAGAAAAACAAAATACAGAATTACAGTATGTATGCATGCATATGCACTATATTATCAATAATAAAGGAACACAGTAAAAATAAGAGAAAAGTAAAAATAAGGGAAAAATTCAAACTGCTAAAATAAAATTTACTTTTATACCTGACTTTTGTAACTGTAACGCCTCTACATCACCTTTATAAAAAAACACTTTTTAAAAATTTACATTTAAATACCATGACCTTATTAAATAATTTGTGGTGGTATAAATGGAATGTTTTTCACATGAACTCAATGATGCATTAGAAAAAACAGAAAGTAACATCTGTGTATCTAATTTTGTCACAAAATGAAATTAGACAATCCTATTTAAGCAGTTTTCAATACTGAAAAGTGAAGTCTTGCTTATCTCAAATTATAATTGCAAATTATATTTCTTCATTTCCAAGTTCGAGAACAACATACAATGAAATCAAACTGATCATATACTTTGGATTTAAATATTTTCTATAATCGTCTTCCTTACTTGACATTAGAAACTTTCATTGGCAATACTGTTCTTCAATTTTAATGTCCTTTAATGCTTCTGGAAAATAGTAAATAGAACTAGTGAAAGCGAATTCAAATTAGCCACAAAAGGTTTCTGAGCCTACAAACTTAAGCTGTTACACTACTTGTCGGTACACATAATCTTATAGAGCAAACATCCATGGATGACCATTCAGTCTGCCTCCCGCCTCCAAAAGAAAGTTCATGACTGAGCTTTGAAGTTTCATAACGGTATATTGGGAGAAAAATAAATCTATTTTAGTAAATATATATGGCAGGCCGAAATAAATGATTGACTGCTAGGAGGACTCTAGTCAGAAAACAAGCCTGACAATCATCTCCTTTTAAAAGGAGGTGACTGTCCTTTGATGTCCTGAAATGAGACGTCAGAGGCAGAAGAGACCTTGAAAACTACAGGACACCCGCCAACCCCCACCAACACCACACACACAGCACAGGGGACACTAAGCTCATTCATCCAAGGAAACTCTGCAGTCCACGGAGACGCTCTTCTCCGACGGGATGGGCGGGCCAGGAGGAGGAGCGCTGCGAGCCCGGGAAGGGGTGAGGAAAAAGACGGTATCGACGTCTGCGACAGATAATAAAGTCGCAGCCTCGGCGGCCTTACTTTGCGGGAGCTGCATTCCTACGTGGACGGAGAAGAACCGAGGAGGCCACGCTCTGCGCACGGTGGAATAGAGCAGCCACCCACCCGGCCCTCGAGCCGCTCACAGCGCCGGGCCGCCCGGAGGTCCGGCCTCCTGGGGTCCTTCAAATCTAACCGGCGCTTCCGCGACGCACCCTGAAGGGAGGGGGACACCGAGGACCGAGCGACTTAGGCATCCACCGCACTGCCTGACCGAAAGGCGAGGAAAGGAGTTTCATTTTCATGTTTGCTTTTACCCCCTGCTTTCGATCAAGTGGTGACGCCTATCGTAGAAGGCTGGGTAAACGACAGCCCGCGACTGGGCAGGAGACGGCGGGTGGGGAGAGCCGCCCAGGGTCTCAAGGACCTCCGGGCTGCAGGCGCCGGCGGCCGCTCCCTCTTCCGGCGGCTCTGCGTCCGCGCGTCCGGCCCGCGAGCCTGGCGTTTGGAATCGTCGCGGCGAAGACTATGCGGCGCCCGAACATCCTGCTCACCGGTTAGATCGCGCGGCTGGGAAGGGCTGGACGGCGGGACGAGCAGCAGGACTCCTAGGGCTCTGGGGACGCTAAGGGTGCTGTGCTGGGTTGAGGAGGCCGCGTGCCGCGGCGTGTGGAGGCGGGGCGCGGCGCGGCGCGGTCCGGGGGCCTCAGGCCGGGCCCGCGGGCGTAGGTGCGGGGGCGCGGCGTGTGGAGCGGGGGGGGGGGGGGCGTCCGGGCTCGCGGCCGTTGGGAGCGAGGGGGAGGGGCGCGGACGTTATTTCCGTTGGCCTGGGCGCTCGAGTTGGCGTCGCCGTCGCCGGGGCGGTGGGAGGCTGCGGGGCCCGCGCTGCTGACCAGAATTCCTCCGGCTCTTTCTGAGTCGGGTCTTCGGCGTGTAAGATGGGCCGTGAGGGCCGTGTGTGTGTGTGTGTGTGTGTGTGTGTGTTTCGTAACGTGGGGTGGTGTGAGGCCGTGTTTCCCCTCAGGAAAATCTACTGGAGATGGCTGCCTCCTCTCCTCAGGCCTTCCAGAATCGGCTGCTCTTCTTGGCCTTTGCGGGGGTGGGGGGTGGGGGATGGGGGTTGGGGTGGGGGGATGGGGGGTGGGGTGGGGGCGGGGGGATTTCAAATGTGGGGTTTCGGAAAATGAGTTTAGATTCATAGGAAGGGATTGTGTACGTTCGCTAAGCATTAGAGTGAGTGTGTGTGTGTCTGTCGTCCGTCTGTCTGTGTGTCTGTCTCTTTTTTCTCTTAATGACAAGGCAGCTCAACATGTCCGTTCCTTGCTGACGTCGGAATAGTATAAAGATTCCGGGCCGATGGTGGAGTTCTCTTTCCGTTCTTCCGAACCGTGTTGAGTTTTCGTTTCCTCAGTAAAGGGAAATGAGACGGCGACCGACGACTTTAAACTGTATTCTCGGTGGTCTTTTCACTCTGCAGATATTTACCAAGTTGTAGCCGTTAATATTGCCACTCAGGTCATTTACATAGGTGCGGGTGATGCGCCTACATAAAGATACTCTGTGGAAATAAAGTTTTAGCAGTTAAGGAAAGCTAAGATTCTAAGCAGGACAGTGCTTAATTTTGTTTTTGTACTCTGGTACTGGGGCTTGAACTCTGGGCCTCATTTTGCTTTTTTCGTTTAAGGCTAGCGCTTTGCCACCTGAGCCACACCTACTTTTGGCTTTTTGCTGGCTAACTGGAGATACGAGTCACGTGCTTTCCTGCCCTGGCCAGCTTTGAACCCTGGTCTTTAGCTCTTAACCTCCTGAGTAAGTTTAACAATACAGTTCAAAAAGAAATAGGGCTGGGGGCTGGGAAGGTGGCTCAGTGGTAGACGCTTGCCTTGCATGCATGCAGCCCTGGGTTCAATTCCTCAGCACCACATAAGGAAAAAGAAAAAAAAAAGCCAGAAGTGGCACTGTGGCTCAAGTGGTGGAGCGCTAGCCTTGAGCTGAAGAGCTGAGGGACAGCGCCCAGGCCCAGAGTTCAGGCCCCATTACCAGACCCCTCCCACCCCACTCCCCCAAAAAAGAAATGGGCTGGGAATGTAGCTCAGTGGTAGAGCCACTAGCCTTGAGCCAAAGAAGCTAAGTGACAGTGCCCAGGCCCTGAGTTCAAGCCCCATGACAGGCAAAAAAAAAAGAAGGGCTGGGGACATGGCTCAAGTGGTAGAGTACCTGCCTAGCATGCCAGAGTCCCACCAAAAAAAAAAAAAGCTCATTCTACTCTGAGACTGAGGATGTTGATTTGAAGCCAGCCTGGGGCAGGAAAAGTCCCTAAGACACTTTTGTGGGGGTTTTTGGGGAGGAGGGAGAATGAGGGGTCCATCATGGGGCCTGAACACCGTGCCTGGGTGCTGTTCCTTGATCTCTTCAGCTCAGGTGAGCACTCTACCACTTGAGCCACAGCGTCACTTCCGATTTTCTGGTGGTTTGTTGGAGATAAGAGTCTCTTGGACATTCCTGCCCAGGCTGGCTTTGAACCGTGATCCTCAGATCTCAGTCTCCTGAGTAGCTAGGATTACAGGTGTGAGCCACTAGTGCCCAGCTCTGAGACTTTGGGGGAAGCAGAGTGTGGTCCAAGTGGTATAGCCCCAGCTTTGAGTTCAATTCCGAGTACACATGTATGTACATTAAATTCCAAGTTTAACCTAACTGTATTATAGCGTATTTGAGGTGCTTTATTACATCAAGAGTTTTGATTTGTCTCTGTTGCATTTAATTATAATGGTGAGATTTAGTAGCTTTAATGGCTTTAACATGCTGTTGAATTTGAGTATCTTGGAGTGAGATATAAAAGGAAGGTAAAGAATAGTGTGTAGTTTTGCCACTTAGGCAAAAAGAGAACGTGTGTACATGGTATCCATGGATGCACACATACAACAGGTACCATATATCCTTTTCTCTATACATAACACATGTGCAAGGCTTCTTTGGGAAACATTTTTAAGAACCTGGTTTCAATGGAAGGACATAGGAAAGAGGACCCAGGGGTAGAAGTCTTAATGAGCTAATGTTTGAGGGTTTTTTTTTTGTTTGGTTTCTTTTTGTTGGTACTAAATACTTCTATTGAGCTACATTCCCAGTCCTTAATCTGCCCTGTTCCCCCATATACACACACACACAAACATTTGTTTTTTAATTAAAGCAATAACTGATGGTAGTTAATGTCAGCTTGCTAATTTTATTCTGGGTAGTTCATATTGGTGACAGGCAAAATTGTATTGGCATCAAAATCTCCTGAGCCCCCATCCCAGGAGAATCACATACAGAATGAGATTTTGACAACCAGGTGATACCTCTGAAAGTTTTGGGTAGATCATAGTATATTCTTTCATGTTCTAATTGGGGCAATTTTCATATTGGTGGTTATGAACTTTTTGTTTTGCTTTGTTTTCTATTTTATTTTATGGTGGTTACGAACTTTAAGGATAGAAGATGATTGAAGTCCAAGTAATTACTTGAAGTTTTTTTTTTTTTTTTTTTGTGGCTTGTCTTAACAGGTACACCAGGGGTTGGAAAAACCACACTAGGCAAAGAACTTGCCTCAAGATCAGGACTGAAGTATATTAGTGTGGGTGATTTAGCTCGAGAAGGTAAGGGATGCTTTGATATTTGGGTTTTGTTTTTGTTTTTGAAAGTCAGGTTGTAGAGTATTAGCTAGCTGTTATAAGAGGGTACAAATAGGAGAAAGATTAGCGTGTTAAGGACTTTTTGATGGAAAAAAATGTTTAAGCAAGCTCACAACTGTAATCCCAGACAGAAAAGTACAGGAGACTCCCAGATCAAAAAAAACTGGCAGAGAGTGTGGCTCAAATGATAAAGTTCTAGCAAGCAAGTAAGTTGAGGAACCATGAGGCTCTGAGTCCCCTGGTACCAGCGCATACAAGTATAGACCTTTATGTTGAGCCATAGAAATCTTTAAAAATATGTATAATACTATTAATGGTAACATTCACCAATTTCCCCCCTACCACCAACTAGTAGTGTTTTTTGTTTTTTGGGTTTTTTTTGCCAGTCCTGGGACTTGAACTCAGGGCCTGGGCGCTGTCTCTGAGCTTTTGCTCAAGGCTAGTACTCTTAACACTTGAGTCACAACGCCAGTTCTGGCTTTTTTTGTTTATGTGGTACTGAAGAATCAGGTCTTCATGAATGCTAGGCAAGCACTATACCACTTAAGCCACATTCCCAGCCCTAGCAGTGCTTTAGAACAATAATATTAGTTCTTTAGAACAATAATATTAATGGAGGCTTCCATGAAAAGATTGGACACATAAAATCTCAATATAAAAAGGCAGGAGAATAAGACAGTGAATGTATTAATCTTATGGAAAAGACAGATTATTTTGAACTCAGTGAATAGGATATGCTTGTCCTTTGGTATTTTCTTAGGTCAGCTTGATTGCTGTATGTATGCATGCAACTACATACATTCTAAAATGATGAATGTTTGATTTTTTTACCCTGTTTTCCCCTAATCTTTATTTTTTATTTATTTTTTGTTCTGCAATTTATAGGGCAGGAGCTCAGTACACTTAAGCAAAGGGAACTCTTTATTAAAATTAAGATGTAATTTGTTTTAAACCTTAAAAATACTTATTTTAACATAATTTTTAAATGTTAAGTTCCTCACATTTGTTGCTAAAATAATTTTGGTTTGATCTAATGTGCATATTCTTTTTAAATGAACTAAAGTCTGATCACCGGCTATCATGGAGTCTGGCAAGATGGCTTCTCCCAAGAGCATGCCGAAAGATGCACAGATGATGGCACAAATCCTGAAGGATATGGGGATTACAGAATATGAGCCAAGAGTTATAAATCAGATGTTGGAATTTGCTTTTCGTTATGTGACTACAATTCTAGATGATGCTAAGATTTATTCAAGCCATGCTAAAAAAGCTACTGTTGATGCAGATGATGTACGATTGGCCATCCAGTGTCGGGCTGACCAGTCTTTCACTTCTCCTCCTCCAAGAGATTTTCTGTTAGATATTGCAAGGCAAAGAAATCAAACCCCTTTGCCATTGATCAAACCATATTCAGGTCCTAGATTGCCACCTGATAGATATTGCTTAACAGCTCCAAATTATAGACTTAAGTCTTTACAAAAAAAGGCATCTACTCCTGCAGGAAGAATAACCGTTCCACGGTTAAGTGTTGGTTCAGTCAGTAGCAGACCAAGTACTCCCACACTGGGCACACCAACCCCACAAACAATGTCTGTTTCTACTAAAGTGGGAACTCCAATGTCCCTCACAGGGCAAAGATTTACAGTACAAATGCCTGCTTCTCAGTCCCCTGCTGTAAAAGCATCAATTCCTGCAACATCAGCAGTTCAGAATGTTCTGATCAATCCATCATTAATTGGTTCCAAAAACATTCTTATTACCACTAATATGGTGTCACAAAATACGACCAACGAGTCATCAAATGTATTAAAAAGAAAGCGTGATGATGATGATGACGATGACGATGATGATGATGACTATGATAATTTGTAATCTAGCCTTGATGCATGTAATAAGTATTTTTGGTCTTGAATCCATTGTACTGAAATTAAGCATGCTGGATGTTTTCGTTGTATTTTAGAAACTTTATAAATAGTATTTAATGAGTACTTTTCAATTGAAATGTTTGGTTTTCTTTAATAGCACTAGAAATGGTTTTTCTTCAGCCTTTATATGTAAAAAATAAAGTTGTTATTTATCAATTAGATGTTGGTACTTTGGCAGTATGTTTTTAAAAACATTTTCTCCCTCCTCACCAGAAGGAAATAAGGGTTACAACATTCATTATTTTGAATGTTACCTTTTGTGTCTTCAGATATTTAATCATACTTAACAATATATTTTCTCAGATTGCTCAAGTGTAACTGATTCTATTTAGAGAGACTAATTGGTCAAGATGGTTAGATCTGTTTAGATTTGTCCTCAGTTTCTCAACTTTCTAGGTTGTCTCCCCACCCTATTAGTATATTAAGGATTATTGGCATCTTCATTTCTTTGATTACTTTTTTCCAGTGTCCTTTTTTGCAGCTCTGCTTTTAAGCATTTTTTGTCTTTTTTTTTTTTTTTTTTTGGTTGTGGGGCCTGAACTCTGGGCTTGGGCGCTATCCCTCAGCTCTTCAGCTCAAGGCAATCGCTCTACCACTTGAGCCACAGCACCACTTCTTGGTTTTCTAGTGATTTATTGGAGATAAGAGTCTCACAGAGTTTCCTGCCCGGGCTGTCTTGGAACCGTGATCCTCAGATCTCAGCCTCCTGTATAGCTAGGATTACAGGCGTGAGCCACCAGCGCCAGCTGCCCAGCTAAATTTTAAACTCTTCAATGCAGCCTTGAAGCCCCTTTGTCTAGCCTCAGCTTACTTGGCCCCTTATTCCTAATTTCTTTTTCTAAGAAACTAGGGCTGGGGGCTGGTAGCATGTCGTAAGTGGTAGAGCATCAGCCTAGCAAGCACGAGGCCCTGAGTTCCAAACCCCAGTACTGACCAAAACAAAACACTATCCTTATGGGCTGGGGATGTGGCTTAGTGGTAGAATGCTTCCCTAGCATGCATGAAGACCTAGGTTTGATTCCTCATTACCACATACACAGAAAAAGCTGAAGTGGCAGATTGCTAATCTTGAGCAAAAGAAGCTCAGGGACAGTATCTAGATCCTGAGTTCAAGCCCCAGGACTGGCAAAAAAAAAAAAAACAACTTATTAAGAATGTGAAGGACTTTCCTGCCCAGTTAGCTTTGCACTACAATCCTGAGACCTCAGCCTCTTAAGTAGGTAGGATTATAGGCTTGAGCCACTAGTGCTCTTGCTCACACTCTCCCCCATTTTTCCTCCCTCCTCCTTTTCTCCCTGTCCCTTTCCCTCTCTCCTCCCCTCTCCCTTTCTCTTTCTCCCTCTCTCCCCCTTACCCCTTTTCCCTTTCTCCTCCCTCTTTCTGTCTCCCTCTCTTCTCCCGTCTCCTTTTTCTCCCCTCCCTTTCTCCTCTTCTTTTTCTCCTCTTTCTCTATTGACCAGGGATTAATATCAGGGACTCCTGCTCTCAATTTCCACTTTGGGTTAGTGCTTGGCTACTTAAACCACACCTCCACATTCAGCTTTTTGCTGGCTAATGGAATATAAGATAGATTTTCCTACCTGGGCTGGCATAGAACCCAAATCTTTAGTTCTCACCCTCCTGAGTCACTAGTATAGGCTTGAGCCATCAGCTCTTGGATTTTATTTTCTTTTCTTTTTTTCCCGGTCATGGGGCCTGAACTCTGGGTCTGGGCGCTGTCCCTCAGCTCTTCAGCTCAAGGCTAGCGCTCTACCACTGGAGCCACAACGCTATTTCCGGCTTTTTCTGCTTATGTGGTGCTGAGGAATCGAACCCAGGGCCTCATGCATGCGAGTCAAGCACTCTACCACTGAGCCACCTTCCCAGCCCTGGATCCTATTTTCTAATGGTTTGAAAACTCCCTCAGAGTCTTCCCTCCTTTGATCCCTACCTAGCTAATTGCTTCGTATCTGTTTAGAACTTATGCTAGGAAAGCCCCTTAATATCCTAGGTTTATGTCAGCTGTTTATACAACACCTAGAGCCAGAAAATTAAAATAATTCCCAGATGTCTTTATTACAATTTTATTAGAAATGCTTTGAGAGAACTTCATTTTGTTCACTTTTTTTTCTAGTTGTGGGACTTGAACTCAGGGCTGGGCTCTGTGCCTTAGCTTCTTTGGGCTCAAGGCTAGTGCTCTTACCCCTTGAGCCACAGTGCTGCTTCTAGTTTTTGAGTGGTTAATTGGAGATAAGAGTATCACAGGGACTTTTCTGCCCAGGCTGCCCTTGAATATCGATCCTCAGATCTCAGCCTCCTATAGTAGCTAGGATCACAGGCATGAGGCACCGCAACTGGTATTTGTTCAATGTTTAGTCCTCATTGTCCATCCCTTCTGTTAGTACAAGGTATTTGATAAAGTTTTTTGAAGTAAACATTTCAGTTTGGATAATGAATTCTACATGTCAACATTGTAATAAGAAACACTTTTTTGGTGGTGTGTGTGTGTGTATGTCTGTGTGTGTGCTGGTTCTGGGGCTTGAACTCATGGCCTAGCTGCTGTCTCTGTGCTTATTTTGCTCAAGGATAGTGCTATAGCACTTAAGTCACAGCTCCACTTCTGGCTTTCGTAGTAGTTTATTAGAAATAAGAGTCCCATAGACTTCTGCCCAGGCTGGCTTCAAACTGATCCTCAGATCTCGAATTCGTGAGTATTCAGGATTATAGGTGTAAGCCACTGATACTTGGCTAAGAAACATTCTAAAAGTGGCTATAGATGTCTCTCTTACCTTGTATTTTTTAAGATTTTGGTAATCTTTGGGTCAGGAATTAAAATATGAAATAATATCATATGACTACTACATAGAATGATCAACTATATAGGTATTCTTGAATTTCGTGGTATTGTTGCCCTTCTGAAGGTTTCATATCCAGTGGGTATGAAAGGTTTCATAGGGCTGAGAAGGTGCTTGAGGCCCTGGGTTCGATTCCTCAGCACCTCATAAGCAGAAAAAAAAGCCGGAAGTGACACTGTGGCTCAAGTGGTAGAGTGCTAGCCTTGAGTTGAAGAGCTGAGGGACAGAGCCCAGGCCCAGAGTTCAGGCCCCACGACCCCCCAAAAAAAAGGTTTTATATCCATCTGGATCTGAAAAGCTGAACCTGTATGTCCAGCTTCTCAGTAAGCTGAGGCAGTACAGTCCCTTGAGCACAGGAGTTCTCAGGCCATCCCTGATAACAGTGAGATCCTGTCTCAAAAGAAAAAATAACATACAGATATGTGTGTGTCCATGTGTGTGCTGGTCATGTGGCTTCACTCAGGCCTATGCACTGCCCCTGAGCTGTTTTGCTAGAGGATAGTGCTCTACCACTTGAGCCACAGCTCTACTCCCTACTTTTTGTTGTTATTTGGAGGTAGTCTCTCCTGTCCAGTGGGCTCTACAGGTTCTATCCCAGCTATGTCTGGAAGCGTAAATGGGTCCACAATGGCCCAGGCAAAAAGTGAGACTCACCTCAAAATAATCAGCATAGTGAACTGGAGGGATGACTCACGCTGTAGAGCACCTGCCTGGCAATCTCAGTTCTCTGTGCCCTGAGTTCATACTCTAGCACTTCCAATTAAAAGAAATTAGCTCTTTAATCTACAGTTTGTAGATGAAGATTTAGATTGTTTTCTAACTTGTTAACAAATTTTTCCCATACCAGCAGTAGTCCATTAGGCACTGGGATGCCCAGAATCATTCCACAGGCCCCCCAGGCAAGACAATTACAGGAGTTTCTGTAGTAAGATCTCAGAATGATGGTTTGAAGCCAGGCTAGGGTTTTATCTCCAACTATGAGTGAAAAAAGCCAAGCAAGAGGCCATGAATTCAAGCTCCAGTATCTCCACAAGAGTTAATAAATAATAATATAGGCACTGGTGGCCTATAATCCTAGCTACTGAAGAGGCAGAGATCTGAGGATCAAGGTTCAAACCCAGGCTAGGCAGGAAAGTTTATGAGAGTCTTATCTCCAATAAAACTACCAAAAAAGCCAGAAGAGAAGCTGAGGCTCGAGTGGTAGCATACTATCCTTGAGCAAAAGAAGCTCAGGGACAACACCTAGTCCCAGAGTTCAAGCCCCAGAATCAGTATGAAGGAAAAAAAAAACAAGAAAAACTATTCAAGTTGTAGGGCATTTGCCTGGTATGTGTAACACCTTGGGTTTTATTTCCAGTGCCAAAAAAAGTAGGGGAGGGAGGTAAGAAGACTCCATAACTTTTTTTTTTTTTTTGGTTGGTTGTGGGGCTTGAACTGTGGGCCTGGGCACTGTCCCTCAGCTCTTCAGCTCAAGGCTAGCGCTCTACCACTTGAGCCATAGCACCACTTCCGGTTTTCTGGTGGTTTATTGGAGATAAGAGTCTCATGGGCTTTCCTGCCTAGGCTGGCTTTGAACCATCAGATCTCAGGCTTCTGAGTAGCTAGAATTACAGGCTTGAGCCACCACCATTTTCTTAAAGCTGGCTAAAGTATGATTTAAGCCTGCCTTAAACTAACTCTTAGGAATGAAGGTGGTTGGTATGTCCTAGCTCCTGAAATAAGACTTCTTTTAAAGCCAGTTGTTACTTGTTGAAATTTAAATTTGCCTCTGGGTGCTGTTGCTTTGTACCTTTAATCCTGGCTAGTAAGTTCTTGAACTGAGAATCAAGGTTCAAAGCCAGCTGGAAGTGGAGGTGTGGTTCAAGCTGTGAAAGAAAATGCTGAGAGCTCAATACTTTTGTGCTTTGATTTGCCTTTTCATTTCTTTTTTTCAGTGTTGAGTTAAACCTAGAGCCTAATTATATGAATTTAGTACCACTTACATATATCCCTGGCCTTAAATATACCTTCTCTATAGCTTCCCTCATCATTTTTGTTTTGTCTTAAGTAAAGCATAACTCTCAAGAGGAATGGCTTTTGGAGGAGCTGGGAATTTGGAAGTAAAGGTTATATCCAGGCCTGGTGCCAGTGGCTCATACCTATAATCCTAGCTATTCGGGAGGCTGAGATCTGAGGGTTGTAGTTTGAAGCCAGCCCTGGCAGGAAAGTCCTTGAAATGCTTATCTCCAATTAACAACCAGAAAAGCTGGAAGTGGAGCTGTGGCTTAAGTAATACAGCACTAACAATGAGCAAAAAAGCTCAAAGATAGCTAGTGCCCAGGTCCCGGGACTGGCGCGTGCGCGCACACACACACACACACACACACACACACACACACACACACACACACACACTATATTCAGGGACATCTGAATATAAACCCCAACACACACACACACACACACACACACTATATTCAGGGACATCTGAATATAAACCCCAAGTACCTCTTTCCAAGCCTCATGAAAAAGTGAAGTTCATTAACAGGGAGTTTACTTCTGGAATCAAGAACCTAAACTTGCTGCTGAGAAGTGCATATAAATATATATTTTTTTATTTTTTGGTCAGTCATGGGACTTGAACTCTGGGCTTGGGCACTGTCTCTGCACTCTTCAGCTCAAGGTGAGCGCTCTACCACTTGAGCCAGAGCTCCACTTCAGTTTTCTAGTGGTTTATTAGAGTCTCATGGACTTTCCTCCCCAGTCTGGCTTTGAACCACAATCCTCAGATCTCAGCCTCCTAAGTAGCTAGGATTACAGGCGTGAGCCACTGGCGCCTGGTGAGAAGTATATTTTTGACCTAAACATCTGGAATTTAATCTGCTTTTAATACATCTTAGGATGTTGTTTTACCTGTTCATATATTCCTTCTTCACACCAATGTGTAACTCAATCTCAAAAATTCTGATGTTGGTTATTTTATTATTTATTCACTTTTGTGTCAAGGACTTGGACTCAGAGCCTGGGGTCCCTGATCTTTGTTATTCAGAGCTAGTACTCTACCACTTAAGCCATAGCTCTGTGTCCTGCCTTTTTGGTGCTTAATTTGAGAAGAGAATCTCATGGACCCCTGCCCAGGCTGGACTCGAATTGTCATCCTCATAAGTCATCCTCTGAGTGACTGGTAATACAGATGTGAGCCACCAGCACCTGGCCTCTTCATTTCTTTTAGTTTATTTCAACTTTGATATTTGAGTTTCAAGTAAGCTTAAATTACATGACTGTAGCCCTAGCACTTTGGAGGCTGAAGCCAAGGAGATCACAAGTTGAGGCTAAACCTGAGCTACACAGTAAGATTCTGTCTCAAAAAACAAAAATGAACAACGTGGAAAAATTGGCTTTTTGTTTTTGCTTTTGTTGGCCATTAGGCTTGAACTCAGGGCCTAGGCACTGTCCCTGAGCTTCGCTCAAAGCTAGCACTCTACTATTTGGGTTCACAGCTCCACTTCCAGTTTTTTAAGTGTTTAATTGGAGATGAGAATCTCACGGGGACTTGTCTGCCCAGGCTGGCTTTGAACCGTGATCCTCAGATCTCACCCTCCTGAATAGCTAGGATTACAGGCATGAGCCATGGGCACCCGGCTAGACGTGGATCTTAAAGCCAAACTACAAAGGGTACTAAACAAAATATCCCCAAGTTCATGATATTCTCTTGACTTAATTATGGCTAATACTCTAATCATATATATAGTGGCAGAACAAAAGTGGATTTTTTTTACTTGTGGAAAAAATGTTTTGAATTTATTATCCATGCTTTCTTTTTCCTTTTTTTTTTTTGTCGGTTGTGGGGCTTGAACTCTGGGCCTGAGCGCTGTCCTCAGCTCTTCAGCTCAAGGCTAGCACTCTACCACTTGAGCTACAGTGCCACTTCCGGTTTTCTGGTGGTTTATTGGAGTTTCACTGGACTTTTCCTGCCCGGGCTGGCTTTGAACCTCGATCCTCAGATCTCAGCCTCCTGAGTAGCTAGGATTATAGGCGTGAGCCACCAGCGCCCAACTTATCCATGCTTTCTTCTACACAAAATTTTATCAGTATTGCCCTTTATATTTGCATCTAAAAGAATAATTGGCAATATGTTTCCTAAAGAATAGAATTATTTGAAAATTGTAGAAGAGAGAGGGCAAACTGAAGGTGAGTATAGATAAATACCAGCGGTGGAAGAGATGAGTTTGATTAGGATATGTTGTGTGCATGTATGGAAGTGTCACAGTGACTCCCTCCCCCTTGTGCAAGAAATGATGTGGGTTAATAGAAGCTAATGTAAGTTACTTAAAAAAATACTGTTTAACAAGCCACTGTGGTTCTCTTCTAGGGGAGTTATATGATGGCTATGATGAAGAGTATGATTGTCCCATTTTAGATGAAGATAGAGTAAGTGACAATATAAAATTTGTACTTGTTGGCTCAGTAGTAAAGTTGACCTTGGTGTTGTAAGGAAGCCTTCAATAGTTGTTGTTTTTTTTTTTAACCTTTCTTACAGGTAGTCGATGAATTAGAAAATGAGATGAGAGATGGTGGTGTTATTGTTGATTACCATGGCTGTGATTTCTTCCCTGAACGCTGGTTTCATATAGTTTTTGTGTTGAGAACAGATAACAGTGTTTTGTACAAAAGACTTGAAACAAGGTAAGAAAGGAAAAATTTGCATTCTTAAAGCTTAATATGAGGGGCTGGGAAGGTGGTTCAGTGGTAGAGCGCTTGCCTTGCAGGAATGAGGCCCTGGCTTTGATTTCTCAGCACCACATAAGCAAAAAAAGCTGGAAGTGGCACTGTGGCTCAAGTGGTAGAGCGATAGCCTTGAGCTGAAGAGCTGAGAGACAGTGCCCAGGCCCAGAGTTCAGGCCCCATGACTGGCAAAAAACAAAAATAAATAAAGCTTAATATGAACTTTCATTATATTTTCCTGAAATTGGCCAGTAGTGTTGTAAAAAGAGCTTTTATTTGAAAACATGACCACTTTATTTGGTCTCTTGAACCTAATAAGACCCTTAAGGACACAGGTGAGTACTCCTTTAGGAGCAAATGAACATCTCAGCTGAAAGTTTGATTCAGTAGTTATACTAATGGAAGCCCCATTTAGCTATGCTATCTTTTTTTTTAAATCAACTTCTTGGGCAGAGCCAACCTGTAGTATTCTTTTTTTTTTTTTTTTTTGTCGGTCGTGGGGCTTGAACTCTGGGCCTAGGCGCTGTCCCTCAGCTCTTCAGCTCAAGGCAAGCGCTCTACCACTTGAGCTACAGCGCCACTACCTGTAGTATTCTTTGCTTGAACATTCCCCATTCAAATTGTCCCCACATCAAGAATGGGAGAACTGGGGCTGGGAAGGTGGCTCAGTGGTAGAGCGCTTGCCTTGCATGCATGAGGCCCTGGGTTTGATTCCTCAGTACCACATAAGCAGAAAAAGCTGGAAGTGGCACTGTGGATCAAGTGGTAGAGTGATAGCCTTGAGCTGAAGAGCTGAGGAACAGTGCCCAGGCCCAGAGTTCAGGCCCCACGATTAACAAAAAACAAACAAAAAAAATTGTGGTTCTCAGTGACTGTCAGGAGCTCTGATCAGCCATGTATTAGAAGGTATACTTGGCTGGGTATTGGTGGCTCATGCCTGTAATCCTAGCTACTCAAAAGACTGAGATCTGAGGATCACAGTTCAAGGCCAGCCCAAGCAGCTAAGTCCCCATGAGACTTTTATGTCTAATTAGCCACTCAAAAACTGGAAGTGGAGCTGTGGCTCCAAGTGGTAAAGTGCTAGTTTGGCCTTGTGTCAAGGAAGTTGCTCATGTATACAGGTACTAATCTGTTTTCTCTAGGTAAAAGGAATGTGAGAAGTAGGGGTGGGGGGGGTGGGGGGGGGAGATGGGAAGGGATGGGAAGGGGAAACAAAGAAGGAGGCAACAATACTTGATAAGAAATGTACTCATTACCTTGCTCATGTAATTGTAACCCCTCTGTACAGTATTTTCACAATAAAAAAAAATCTTAAAAAAAAAAAAAAGAAACAAGAAATCTAGTTTGACAATAAAGCAATAAAGCCAACTCCACTTTGATAAAGCTTATTTGAAAGAGAGAAAAAAAAAGGAATGTAAGAAGTACTTTTGTGTACAGTTTCTGGTATGTTCCTAAAACTACAGTTAATAGTATTCTTTTTTTTTTTTGGGTCCGGTTGTGGGGCCTGAACTCTGGGCCTGGGCGCTGTCCCTCAGCTCTTCAGCTCAAGGCTAGCACTCTACCACTTGAGCCACAGCACCACTTCCGGCTTTTTTCTTTTTGCTTATATGGTGCTGAGGAATCGAACCCAGGGCCTCAGGCATGCAAGGCAAGCGCTCTGCCACTGAGCCACCTTCCCAGCCCCATTTTTGTTTTTTAATTGTTTAACCTCTCTTTGCCTTGCAGGGGTTATAATGAGAAGAAACTGCAAGACAATATTCAGTGTGAGATTTTTCAAGTTCTTTATGAAGAAGCCATAGCATCCTACAAAGAAGAAATTGTGCATCAGCTGCCCAGCAATAACCCAGAAGAGCTAGAGGATAATATAAATAAGATTTTGAAATGGATTGAGCAGTGGGTGAAAGATCATAACTCTTAACTACTACTGGCAGGCCATATTAGTCACTCACGTTAATATCTCTCTCACTACTTCATAGAAATCACCCAAGTAATCAGTACAACAATCTTATTAAATCTGTGTTACAGGTCTAGCAGATGGATAACATAAAAACTATGTCCGGGTTTTTCTCCATGAGAAAGCTGAACAACCTCAAAAGTAATGAACATAATATTGGCTTGATAATAAAACGTATTATTTAATATTTACTTTGTAAATGAATCTGATCAAATGGGTACAAATACACACACACAAACACACATACTCTTGGTACTAGAGATTGAACTTAGAGACTCTTGCATATTAGGCAGGTGATATATCACTTGAGACATACCTCCAGTTCTGCATTTTATTAGTGGAACTGATGACTGCATACATGTCTTTGAACATGTTCAATTTGTGTATTACATACGAGCCATATTGCCAACCCAATTGTACAATTTCAGTGAATTTTATATGAATTACCAAAATAAATTTCTTGTGCCAGTACCAGGGCTTGAACTCAGGGCCTTGATGCTGTCCCCTAGCTTTTTTGCTCAAGGCTAGCGCTCTACCAATTGAACCAGAACTCTACTTCCAGCTTTTTGATATTTAATTGGAAATAAATCTTATAGATTTTCCTGCCTGGTCTAGCTTCAAACCTTGATCCTCAGATCATTAGCCTCCTGAGTAATATTATATGTGTGAGCCACAGGTGCTCACACTTTTAAACTGTGGTTTGCACTCAGGGTTTAGGCTAGCTAGGAAGTAACTGCCACTTGAGCCATACTCCACAGTCCTTAAATGGATGAGTAATAGTACTTTGTGTGTACATACACCTATGGGTTTTTTTTGTCCATTTATATTGATGATCACTGATAGGATCACTTCTTGTTTGTAGAATTAAAGGAAATGCCCCAATTAATGTTTTCTTATGAACACTTAAGATTTCTTGCAGGTTTTTTTTATTGACACAGTGGAAGATATACTACTGTCAGTCTTCTACACATTAAAAGCACCTTCTCAGGTAGGTTATCTTCATTACAGGCAAGGGAACTAAGGCACACAGTCAGGTGATATGCAAGACTCCATACAAGTTTTTGAGGTGAGGGAGTCTCTCCTTACATAAGCACAGTTTACTTTGGCAAAGTGGGTAATCAACATGAATATATGAATTTGAAGAAGCCGAAGGAGTTTATCAATGGAAAAGGATCTGTTTCTAAGCCAGAGTAATCCTTGGACCCAGGCAACTAGCTTACCACTCAGAAGACCCAAACTCTTGTGAGCAAGGTAATGAGGCTAATGGACTAAAGGCAGATAGCTCCAGTCTGAGACGAGCAACAGCACAACCCCCTCCCCCCCCCCCCCCCCCCCACACACAGCCTTTCTGGCTTTGTGTTCTGTGTCTTTGCCATGCCTTTGCTCCCACAGTTCCTTTGGCCCACAGCGTGTTGGGTCTTCGTCCGTCCTCTGTGGGACGGACGGGGTCCAAGGAAAGGTAAGTGCACCACTCGCCCGTTCCCCAGCCTCCCTAGCCCCAGAGACAGACGCAGAGTCAAGCAAGCGCTTTTTTTTTTTTTTTTGGTCCAGTCGTGGGGCCTGAACTCGGCCTGGGTGCTGTCCCTCAGCTCTTCAGCTCAAGGCTAGCGCTCTACCACTTGAGCCACAGCTTATGTGATGCTGAGGAATCGAACCCAGGGCCTCATGCATGCAAGGCAAGCGCTCTACCACTGAGCCAACTTCACAGCCCCACAGCAAGCATTTTTAAAGCAAAAATCCACGTGGCATGGAAGGGGAGGAAGAGGAACCAACCAATCACTGTAGAGGTCACCTGTGTGCCTAAGCTTTCTATACTTTCCCTGCTGTCCATGAGCTGTTCACACACTGAGGTCACTTTGCCTGATTGTGGTATCCAGTCAGATTTTAACATAACTTGGGCTCTGCCCACTCAGCTTCCTCCCAGCGCCATCTTTGCTGCCCATGTGCCCTACAGATTCCCCCTTTTTGTTTTAATGGCAGACCCACCTCTTTGCTGAGGTTCAGATCAGGGGACCTCTCACAAGGTTTGCCCATTTGGCACCTCCTTTTTTCCCAGGTTCACCTGAGGTAGGGGGTAATCTTTGGCACTGAGCTTGCCATAATGGACGTGAAGAGCCATCAGTTGGATCTCTTGGGTTCTATTCTTTATAAGTTTAACTAGCCTATTGAACACGCAGGGCCCAAAGGTGCAAATCAGGGTGAGTATTATCACTGGCCCCAGTAATGTTGAAATTAGTGTGGTCAGCCAGGGGGACCAGTCAAACCATTGTTGATACCAATTAGTGTTTAGGTCCACCTTTCTTTCTTCAATTCCTTTTCTAATTTCATTAAGATTTTGGGTAACAATTCCAGAGTGATCAGCGTAAAAGCAGCACTCTTCCCCAAGAGCTTGGCATAAACTTCCTTGTTGAAAAAATAGGAGATTCAACCCTCGTCGATTTTGTAGTGAAACTAAAGATTCTAGAATTTTTGCAGATACCTAACAGGTTTCCATCTTGTCTAAATTGGAGTCTATTTGGAGTCATAGCTCCTGGAACCCTTTGTGTTGCAGCACCATGGAAGCTGTTCCTAAGCCATCCCCTGTGGGCCCCAGTCCCAAGAGGGTGGTTAACAGCCAGAGCATTAGTGGCTCTTGTGGTGTACGGGTGCGGGAGTGAGCCATCATTTCCTCATCCGAATGGTATAAAACATGGGGGAGCAGCATCACCAAAGTGCAAGAGTCATTCTCATAGTGTAGTAGCTCTACAGAAACACAATGAGTTAACCCAGTCAAACGACAAAGCCAAAAGTTGCCATGTTCTCAAGGCACCAGCCATTTGCCCTGGAATGAATTAGTGACATGCACTCGCCCCAGCCAGGCTCAAAGGTGTTCCTAGTTACTACACAAGTCATTTGTTATCTGCAATGGGAAGGTTAGTCCACCGGGGTCCACCTTGGCAGGGCCACCCCCTGCACTTGTCAGGCAAGTCTTCAGTGAGGTATCCCTCCCTAACTCCTAGGGCCTCATATAAAGGGGGTGTATGTTGCATGCACAACTAGCAGGAGGCAGTGAGGTCTGGACGGGTCTGATTTAATGCTTGGAAAGCCAAATGCACCATGGACAAAATCAAATCTCTTTCATCTGAAAACCTGAGTGGGAGGTGCGGGGCCTCCATGCTCAAAAAAAGGGGGAAGAACGAGCCTTTGGATAGGGGGGCAGTTGTAGGTAGGTATGGGTTGCACGGACCCAACAACTCGGGGCCCCGTAACCGCTGGACTGATCTCCGAATGGAGAAAAGCAGCCCCTGATCATATCCTTTCTGATATAATCGCAACCCCCACATCCTGCCCACCCCCCAGCTGGTTATCCTTTTCCCTTCCTCTGTAAAGGTCATTTTAACAGGATTGCATCGGTAGGAAGAGCATCATCCATGTAGGGGGTTCAAGGTAAGTTTGGGGGTCAGAGTTCGCCGGACAAGGATAGAGTCCTTGTGCATGATCCAAGAGCCCGAGCCCATTGCCTCACATCCCCATTTAGCACAGTAACAGACATCAGCCCCTCCACAGTTAGAAATGTCCAAAGCAGTTCAATTATTTCCTGGGCATATATAAAAGTCAGTATCTCGTAAGGTTGCCCTCTTTAAAACATGGGAGCAGCCTGGGTGATGGGGGTCCTACATATGAGGCATGGTACATCCTCATGGGCCCCCACACTCAGGCTGCCCTTGGTGAAGGGGTCCAACCTCCAACATCCCAGGATCCTCTAGCCAGGTCACAGAGGTCAAAATGGAGGTCAGGCCACCAGGTCAAAGGGACAGTTTCTCTTGTGGTGCTATTGATGATTTCTGCATTGCCAGCGCTGATCACTGCCCAGGTCACCCCTTGAGGTTGGTGTGGATTCCATAGAGCCATTGCCGGGACTGGGAGGGTCAGGACAGCCAACAGCTGGAGTATCGCCATCTGCAATTGTTAGGGAACATCAGAGCTTCTCAAGGGCTGGTTGCCCTGGGGATGGTTAGTAGTTATCTTTTTAGCTTTCCTTCTTTTAAACAAGCTGCAAGCACCATAGCCATTTTCTTTCCTTGTTGGTTTATTCTTGGGCATCCTCCTGTATAGAGGAAATGGGTAAAAACTTAAGGTTCCTGGCCGGGATCCAAATGGGGGCTGTCTCCCCTATAAGAAAAACGCATCCAAATCCCCTGCCCATGGTAACTAGGGGGTCAGGTCTCCATTGTTGTGGGTTCCTTCCACCTGACTTTCACTTGGGGATTGGGGTTTAATTGGCTCCAGTACTTCTGAAATCTGGATTCAGTTGCCACTTTTGAAAAATTTTAAATGTTAATGGTAAATAAAGCTATCTGTAACTGTATATGGGGGCTAACTCCCCCCTTTTTTTTGGGGGGGGGTCCAGTCATGGGGCCTGAACTCTGGGCCTGGGTGCTGTCCCTCAGCTCTTCAGCTCAAGGCTAGCGCTCTACCACTTGAGCCACAGCACCACTTCTGGCTTTTTTCTTTTTTGCTTATGTGGTGTTGAGGAATCGAATGCAGGGCCTCATGCATGCAAGGCAAGCGCTCTACCACTGAGCCACCTTCTCAGCCTCCCCTTTTTGTTTTAATAGTTGCTCCTTAAGCCATCGGTGGTTTCTTTCTATAATTGCTTGGCCTTAGGGATTATAGGGAATTCTTGTAGTATGATTAATATGCCATCTGTCAAAAAACTCTGACATTGCTTTACTAACAAAACAGGGTCCATTAGTCCATTACCAGTTTTAACTTGTGCTGGTAGACCCAAGGTGTCAAAGCATTGAAGAAAATGTGCTTGTGAATGTTAGGTTTTTTTCTCCTGCTGTGGCCCAACATGCTCCTGAATAGGTATCTATAGAAACAAAAATATATTTAAGCTTACCAAAGGCTGGGAAATAAGTAATATCAGTTTGCCAGAGAACATTGGATTTGAGGCCTCTGGGATTTACCCCTGGTGGTTGTAATGGGGGTACTTTTAAGAAGGGCTGGCATATTTTGCAGGTGTGTACTATCCTTTAGAGGTCCTTTACAGGAATCTGAGGAAATCTATTTTGAAGTCCTCTCCAGTTAATGTGGGTTAAATCATGCAAACGGGTGGCCTCTTGTAACATTAATGCTTGTGGGCCAGTAGCTAACTGGTCCACCCAATTATTGCCCATGGAAAAAAACCCAGGAAGTTTTGAATGCCCTCTCAAATGTTGAATATGAATAGGGGCTCCTGGTCCTTCTAATAGACCCTTAAGGGAAACCATAACGGGGGAAATAGGGTTTTCATCCAGCTTAACATGTGCCTGGGGAATATGAGGGAGCAAGGTAATCATATATAGGCTATCAGAATACAAATTAAAGGGTTTTTTAATGTACTGAAGGGCCATAATTATGGCGAGCATTTCTTTATAATGTGCTGACCCTTGACAAGGTTGGAATCTTTGTTGGTTTGGGGTCTCTTGTTGTTCCTCAAAGGCTGCATACGCAGAGCCTGCTTTACCTCCGTCAGTAAAAACATGGAGGGCACCAGGAATAGGCGTAGGAGCAAATAGAGATGGCATTTGCAGGGGGAGTCGCCATAACATGACAGTCCATTTGGATGGCCCAAAATGGCAGTCAATTTGGCGTAGAAACCCCTCCAAGGAGAGAGCAAGGCGAGCATTGGCTCGAGTGAGCCACTCAATGTCTGCCATCTGAAAAGGAAAAACAATGGAGGGTTGAGGCCATAATGCCTTTAGGCTTGAGTCCTTCCCTTGACGATAGCATCGCAAGTTGGTCTGCCTGAGAGTACACCCAAGGTGTGCCCCCCAGGGGAGTGTGAACCCACTCTAATGGCTCTCCCCCCTTTGAGTTAAAACTGCAGAAATCAATGTGACACCTGCAAAAAAACCAGAGGGAAATGGGCTGAAGAATAGAATACCTCCTCAGGAAAACTTCATCCAGGGCTTTTTGGAACTGTAAAAATATTGCCCGATGGCTGTCTGTAATTGTAATAACTTCTTGCGACGTCCTGTCTTTTAGTAGGGCAAACAAGGGCACTATCTTTAGGGACGGGAACCCATGGTAACAGCCAATTGATTTCCCCTAAAAGACTTTGAAGTTGGTTAGGGTCAGAGAGGCTGGAATATCCATCAAAGGCTTAAGGGGGCTGGCCTGAGTCAAGGTAAGGTGGGATCCAAGCACCTTAAAAGGAGCTACCTTTTGAATTTTATTGAGGGCTATGGTTAAAAAAACAAAAACAAAAAAAACCCTTTTTTAATATGGTGAGAACCTGGGCCAGAAGGCTTTCCAGGCAGCTCGAGTCTTGGTGCCCCAGAATTATATCATCCATGTAGGCATAGACAAGGAAGGTATCTGAACCCAGCACAGGCCCTAAAAGTGTGGCCAAGTATTGTTGGCAAAAGGCCGGGCTATTGGCCATTCCCTGTAGCAGCACTGTCCATTCAAACCTCCGATCAGGCTGGGAAAAATTAAGAGAAAGGATGGAGAAAGCAAATTTCTTTCTGGATGCAGGAGGATAGAAAAAAAAACTATCTTTACTATCAATCACAACCAAGGTATATTCTGAAGATATAGCGGGAATCCAGGGCATACCTCTTAGGGGTGTTCCTACCTTACGTAGATCTTGGAGCATGCGCCAGGCCCCGGATGCTTTTTGGATAACAAATACAAGTGTGTTCCAAGGACTCATAGAAGGGCATATGTGCCCAAGGTTTATCTGTTCCTCCACCAAAAGGTGGAGAGCTACAAGTTTAGTTTGGTCAATGGCCACTGCTCCACCCAAACAGGGCTTCCCGGTTTCCATCTAATGGGAGGTACTGGGTGGGGGCAATGGCCTTTAGGATTGGGGGTGCACCCGGGTGGGTCCCTTATGTTCCTCTCTGTAATTATGAAAGTTAAAGAAATCCTTTTCCTTAACTCCCTCCAGATCCCATTTAAGCCTTTGTGCTCCTTTTCCATTCAGGACATCATCATAGAATGCTCGATGGTTCGTAGTGACCACGGCATCCATTTGTGTCCTAGCATGTCCTGCCCTACTAAATTGGCGGTGAGGTTTTTGCCACCAGAGGGCGTATCTTTCCCTGCTCTCCATCTAGGCTAGTCAATGTCATAAGGGCAACTGTCTCTTTGGACTGGGAGTTGCCCCCAACCCCCAGTATTGGGGGTCCGGGTGCGAACTTCCAGTCCAAGGGCACTTCCTCCTCCCTGAGTACGGTTCGATCTGCCCCCGTGTCAATTAAGCAGTGAAACCGCTTCCTGCCTATGAAAATACTTATTTTTTTTAGGGCGGAGTCCTTCTATCAGTGGGACCGTCCAATGAGTCTGGGTTGTCCTGTCATGGGGCTGCCTGGGTCTCACAGCAGAGGGGTCTCCTCCTTGAGTTAACGGGGCTGGAGAGTGCCCCTCCCCTAGTTTAAAGACTTCCCATCTAAATCAAATTTGGACCGACAATCCTTTTTCCAATGGTATCCCTTCCTGCACTTAGGACAGGGCATAGGGGGTGGTTTGGGCCCCCTGGGCCAGTTGGCAGGGGATTGTTGTGGACAGTCCCTCTTAAAGTGCCCCTCCTGCCCGAATTTAAAATAAGCCCCTCTCCCTGATGGTCTTGGGGTTCCTTGGCCTTGGGCTGCCAGCGCCTGAGTAATAGCCTCAGTCATTGCAGACTTCTGAGCCTGTAATGCTAAAGCTAGTGGTTGGGACTGGTGCTGTTGCGTTCCCACATCCTGCGAGGCCACCACCCATCTGCTCAGGGAACTCTCTCTCAATCCCGCGCAGGCCATGCGGTGGTCTGCATTCATCCCTTCCCAGACCAGCAGCTTTACAAACTGATCCTGGAGGTCCCCTGCTGGCAGCTTGCGATGAATGCTCTGCTGGACTCAGTCAATAAAATCAGGCAGAGGTTCACCCGGCTTTTGTCTCACTCCTGCTATGGGGACTCAGTGGGCCCTTATCTAGTTTGTACCAAGCTGCAAGTCCTGCCTGCCTCACCTGGTCACAGTACGGGCCAGGTATTGCAGCCTGTTGGATGCCAGTGGAGTACCCTTCCCCCATCCCTGTTAACATGGTGTAAGTGATAGGTATCCAGGGTTGATCCTGCCGGTTACTCTCTGCCCGCACTCTGCATTCCTCCTTAAAGAAGGCACACCATTTAATAAACTGAGAACTAGTAAGAAGGGCTTTGGCCACATCCAGCCAGTCCTTAGGGACACACGGGTGATAAACAATGTCCTGTAATAAGGTCTGGGCCCAAGGAGAGTTTGGGCCATCCTCCGCCACCGCCTTGCAGAGCTCTTTAAGATCCTTAGCTTCCCATGGATACCATTCCAAGGGCCTGTTAGCTCCTGGTGCCAGATTGACCAGATACGCTTGGGGAAGCGAATCCTGTGGCCCAGGGTCCAGGCTCCCGGGTCGCCCCTCCTTTAGAGGGTAGGCCTCTGCATAGATTACTTCCCTGGCCCTTGGCCCCTCTGTGGAGGGCCTGTCATAGAGGCCTAGGTCTCACAGGTCCCTCCGTAGGGCCACTTAGGGCCTCCCCCTTTTGGGGGCATAGGGTGGGGGCCTAAGACTGTCAGGGGCATTTGAGGGGGGGGTTAACCCTCTCCTTCGCTTTAATTTCCACTGTGCGTGCTTCTGCCTGATCAGTGCGTTCCCTGACAAATTTGACCCATTCCTTTTCCTCCTCACTCCCCAAATCCTCTTTTACTCCCTGTAGGTCTGATACTGCCCCCTTCTCCTCTGCGAGTTCCCGAGGAGGGGGAGGGGGAGGGGGTATGGTGTCTGGATGGAAGGATGTCCTGAGGGCGGTGACGGTGGACAAAACCTCAGAGGCGGTGAGACACCAAAGTGCCTCTCCCTTTCCATGGCCAGCTTCTCCACCCTGGCCCAGGTGGTCCATGAAAAGAGACTGGAACTAGGGACCAGGGGGCCAGGGTGACAATGGTGTCCCAGGTCTTAATAGCATTGCTATCAGATAGTTCAAGCCCCCTGGACTTAAGCATGAGCTGTAGGGCCTTTAAGGCTGGCTCTTCCTTCTGTGGGATAGCATTACCCATACTAAGGGGTTCACTTACCCTGAGAGACGGCTTAGCTTCCCCCGGTACTGGGACATTCTCCTTTCAAGCCCCACGTTGGGCACCAGATGTTAGGTCTTCATCCGTCCCACAGAGGACAGATGGGGTCCGAGGAAAGGTAAGTGCTTGGGTCCCTCGTTCCCCAGCCTCCCCTAGCCCCGAGTCAGACCCAGTGGGGAGTCAAGTCAAGCAAGAACTCTTTATTACCACACAGCAAGCACTTTTTAAAACAAAAACCGCGGGCATGGAAGGGTGATATGGTGGAGGACGTAAAGATGGAATATGATATTTGACTTGGATTGTGTAAAATGGATAATGAATGATTTTTAAGATATAAATGTCAGTGTGCTGTGGATAAGACTTCCCTGGTAATTTACTTTAGCTAGTAACTGTAATTGTAACTCTGTAACTCCCTAACCCTGTAACTCTATAACTCTACTGTTTTCTGAGCAATGGGAGCCCTAACCCAGGGAACCCTCACCACCCTTTGTTCTAGTCCCCTGCTTCCCACTGGCAAAACCTTGGCGGGAAATTTAAACTTAAGGTGTGCATTTCTTGTAACAATCATTGGCTAAACCCAACACCCAGCATCCCCCTTCCCCCGCCCTAGCCCCAAATGCTTAAAAGCCCTTATGGGCTGGCACCCGGGGCCCTTTCCTGGAATCCCAACTCCAGGTGAGGTCCTGGCGCTCAGCACTTTTAACTCAATAAACTCTTCTGGATTTTCACTGCGGACTGAGGGATCTGGCTGCCCCTCGGCACGACAGGGGGCCGCAAGGGAACCAGCCATCACTAGAGGTCACCCTCTCTGCCCAAGCATCCCATACTTTCCCTGCTGTCCCGGAGCTGTTCACGCACTGACGGTGGCATCCAGCCAGACTTTAACATAGAACAACTCGGGCTCTGCCCACTCAACTTCCTCCCAGCGCCATCTTGGCTGCCCAGGTGCCCCACCGCAGCAAGGCCTTCTTGGTTTCTTGGCACGGAAAGCCTGCTTTTCCAGGCCCGCCTCTGCCTCCCGCGGCCAAGCATCTTTCGCCCGCCTTGCCTGCTCGGCTCCAAGTGCCAGGCTGCCCGTGTCGGCTGTGCCGAGTGGGCTGGAGAAGTCGCAGGCGCCCGGCTGCGGCCGAGGACCTGGCGGCACCCAGCGCCCGGGGGCGCGGTCGCCCGGCCCGAGGCCACCTGGAGGGGGTCGGGGTAAGCCCGGGGGCGGGGTTCCGGGCCTGGCGGGGCGCGGGGCGGGCGCCCCTGGCGGGCGGCCTGAGTGAGCCGGGGCTGGGCGCGCTGATCTTGTCCTAGTCAGACATGGACACTAGAACGAACGCCTCCAATACCCGCTTTCTCTTCCTACCTGCATCTCCACCGTTTCTGGCTTACTAGTTTTGAGGCTTAGACCTTCAGTGCACAGAATGCTATATGGTATCCGGGTTTGGATCCTGGTTGGTGGTATGTACTCCTATTGATCTCAGCCTTGGTAAATATGCCCTCAACGCCCACATTGCAGACATCTGAGTAAAGGATTAATTGCTTGACATGCAAAACTATCCTAAAATAAGTTAACAGACAAACCCCTGCATTAAGGTGCAGGCTGCTGTTCACCGAGAGTTCAGATTAGTTCTTTGCCAAGCCTGACACGTGTCTGTTTGACCAACTTGTTTGCTAAGGCGGAGTTGTCAAGCTAGTGGGTGTAGATGCTTCCAGCAGGAATCTTTCCAGAATTCACCTTCAGTTCTGCCCATTGCATATCTTTGGGACACCTGGTAAGTGTAAGCAAATGGGAGCTGGCCCCTGAATTAGCAGGTGTTGGGTCTAGCAGGAGCAACAATCCTGGGGTCAGGTAGGAAATCAGGATTATGAAAAAAAAAAGTCCAATGCGAAGCTGGGAGGGCCCAGAGTAGAAATCACACTGGTGGGAGTCTGGAGTACTGTCCTGAGCTAAGCTGGGTCTGAGAGGAAAACCATTCCTGGGGTGGAGAATGGCACCCTGGGAAACCTGGAAGTGACCCAGGAGGGTCCTGTTGGAAGCAGGGAGTACTGACAAAGGGAACAGATGTGGAAAATGGGGGGAGGGAGCATATTAATTATTCATGCCAAGGGAGCCACGGAATGTTTTAGTGCAAGAGGAGACAGTTGGACTTTGACGGCAGCAATGCATAGGATGGTTTGGGGGTAGGTCAATTAAGGAACTATGGGGAGAGCCCAGGAGCATTAACAAGGGATCCAGCCCAGGCTATGAAGTTAGCATAAAAACAATGCTATGGTTTTGGGAGAGTTTTGTAGAGCTATAAACCTGGCAAGTGAAAGCATGTGAAGGTCAAAGAGAAAATGGAGGAAAAGACAGACCCCCGGTTTTGCACCTGAGTGTCGGAGCATAATTATTGCATTTGCAAAAATAGAGGCCTGAGGAGACTTGGTGAGTGGAGAGGATAATGGATTTGTTTTTGAAACAAGTGTGTTTAAATTGCTGGCAGGTAGAAGTGAAGGGCCCTTGGCACTCCCTGCAGGTCAGTCAGCAGAGGAGCAGGTCCCATGGCCTCTTACGCTGATGTTAGAGCTGTCCTCAGAGAACAGATGACGCGCAAATTACCCACAGAGAGACCATTAAAGGAAAGTGGGATTTTGAAGGCTTGGTCATGACAGGTGTCTCTACCCTCAGTGACCAGGAGAAAATCCCACGGTCTGAGACTATAGCAGTAAAGCTTTATGCTCTAAGGCTTGTGAAGTACCAACTGTCTGAGATCTGTCCTTATTGACTGCTGAGGGGTCAGAGGCCACCCATTCAGAATTCTGTGATTCCTACAATACATACACAATATATGTGTATACACACACAAACAAGAACAATCAAAAATCCATAATTCGGCTGGGCACCGGTGGCTCACGCCTGTAATCCTATCTACTCAGGAGGCTGAGATCTGAAGATAGCAGTTCAAAGCCAGCCCAGGCAGGAAAAGTCCATGAGACACTTATCTCCAATTAACCACCAGAAAACTGGAAGTGGCGCTGTGGCTCAAGTGGTAGTGCGCTGGCCTGAAGCTGAAGAGCTCAGGGATAGCACCCAGGCCCAGAGTTCAAGCCCCACGACTAACAAAACAAAACAAAAATCATACTTTGTTTATTAAAAAAATTGCTGGCAAGATGTCCAATTGTAGATGTATATCTAGTGGAAGCCACACCTTGGCAGAAGCAGCAGGAAAAGAAAAAGGAAAAGGAGCCTGAAAGGGAAGATTGGAAACAATCATGGACAAAGGGAGAGGGTCTGGGTTCTTGTGGGATTGAGGAGCCCAGCACCAAAAAGTAACTACAGTTGTAGAACACTGATGCACAAAAATATTATACATATATACAAATAATATATATGTATATATTATGTCTATAATATATATGGATTACATGTGTATAATATATACATATATAGTATGAATATATAATATATATTCAACTCTGAACTTCCGGAAGGCAGACCAATGATAGGAGACTATATGTAGAGTGTTTAAAAAATGTTAAGGCCAGGAATAGTTTTACTTCTTTAATCCCAGAAATTGGGACACGATTCTGTCTCAAAATGGAAAAGAAAAGAAGAAGAAGGAGGAGGAGGAGAAGTTGTTTTAACCAACTCTGTGATTGCTTACATTTCCCTCTTACAGTTTCCCCCGGTGTTGACTAATTCTCTTTTTTCTGCCTCTGGTTTCCTAATCCTGACCACAAACCATACTTTGTGCTGTGTGTGTGTGTGTGTGTATGTGTGTGTATGTGTGTGTGTGTGTGTGTGTGTGTGTGTGTGTCTTGCACCATGCTAGGCAAGCACTTCACCACTTAAGCCACATCCTATGACCACACCACCACTACATTCTTAACACAGGGCTGAGATTGCACTTTGAAATCAGGAATCTATTATATAGCAGTAAAACAGCTTCCTAAGAGTTTTTTGTTTTTGTTTTTCTCTTTCTTTCTTTCTTTTTTTTTTTTTTTTTGGGGGGGGGTCCGGTCATGAGGCCTGAACTCTGGGCCTGGGTGCTGTCTCTCAGCTCTTCAGCTCAAGGCTAGCGCTCTACCACTTGAGCCACAGCGCCACTTCCGGCTTTTTTCTTTTTGCTTATGTGGTGCTAAGGAATCGAACCCAGGGCCTCTGGCATGCAAGGCATGCGCTCTACCACTGAACTACCTTCCCAGCCATCTCTTTCTTTCTTTCTTTGCCAGTACTGGGGCTTTAACTCAGAGCCTTGCTCTTCCTTGTTCATGGCAGGCGCTCACTGGAGCCTTGTTTCTAGCCTGGCTTTTTGATATTGCTATCTCTTTTTTTGTTTGTTCTGTTTTTTGTTTTTGTGGGGTTATTTTAGATGGAGTCTTTCAGACTTTTCTGCCTGGGCTAGCTTTGAACCTCAATCCTCTGATCTCAGCCTCTTAAGTAGCTAGGATTACAGGTATAAGTCACTGGCATCAGGCTAATAAATTATTCTTTAGTTTAATAAATAATTTTCTATCTATCTTGACAAGTTAAATCTAATTTTTGTTTGTTTTTGAGACAGGGTCTTGCAATGTAATCCACAATGATCTTGAACTCAGGATACTCCTGTCTCAGCCTCAGTTCTAGGATTATCAACACATGCCACTGCACCTCCTTCAGATTTACTTTTTTTTTTTTTGCCGGTTCTGGGGCTTGAACTCAGAGCCTGGACACTGTTGTTGAGCTTCTTTTGCCCAAGGGTAACACTCTACCACTTGAGCCACAGCACCACTTCCAGATTTTTCTGTCTATGAGGTATTGAGGAATTGAACCCAGGGCTTCATGCATGCTAGGCAAACACTCTACCACTAAGCTACCATCCCTTCAAATCTTTTTATTTTTTTTTTGTCATGGGGCTTGAACTCTGGGCCTAGGTGCTGTCCCTCAACTCTTCAGCTCAAGGCTAGTGCTCTACCACTTGAGCCACAGCACCATTTCTGGTTTTCTGGTGGTTTATTGGAGATCAGAGTCTCATGGACTTTCCTGCCCAGGCTGGCTTTGAACCTCCATCTTTAGATCTCAGCCTTCTGAGTAAGTAGGATTACAGGTGTGAACCACCAGTGCCCGGCTTATCAAATTTACTTTTAAGGACTAACCATGTAAAAGAAGTGATTTCATAGAAATTTCAAAACAATGAATCTAGTAGACTGTGTTGACTGTTTCTCTAGCTAGCTAGCTTAGATTTTTATCTGCAGTTCTACTTATAAATTATTTATAATTAAATAAGAGAAATGATATATGCTTTAATCTCATTGAAATTCTCCAAATATGTTAAAATAATAAGAGTGTTAGTTCTGACACAGGAGTCTGCATTCCAAGATCTGTCTCCACCCTTTGTTAGCTATGTCAGTCAGCCTCTGAGCTTCAGTTGTCTATTCTTTTTTTAAAAGAAATTATATTATTATTTGTGGTTGTGGGGCTTGAACTCTGGGCCTGGGTGCTGTCCCTCAGCTCTTCAGCTCAAGGCTTAGCGCTCTACCACTTCAGCCATGGCACCACTTCCAGTTTTCTGCTGGTTAATTGCAGGTAAGAGTCTCCTGGACTTTCCTGCCTGGGCTGGCTTTGAACCAAAATCCTCAGATCTCGGTCTCTTGAGTAGTGAGGGTTACAGGCATGAGCCACCAGTGCCCGGCTATTTCCAGCTCTTTGATGGTTAATTGGGAATGGAGCCTCATAGACTTTTCTGCCAGAGCTGGCTTTGAACCTTGGTTCTTAGATCTCAGCCTTCTGAGTAGCTAGGATTATAGGTATGAACCACTAGCATTTGGTACTGTAGGTTATTTTTTATTATTTTTATTATTTAGGGCCAGGTGCCAGTGGTTCACATCTGTAATCACAGCTACTCAGGAGGCAGCAATCAGGATAATTGTGATTTGAAGGCAATCTGGGCAAAAAGTTAGCCTTCAACTTTACTAATAAGTTGGGCACAGTGATGTGCCCTTGTAACTAAGCTCAACTGGTAGAGCACCTGCCTAGAGGGTGCAAGACCCTGATCCAAGCCTTAGTACTGAACTTTAAGGCATAAGTTACTTGTAATAAAATGTACCCATTGTACCTGGATGTGTTTTGACAAACTATCAGCGTGGTCAAGATTGTCCCCAAACATTCCCTTATGCCCTTTGACATCAAGGCTCCCACCCTAGACAACCATGAATCTGCTGTCATTATATATTAGTTATATTATTATATATTAGTTTCACCATATCTCATGTAGTATGTGCTTTTCTGGTTAGCCTTATGTCTGAACTTTACCCATGTTGCATAGTTAGGATAGTAAATGTATTGCTCTTTGTTGCTGAATGTATTCTGTTGTGTGCATCAACTGTCACTGGGTTTTCTGTTTTCCTGGAGGTAGAAATCTGAGTGGCTAGTAATTTGAGTATTGTGTCAACATTTGTGTGCATCTTCATGTGGATGTATGGTTGAAGTTCCCTTGGGGAATGCAATTGTGGGGACATGTTCATAAGACCTGTCCAGATGCTTTGCACACTGTGATTTACCCTCACTGACGGTGTAAGTCTTTGCATTCCTCTGCATTCTGGGCCATATGTACTTCTCTTCCCTCCATCCTCTTTCTTTCCTCACTGACTTGAGGCAAGCAAGAACTGTTAGCTATTTCTAAACAGCACAGCACAGCTTCTGTTTTGAAATGATGATGGTGAAAGCTTGTCCTAACTGCCCTCCACACTGTAGGAGACAGAACTCCTGTGTCCTGTGCTGTCCTGAACAGCTGGAGAGCTGCCCAGTTGTTCCCAGGTAGGTGACTGCGGTGGTCTGAGAGGGGATGCCCAGGATGTGATTTCTCGGGTGGTACTTTGTCAAGGAAACATTTTCTTCTGAAAGAATTGCAGGCAGCAGTAGCCTGGTGGCTTCTTTGTTGAAATAATTGTTTGTTGCCTCTGCTAAGTTTGAACTCAAGGTCTCTCACTCTTGCTTGGCTTTTTTGTTCAAGGATGGTACTCTACCACTTGACTATACCTTTACTTCTGGCTTTTTGTTGTTTAATTGAAAATAAGAGTTATGGGTTTTACTGGTTGGGCTGGCTTTGATCTGCAATCCTCAAATCTCAGCCTCCTGAGTACTTTAGATTATTAGTGTAAGCACTCCACCTTTTAGTCATTTATTAAAGCAATCTTAATAAGGATTGCATTTCAGACAGTGGGTCAGACACTGACTCATCTGCTGGAGAATTGAATGGAAATTGCTCACCTTGTAGAGCTGCTGGCTTTTTTCCTAATTAACACTTTGTACCTTTAACTGTCACCCCCTAACTCCAGCCTCTATTTCTTTGACCTCTGTTATTTTAGATTCATCATTAAAGTAATATCATGTGGTATTTGTCTTCTGTGCCTATCTTACTTCATATGGTTTAGTTTTATCTAATTTGTCATGCTCCACCAAACTTCAAAGAGAGCTTCTTTTGGCTAACCAATTTTCTACTGTGTTTGCATTTGGGTGCACCACATTTTCTCTATTCATAGCTTGGCTATTTGAACAATGTAGATAACTCTTCAACTTGATTTTAAATCTTTGGATAAACTTCTAGAAGTGGCATTGCTGGATCTATTTCACTGGGTTTTTTTTTGTTTGTTTGTTTGGGTCCGGTTGTGGGGCCTGAACTCTGTGCCTGGGCACTGTCCCTCACCTCTTCAGCTCAAGGCTAGCGCTCTACCATTTGAGCCACAGAGCCACTTCCAGCGTTTTCCTTTTTGCTTATGTGGTGCTGAGGAATGGAACCCAGGGCCTCAGGCATGCAAGGCAAACACTCTACCACTGAGCCACCTTCCCAGCCCCTATTTCACTGTTTTTAAGTGCTGATTTTTCCCAACTGCAGGTGACCTGTTTTCCCATACAGTAAAGACCACATTTGGCTAATGAGCAAGGAGGTGAGGTCCTCAAGTGAGTCAGAGGTACAGATCTGGGGAACAGAAGAGGATGACATGACAGAAGGCGATCTGGGCTATGGCCTGGGGAGAAGACCCAGTGGCATTTACAAAGTGGAAGGTTCACATTTATCCATGTGCAAGAAAAGATCGGTCGGGAAGCACTGTAGCCCACCTCCATTTTCAAGCAAGGGGGAAGAAATAGGTGGAGCCCTTTTTCAGTATTGCAAGCATAGCAGTCTGCAGGATGGATGCCCTCCGAGGTATGGAACCTCCAGTTTCAGGAGACAGAGTAGCTCTGGTAAGCACGCTGCATTTTCCTCCTCCTTCCCTGTGAATATTACCCTAAATGCCTATATTTACAAGTATTTTACTAATCACCTACCTAATCTCCATTAATAATATATGCTTTCTAGTGATTTCAGTAGGTGATTAACTACTCAGGGCCTCGACTTGCTAGGTGCTCTACCACATGAGCCACACCTCTACCACACCTCCAATCCTGTCCTTTTTTCCCCCTTAGGCAGTATACATTTATTGGTACCACTATACCAGGCATAAGTTTCAGTTAAGTAAAGGAATATTTCTTTCTTTCTCCTTCATTCATTTATTCATTCTTTCTTTCCTTTTTTTTTTTTTTTGTCAGTCATGGGGCCTGAACTCTGGGCCTGAGTGCTGTCCCTCAGCTCTTTTTTTTTTTTTTTTTTTGTAGGTCGTGGGGCTTGAACTCTGGGCCTGAGTGCTGTTCCTCAGTTCTTCAGCTAAAGACAAGTGCTCTACCTCTTGAGTCATAGTGCCACTTCCAGTTCTCTAGTGGTTTATTGGAGATCAGAGTCTCATGGACTTTTCTGCCTAGACTGGCTTTGAACCGTGATCCTCAGATCTCAGCCTCCTGAGTAGCTAGGATTACAGGCGTGAGCCACCAGCGCCCAGCTGTCCCTCAGCTCTTGAACCACAGCACCACATCCAGCCTTTTCTGCTTATGTGGTGCTGAAGAATCGAATCCAGGGCCTCATATATGCAAAGCAAGCACTCTACCACTGAGCCACCTTCCCAGTCTCTTCTTTCCTTCTTTCCTTCCTTCCTTCCTTGCTTTCTTTCCCTCCCTCCCTTTCTCTCCCTCTCTCTCCCTCTCTTTTTCTCTCTCTTTCTTTTTCTTTTCTTTTTCTTTTTTTTGGTTGGTTGTGGGGCTTGAACTCTGGGCCTGAGCGCTGTCCCTCAGCTCTTCAGCTCAAGGCGAGCGCTCTATCACTTGAACCACAGCGCCACTTCCTTTTTCTTTTCTTTTTTCTTTTCTTTTCTTTCCTTCTTTCCTTTCTCTCTCTCTCTCTCTTTCTTTCTTTCTTTTCTTCCTTCCTTCCTTCTTCCTTTCTTCCTTTTGAAAGTTCTGGGGCTTGAACTCAGGGTCTTGGCACTGGCCCTGAACTTTTTCTCTCAAGGTCACTCTTTCAAGACCACAGCACCACTTCTGGCCTTTTCTGAGTAGTTGATTGGATATAAAAGTCTCATAGACTTTCTTGCTTCAAACCGAGATCTTCAGATCTCAGCCTCCTGAGTAGCTAGAATTACAGGCATGAGCCACCAGTGCCAAAATATAATTTTATTGTTATTATTAAGGTGTTGTGCAGAGGGACTACCATTTCATAAGTCAGGTAACGTGTACATTTCTTTGGACAATGTCACCCCTCCTTCCTTTCCCCCCAGTTCTCCTGCCCATAAGTTGCATGTTTCATGTTCTACATAATGTATACTGAATACCATGACCGCCTTTATTCACCTTAAAGAAATGAAATTTGGGTCTGGTAATGTGGCTTAGTGGTAGAGTGCTTGCCTAGCATGTATGAAGCCCTGGGTTCGATTCCTCAGTACCACATAAACAGAAAAAGCGGGAAATGGAGCTGTGGCGCAAGTGGTAGAGTACTACTAGCCTTGAGCAAACGAAGCTCAGGGACAGTGCCCAGGCCCTGAGTTCAAACCTCAGACTGGCAAAATAAAAGAAAGAAAAAGAAGGGAAGAAAGAAAGGAAGGAAGGAAAGAAAGAAAGAAAGAGAAAGAAAGGAAGGAAAGAAGGAAGGAAGGAAGAAAGAAAATGAAATTTTAAGCCAGGCTGGTGGCTTACACCTGTATTCCTAGCAACTCAGAAGGCTGAGATCTGAGGATTGTGGTTCAAAGCCAGCCCAGAGAGAACATCTGAGAGACTCTTATTTCCAATTAACCATCAGAAAACCAGAAATGGCTCAAGTGGTAGAGTGCTTACCTTGAGCTGAAGAGTTCAGGGACAGCACCCAGGCCCAGAGTTCAAGCCCCATGACTGACAAAATAAAGTGAAATTTTGGGGCTGGGAAGGTGGCTCAGTGGTAGAGTGCTTGCCTTGCATGCCTGAGGCCCTGGGTTCGATTCCTTAGCACCACATAAGCAAAAAGCAAAAAAGCTGGAAGTGGCTCTGTGGCTCAAATGGTAGAGTGCTAGCCTTGAGCTGAAGAGCTGAGGGACAGTGCCCAGGCCCAGAGTTCAGGCCCCACGACCAGACACAAAAAAAACCAAAAGAAAGTGAAATTTTAATATAACCAAGAAACAATGATGTCTTCCGTGAAAAGAAAGCCTAAAATTCAGAATCATATTGTAGTGAATGTTTTAAAAGTTCTGCTGTTGAGTCCAACAGATTGTGTACCAGCTCTTGTCTGGTTGAATTTTGTGTAAGCCACTCTGTAAATCTTCCCCTCCTGAAACTCCTCTCTAATTAAAATAAACATGAGTTAGGACAACATGAAAATACAGTTAGCCCTCTTGATTTATAAATTCTGCATCCTCAGTTTTAACTAACTGCAAATCAAAAACATTTAGAAGCTTGGTGCTAGTGGCTCATGCCTATAATCCTAACTACTCAGGAGGCTCATTGCTGAGGATAGAGGTTCAAAGGTAGCTTAGGCAGGAAAGTTCATGAAACTCCTATTTCCAATTAACCACCAAAAACCAGAAGTGGAGCTGTAGCACTAGAGCACTAGTCTTGAGCAAAAAAGCTTAGAGACAGTACACAGGCCTTGAGTTCAAGCCCCAGGACTGGCACACATGCACGCGCGCGCGCGCACACACACACACACACACACACACACAAGTCTACTTGTTTTTACTTAACATTCACATTTTTCTATACATTTGTGTTTGGATATAGAAATTAGTCAGTTCCCCACATAAGTTTTTATTATAGTCCTACAAAGTGTTATTATCCAAAATGATGTATCTTTTCCTTTGTGAAATGTTTTAACCTAAATATTAATGTCTACAATGTTCAAGAGGAAGTGTACTCATTACCTCACTCATGTAACTGTAACCCTCTGTATAGTATCTTTACAATAAAAAATAAAAAAATAAATAAATATTAATGTCCTATATTTAAGTAAAGAAGTATTTCAAGTTTTTTTTTCCCCCTCTAATAGATTCTAATTCAGAATTATCAAATGAAGAATTAAGGCAACGTCTTCATGAAACTTTAGAGGTAGGTCCTCTTGCTAATACAAAAATTTTCACGTGAGGGACTGGGAAGGTGGCTCAGTGGTAGAGCGCTTGCCTTGCATGCATGAGGCCCTGGGTTCAATTCGTCAGCACCACATAAGCAAAAAAGAAAAAAGCCAGAAGTGGTGCTGTGGCTCAAGTGGTAGAGCGCTAGCCTTGAGCTGAAGACCTAAGGGACAGTGCCCAAGCCCAGAGTTCAGACCCACCATCAGACCCCTCCCCCCTCCCCCCGCAAAAAAATTTTTTTCACGTGAAGTTAGTCCACTGATATTTCGTTTAAATTGTACAGAAGGCCTATACTGGGTTTTTTGGTGCATGTCTATGCTTGGAACTCAACTCAGTCCAGAGCCTCCCACATGTCAAGCATGCACTCTATATGCTGGGGGTAAGATTCAAGTGCCTAGCAAGTGCAAGGCCCTGAGTTCATATTGCTAATTATAAACAAACAAACAAAAACACTGGGTGTTGGTGGCTCATGCTTGTAATCCTAGCTACTTAGGAGGCTGAGATCAGGAAGCCAGCTCAGGTAGAAAGTCTATGAGACTTACATTTCCAATTAATCCCAAAAAACCAAAAGTGGAGCTTTGACTCATGTAATAGAAAGCTAGCCCTTAGCACAAAAGCTCAGGGGCAGTACCCAGGCCCTGATATCAAGCCTGGGACTGGCACACACACTCAGAAAAGCATGCATCTTCAGTGAACCACACCCCAGACTTCTCCAGACTAAAGTCCATGCATACCTATTCTTCATTCTTTTTTTCCTTTCTTTCTCTTTCTATGTTATGGATGGGGTCCCAGGGTTTCAACTATGCCAGTCAATCATGCTACCCAGCTATAGCCCGAGTCCCACCTTTTCTTTTCCTTGAGCCCATACTTTTCAACAGACTTAAGTATCTTATGTTCTTCATCTCTTAAAAAGGCCACTTTTATATGATCATACCCACCATTCTCCCTTTGGCTCTACTTCTCTAATCTCCTAGATAAAATGGGTATTACTTCTATCCAAATGCCTTCCCTATACGTGCAATTTGAAACAACCTGTCTTTACCAGGTGTTGATGGCTCATGCCTGTAATTCTAGCTGCTTGAGAAGTTGAGAATGGTAGGACTGTAGTTCAAGGCCAGCTCAGAAAGAAAATTTCTCAAGACCCCCTCTTATGCCCCCTCTTATATCTGGGTGCAATGGAACACACATGGCATTCTCAGTCACATGGGAGACGAGTGGGAGGATTGAGGTTCAAGGCAGCTTATGGGAGACGAGTGGGAGGATTGAGGTTCAAGGCGCTTAGGTAGAGAATCCACAATAGTCCAATTCAACAGTGAGAAAAGCTCGATGTGGTGATGTGCCCCTGTCATCCCAGCATTAATGGAAAGCCTAAAACAGGCAGATCACAGTACAGACTTGAGCCTAGGCAGGAAGTAAAACCCTAACCTCAAAAATGACCAGGGAAGCTGAGCACTTGTGACTCATGCCTGCAATCCTAGCTACTCAGGAAGCTGAGATCTGAGTATTGTGGTTCTGAGCCAACCCAGGTAGGAAAAGCTGGGAGATTGTGATCTCCAGTTAACCACCAGCAAACTAGAAGTGGTGCTGTGGCTCAAAGTGATAGAGCATTGGCCTTGAGCGGAAACAGCTGAGACAACCCCAGCCCCCGAGTTCAAGCCACTGCTTCATTGGTTCACCATTTATCCTTCCATTCCTATCTTTCTTTTATGTGTTTGAAGTCAGTCTCTTACGGTTCCAAGGAGTGCCCCCCCCCTCCCCCCCGCCCAGCTTAGTAAGCATAGCAGCAGAGAGGAAGCCAGTCCCCTGGGAAGCAGGAAGCCCACCTTAGAGTGTGTATAACTCTAGTGAAAATAACTCTCTTAGTTGCAAGGCCCTAAATTCAAATTTCAGCACCACCAAAAAGAAAGAAAGAAGAAAAAAAGGAAAGACCTCAACTCTCTTAATTTTCACAGAAAGCTGGTGATTTAAAACTACAGAAATTTAAACAAGTAAGAACTCAAGTTCAAGTCCCCGTATTGGTACAAAGTAAATTGGGGCTGGGAATGTGGCTCAGTGGTAGAATGCTTGCCTTGCATGCCTGAGGCCCTGGGTTCGATTCCTCAGCACCACATAAGCAAAAAGAAAAAAGCCGGAAGTGGCGCTGTGGCTCAAGTGGTAGAGTGCTAGCTTTGAGCTGAAGAGCTGAGGGACAGTGCCCAGGCCCAGAGTTCAGACCCCACGACTGGACCCCCCCCCAAAAAAAAAAAAAGTAAATGAAAAAGCCAAGTGGGGCTCTTCTGCTTCTAAAAGCTAGCAGACATAAATATTTTCTCAATCAAATGTTAAATTTTATTTATTTTGTGTTTGAGTACTGGGACTGGAACACAAATGCTGGTCTCAAAGCTGTCCCTAAGTGTTCTATTTGAGAAAAAGCAAAAAGATTTGGCTGATACTTGGTAGGCTCTCAATTTTAGCTGACTCACTTGCTAAGTGAAGGTCCTCTGAGTCAAAGGTATGGGGACTATAGATTTGCCTATATTGCATACAGGAAGATTTAACTTTATTTCTATCTACAGGAAGTAGAAATTTTAAAAACTGAACTTGAGGCATCTCAAAGACAACTTGAAGGTAAAGAGGAAGCACTAAAAATTCTTCAAAGCATGGTAAGCACTTTTATCACATACATTTTAATAATTACTAGTATGGATTTGTGTATGTGTGTGTGTTTGCGTGTTTGTGTGTGTGTGTGTGTGTGTGTGTGTGTGTGTGTGTGTACCATTACCAGGGCTCAAACTCAGGGTCTCTCTTTTAGCTGGTGCTCTACCATTTGAGCTATATCTCACTTTCAGTCTTTTGCCAGTTAATTGTAGTAACTAAGAGTAGACTTGTCACAGGATGCCAATGGCTCACTCCTATAATCCTAGCTACATGGGAGGCTGAGATTTGAGAATTGCAGGGTTTTTTTCGTTGGTTTGTTTCAGTTTTGGTCAGTCTTGGGGCTTGAACTCTGAGCCTGGTTGCTGTCCCTCAGCTCTTCAGCTCTTATCACTTGAGCCACAGCGCCACTTCCCGTTTTCTGGTTGTTTATTAGAGATAAGAGTCTTAAGGACTTTCCTACCAGGGCTGGCGTTGAACTACGATCCTCAGATCTCAGCCTCCTGAGTAGCTAGAATTACAGGCTTGAGCCACCTATGCCCTGCTGAGAATTGCAGTTTGAGGTGAGACCAGGCAGGAAAACCTGTGAGATTCTTATCTCCAAATAACCACCAAAAACTCGGAAATGGAGCTGTGGCTCAAATAGTAGAGTGCTAGCCTTGAGCAAAAACAAAACAACAATAGAAAAACCCCCATAAACAAAAAACAAAGCAAAACTCAAGGACAGCACCCAGGCCCTGATTTCAAATCCCAGGACTGGGACATACACAAAGAGTGGATTTATTTGCCTGAGAACCTGAGTCTTTAGTGTCTCAGCCTCCTGAATATTTAGGGTTATAGGCATGAGCCACTGGCACCAGGTGAATGCTATGTTTTTTCATTTTTTTTTCTTTCCAGTTTTTAAAATTAAATTCTGCCTTGAAACTCTACCAAATTTAAATTAATAGTAATTACAAGAACATTGGTATGTAACATTTTTTAGGTGCAGATATTTTAACAGATTTTCAGTTACAAAGTATCTTTCACTTGTTTCAGGACTATAGTGCAATTTTCTTTTACTAAACTTTGAGTTGAACAACAATTACTATAATCTAATTTTAGAATTGTGTGTGTGTGCCAGTCCTGGGGTTTGAATTCAAAGCCTGGGCATTATTCACTATTCCTGAGCTTTTTTTTTTTTGGTTGGTTGTGGGGCTATCCCTGAGATTTTCATCAAGGCTAGTGCTCTATCACTTTGGGCCACTTCCAGTTTTTAGGTGGTTAACTAAAGAATCTCATGGGGGGCTGGGAAGGTGGCTCAGTGGTAGAGTGCTTGCCTTGCATGCCCGAGGACCTGGGTTCGATTCCTCAGCACCACATAAGCAAAAAGAAAAAAAGCCGGAAGTGGCGCTGTGGCTCAAGTGGTAGAGCACTAGCCTTGAGCTGAAGAGCTGAGGGACAGCACCCAGGCCCAGAGTTCAGGCCCCACTACCGGATCCAAAAAAAAAAGAGTCTCATGGACTTTTCCTGCCCAGGTTGGCTTTGAACCGTGATCCTCAGATCTCAGTCTCCCGAGTACCTCGGATTATAGGCCTGAGCCACCAGTGCCTGGCTAATTTTAGGATATTTTAAATATTTTAAATACTCCAAAAAAAGAACTACATACCCATGGCAGTCACCCCTCATTCCTAGCTCCAGCCTCAGACAACCTCTGATCTACTTTCCTTCTTAAAGATATATCTTTTTGGTGTACTATACATCGGTGTCCCACTGCTTTTGGATTGACCTTTTATCTGCTTACCACTTGATGGATATTTGTGTTGTTTTACTTTTTTTATTATAACAGTACTGCTGTGCGCATTTGTGTAATGTGTGTGTCCAAAATGAAGTTTTAGATCTTAGACTAGGTGTGCAAGCATGATCCACCAGTGCCTGGCAGCAAAAGCCGCTTTTGAGCACCTCTCATAAGGCTGAGGATTGAACCTATTGCCTCACAGATGTGCAGACACTACCACTGAGATATATCCCCAGTTTTGTGCATTGTCTTTATGTGGAAGATGCATCCATTCCCACGTGGATTGGGAAAAAATCCAAACCAAGATTTAGTCTTCAGCCAGGCACCTGTGGCTTACACCTGTAATCCTAGCTACTCAGGAGGCTGGGCAGGAAAGTCAGCCTGGGCAGGTAAATCCATGAGATTATTACCTCCAATAAACCGCCAGAAAACCAGAAGTGGCGCTGTGGAGCACTTGCATTGAGCTGAAGTCAGTCCCAAGACTGACAAAAAAAAAGATTTAGTCTTCAAAAGTCTCGTCTCAATTTTTTTTTTCTTTTTAGGTAGAGACTTGATATGTGTCCCAGTCTAGTCTTAAACTTACTGTATAACCCAGGCTGGTGTTAAACTCTCAATCCTCATGCCTCAGCCTCTTTGGTGCCTGGACTATTATATCACAATGACATTGGTGTCTCATGCCTGTAATCTTAGCTACTCAAAAGGCTGAGATCTAGAGGATCATGGTTCATGGACAGCCTGGGCAGAAAAGTTTGCTACACTCTATCACCAGCAAAAATCAGACTGAAGGCATGGTTCCAGTGGAAGAATGCCAACAGAGCAAGCAAGCATATGGTCTGCATTTCAAACCTCAGTACTCACAAAATAGAAAGAAAGAAGAAAGGAAAGGAAAAGGGAAGGAAAAGAAAATATGAACTTTAGTTTAAATGATGGAATCAGGTCTGAAAAGGTGGCTCAGTGGTAGAGTGCTTGCCTTGCATGCATGAGGCCCTGGGTTCAATTCCTCAGCACCACATAAGCAGAAAAAGCCGCAAGTGGGACTGAGGCTCAAGTGGTAGAGCGCTAGCCTTGAGCTGAAGAGCTGAGGGACAGTCCAGGCCCAGAGTTCAGGCCCCACGACCAGAAAAATAAATAAATAAATAAATGTTGGAATCATTTAAAATCTAATTTATTTATTTATTTATTTATTTTTTGCTGGTAGTGGGCCCTGAACTCTGGGCCTGGGCTCTGTCCCTCAGCTCTTCAGCACAAGGCTAGCGCTCTACCTCTTGAGCCACAGTGCCACTTCCAGCTTTTTCTGCTTATGTGGTGCTGAGAAATCAAACCCAGGGCCTCATGCATGCGAGGCAAACACTCTACCACCTTCCCTGCCCCCTTAATATCTAATTTATTGATACTTTTTTTTTTCCTTAGGCAGTACTTGGCAAAGCCACAAGTCACACTCAGGCAGCACTTCAAAAAACTAAGGAACAAAAGAGATCCTTGGAGAAGGTACTGGCATATTAATAGTGATGGTATTAATAGTGACACATTCAATCCAGTAAGATTTAAGTAGGATTTTGCTTGAATTAGCATGTTGATGGATATGCCATTTGTGCATACCCTCTGCTAGGGTTGCTTGTGTCTGAAGTCTTCCCTTAGAAGCTTCTGTTGGGCTAAGGCTTTATGGCAGTAGGAAGGCTTGCCAAATCAACCCTTCCTATTTTTCTTCTTCCATTCGTCTGCCCACCTGGCTGAGTTTTCCCCTTTCTTTCGGTCTCCTCCTCACTGGAAGGATCATTAGGAGTCGTTCCAACATGGTTACCTTCCTGCATTTGTTATGTTCTCCCTTGATTTGGCCAGTTAGGCTAAGATTCCAGGCATCCATTTTGTTTGTGGTGTCAACGAAGGCAGGGTAGCCACAAAGAAATGTGGCTTCAATTCAGCAAATTTCAGTCTCAAACAATTTTAATTTTTTTTCAGCAATAAATAAGTTTTGGTAAAGTTTCTTTGAATGTTAAGAAAGCATGGTATGTGTCTTTTACAATGATAGGGACTGCTTTGTTTGTTTTTTAGTTTTTTAGTGCTAATTCTGGGGCTTGAGTGCTGTTCCTGAGCACAAGCTAGTGCTCTACCATTTGAGCCACAGTGCTGCATCTGCCTGTTTTGGCCATTAACTGGAGATCAGAGTCTCACAGACTCAGGTTGCCTTCTAACCACAGTCCTCAGTTCTCAGCCTCCTGAATAGTTAGGATTACAAGCATGAGCCACTGGTGCCTGTCAAGAGACTGGTTTTTGTTTTTCTTTTTTCAGTTGTGGGTCTTGAACTCTGGGCCTGGGCATTGTCCCTCAGCAATTAAGCTCAAGGCAAGAGCTCTACCACTTCAGCCACCGTGCCACTTCTGGTTTTCTTTTCATTTCTTTTTTTAATTGTGAAAATACTGTACAGAGGGGTTACAATTACATGAGCAAGATAATGAGTACATTTCTTATCAAGCATTGTAGCCTCCTCCTTTGTTTCCCCTTCCCATCCCATCCTCCCTCCCTCCCCCCACTTCTGGTTTTCTAATGGTTTGAGATAAGAGTTTCATGTACTTTCCTGCCCAGGTTGGCTTTGGACCCATGATCCTCAGATCCCAGCCTCCTGAGTAGCTAGGATTACAGGTGTGAGCCACCGGCACCCCCCTAAGGGACTATGTTTTGAATGTTTTAAAATGTTTTCTCTTTACCATTTCTGTGAAATGATTAAGTGAAATATTTTACCTGTTCGTAGTGTCCTGAAATGATTTACTTGTGATTTCCAGTAAAAGTACTGGTTTTATTCCATAGGAAATAAATGCCCTGCAGTGGGAAATAGAATTTGATCAGGATAGATTTAAAAATATAGAAGAATCCTGGACCCAGAAATATGACAGGTTGGTATATTACTTTTTTTTTTTGGTTGGTCATGGGGCTTGAACTCTTGGCCTGGGTGCTGTCCCTCAGTTCTTCAGCTCAAAGTGAGCACTCTACCACTTGAGCCACAGTGCCACTTCTGGCTTTCTAGTGCTTTATTGAAGATGAGTCTCACAGACTTTCCTACCTGGGCTGACTTTGAACCGCAATCTTCAGATCTCAGCTTCCTGAGTAGCTAGGATTACAGGCATGAGCCACTGGCACCCAGCTGGAATATTACTTTTAATCTTTTAAATTTATGTTTTGGTGGTATTGGGAATCAAACCATAGGCTCACTTATGATAGGCAAACACTCTATCACTGAGCTACATTACTGCCCCAGTGTTTACATTATTATCGCTTACATTTTCCTTGATAATTTAAAATGCATGGAATTTATTTATTTATTTTGGTCTGTTGTGGGCTTGAACTCTGGGCCTGGGCACTGTCCCTCAGTTCTTCAGCTCAAGGCGAGCACTCTACTGCTTGAACCACAGTGTCACTTCCAGTTTTCTAGTGGTTTATTGGAGATAAGAATCTCACAGACTTTCCTGCCTGGGCTGGCTTTGAACCACGATCCTCAGATCTCAGCCTCCTGAGTAGCTAGGATTACAGGTGTGAGCCACCGGTACCCAGCTAAATGCATGGAATTTAAATGCAGTGTGTAGGATTTCTTCTTTGAGCTAATTGTAATTTATTATAGTTTATCCACTTAGTAGTTTCATATTTGTTAGTATTGTTTTCCTTAAAATAATAATTTAAAAAAAATCCTTGCCAGGCACCAGTAACTCATGCCTGTAATCCTAGCTACTGAAGAGGTTGAGATCTGAGGACCAAGGTTCAAACCAGCCTGGAAAGGAAACTCTATGAGACTCTTACCTTTAATTAACCAGCAAATTGGGAGTGATGCTGTGATTCAGTGTAGAGCACTACCTTGAGTGAAAAAGCTCAGGGACAGTGCCCAGGCTCTGAGTTCAAGCCACATAACCACCACCACCAATAACAACAACAAAAAAGCAAAAATGGAAACAAAACAAAACCTCTGGGCTGGGAAGGTGGTTCAGTGGTAGAGTGCTTGCCTTGCATGCATGAGGCCCTGGGTTCAATTCCTCAATACCACATAAGCAGAAAAAGCTGGACGTGGCACTGTGGCTCAAGTGGTAGAGTGCTAGCCTTGAGCTGAAGAGCTGAGGGACAGCGCCCAGGCCCAGAGTTCAGGCTCCACAACCGACAAAAAAAGACAAAGACAACCAACAACAAACCTCTTCCTCTCTCCATTGATGAGACGGGTTCCTTTATAATGGAATCATCTCTTAACATGACCACCTGCTGGGGACCCATTTGTAACGTGAGTCTTTTTGGAGGCCACTTCATATACAAACCATAACAGCTGAAATTTTAGTGTAAGAGTTTTTATTTTCCCCCTGTTTAATTGTTTATACCAATGTGGCTTCATGGATTCTTGGTCTCTTCAATGTCTTAAAAAGCTATTACTAAAAAAAAAAAAAAAAGCTATTACTGTCATAATTTCTGTGTGTGTGTGTGTGTGTGTGTGTGTGTGTGTGTGTGTGTACATGAGTCCTGGGGCTTGAACTCACGCCCTGGGTGCTGTCCCTAAACTTCTTTTGCTCAAGGCTAGTGCTCTACCACTTGAGCCACAGCTCTACTTCTAGCTTTTTAGTAATTTATTGGAGAATGAGTCTCACAGATTTTCCTGCCTAGGCTGGCTTTGAACTGCAATCCTCAGATCTTAGCCTCCTGAGTAGTTAGGATTACATCACACTTGGCTTTCATAATTTCTTTGATGCCTAAAATTTCTCACTTATGGAGCCCCTTCTAGATGGCTCCAGTGGTATTCTGACACTTCTCTATTGGCCTTGGAGCACTTTCTTGCTTTCTGGTACAGGCAGGTATTCTGGGACAGTATGTCTATAATATTAGACATTTACTCATGGAGCCCTGGTTTCTTTCAATGGAGCCAAAATCTGAGGGCTAGAAGGTCTTCCCAGAGGACAGAGCTGGAAAGCAAACACTGACACATGTCACACATAAACACATACACATACACATATGTCTATCAATCCCAGCCATCCATCCATCCATCCATCCATCAAAACCCAGTGTTGGGGCTGGAGATGTAGTTCATTTGCGGATATTTGTATAGTGTGACTATGTCTTGGATTTGATCTCCAACTCCAAAAGATATAAAAAATTTTTTAAAAAAGGAGAGAGCCAGTACCAATGATTCACATCTATTCTTTCCTATTCAGGAGGCTAAGGTCTGAGGCTCTGGGTTCAAAGCCAGCCTAGACAGGAAAGTTCATGAGATTAATTAGCCACCACAAAGCCAGAAAAAGAGCTGTGCCTCAATTGGTAGAGCGGTAGCCTTGAACACAAAAGCTCAAGGACAGAGCCCAGGCCCTGAGTTCAAGCCCCAGGACTCATACAAAAAAAAAGGAGAGAACAGAATTTTCTGTGAAAAGCCAATCTCAGCAAGACTATTTAATGTCCTAGTTTATTGTTAAGTGGGAAAGGAATATCTGAGATTTACATTTCATTTTAAACTTAAGAGGACTTAATATCAAGACCATCTAAAAAAAATGACCTGAGGTCAACCCTTAGAATAAGTGTTTTTTTTTTTATTTAAAATTACAGAGGAACTTCTAATGTTTTAGTTATTCAAAGCATGTTATTTCCCCAGACTAAACTGTGACAATGCCATCCTCAAAGAGGATTTGAAGCTGAAAACAGAAGAAATTAAAATGCTCAAGTCAGAAAACGCAGGTAGGAAAAGAGTGGTATTTTGAGTATCCTATGGTAAGAACACACGAAGAGACACAAAATGCTAATGTGTTGAAGTGATGTATTTTGAGGATAAAAAAGGGAATAAATGAATCAGAACGGTTTTTAAACCTATAAAATGTATCAAAGCAAGCAGGGAGTGGTGGCTCAAGACTGTAATCCTAGGGAGGGAGAGGCTAGAGATTGAGTTCAAGGCCTGCATGGGTAAAAAGAAATTGGAGATTCTGTCTCCACCAATGGCTGGGCGCAGTGGCACCTTTTACGCCAGCTGTGGTAGGAGCATAATGGCTGGGCCCAGTGGTGGGCACGCCTGCTCCTGAGGTGTGATGAGCACCTGTCACTCCTCTCCTCAAATCAGAGAATCAAAGCCCAGACTCGTCCCCTGCAGAAAGTGAGAGCTTACCTCAAAAATAACCCATGGAGACAGTGACAGGAGATGTGGCTCACGTGGTAGAGTGCCTGCCCTGGAAGCACTTGGCCCCTAGTTCAATACCCAATACTGCCACAAAAAAGGAACAAAATTAAATCTAAACAACACATTTAAAAGTGAATAATTCAAGAGACATGGGCAACATACTCAACTACCATCTCTAGTTTCAAGACATTTCTAGCAGCCCAGAGTAAACAGCTCGTATATATTAAGCAGGTTCCGTCTGTCCCCTGCTTTTTCATTTCATAGTAAGCTCAAGAGTAGATCAGCATGCATGAGGAAGAGAAATCAGAAATAGTGTGTTTGTGTAATCTCTCACATGTCCTTATGTAACGAACCACCTTATGATAAATACTGGTGAAAAGATAGAAAGACCTTTGGTATATACAGTTAGGTGCTAGTGGATCATGCCTGTAATCCTAGCTACTTAGGAGACTGAGATCTGAGAACCTAGGTTCAAAAGCCGGCCTTGACAAATAAATCCAGGAGACTCTTATCTCCAGTTAACCAACAACAATCCAGAAATGAGGGTTTGACTCAAAGGATAGAGTCCCAACCTTCAGTGAAAAAGTCAGTTAAGAGCACAAGACCAGCTGGGGTGCTAGTGGCTCACGCCTGTAACCTTAGCTATTCGGGAGGCTGAGATCTGAGATCAAGATTCCAAGCTAGGCCAGGCAGCAAAGTCTATGAGACTTTTAGGTCCAATTAACCACCAAAAACTGGAAGTGGTGCTGTGGCTCAAAGTGCTAGCCATGAGCAAAAACAGCTGAAGGGCAGCACCTAGGCCCCGAGTTCAAGCCCCACAACTGACAAACAACAACAACAAACAACAAACAAACAAAAACTGCACATGGCCCTAAGTTTAAGCCCCAGTACTGGCACACAAAACACCTAATGCTTGGTAACGACATCCCTTTTTTGGGGGGGGGGGGGGGGGGAAGGGCGTCCGGTCGTGGGACCTGAACTCTGGGCCTGGGCGCTGTCCCTCAGCTCTTCAGCTCAAGGCTAGCGCTCTACCACTTGAGCCACAGCGCCACTTCCGGCTTTTTTTCTTTTTGCTTATGTGGTGCTGAGGAATCAAACCCAGGGCCTCAGGCATGCAAGGCAAGAGCTCTACCACTGAACCACCTTCCCAGCCCAACATCCCAAATTTTTAAGAGAAGATGCCAATCCTACATTTTGGCAGAGACTAAGCAGTGGCTTGAAGAGGACAAACAAGTTCCAAATCAGGCTTTGTATTTTATGCATCACTGAGCTGTGTGAATGCCTCACGCAGATGGCATCTGAGCCCAGGCCATTGAGCCCACAGGATTGTCGCCTGTGGTAAATTAGGTCAGGATAGAAGCTTCCAGAATCACAGCCTTTTTCTTTTTTCCTTACCACTTTGCCTTGTGTTGCTGGGGATCAAACACAGGACCTCCTGTCTGCTGGGTAGCAGTCTTCCACTGAGCTACCTCCCCGCCCCCTTTTTGTTCTAACATGTGGTTTGAGAGCCTCATGTGAAAAGTCTAGCATTTAATGCCTGCTGTCTCCCACGACTGTGGGTATTCTACCAGATCGGTGTTGCAGATGAAGCCCCATCTGTGGGACTTGTGCTGGAGGAAACAGTGTTGGTATAACTGCATTACAGGAGGGCCGAGCGAGGCCTCAGAACTAACGTTTGTGTGTGGCCCTGCCTAGTGTTGAATCAGCACTACTTGGAAGCCCTCGCCATGCTTGATATCAAAGAGCAGAAGGTATCTCAGGAAAGCCTGTGCCAGGACAAGAGTGGCTTAACGGAGGTATCAGGGCTTGAGGTAGGTGCCATGTGTGAACGGTAAGGGCAGGGGAGGGGGCATTTCTACTCTCCTTTCCTCTCCCCTGTCCTAGCACACCCTACATAGTGATCTGACTAGGGTGAGAGGGACCCAGGGCCTTGCCCAGCTCAGTCTTCCTGCCTGGCTGCTCCAGGACCCGCAGGCCTGCCATTCTTGGCATCAGGGTCTATGCCAGCTGCTTCCTCCCATAGTTTCCTCCTGTCGTAGTTGCAGCAGAAGCGGTGTGAGTAGATGTCACTCTTGGCTTGGAGAATACAACTTCACAGGACTGGCACTCCTTATTCTATCTAAAGCTCACGGTGGCCTCTGACACCTGCAAAGTGAGTGCTGGCCAGCTAAGGCTGATAAGTTGTTACTTTCTATTTGTCTTTTCTCCTCCTCCTCCTCCTCCTCCCCCTCCTCCTCCTCCATCCTCCTCCTCCTCCTGCTGCTGCTTTTTTGTTGTTGTTGTTGGTTGTGGGGCTTGAACTCTGGGCCTGGGCACTGTCCCTCAGCTCTTCAGCTCAAGGTGAGCTCTCTACAACTTGAGCCACAGCGCCACTTCCAGTTTTCTGCTTGTTTATTGGAGATAAGAGTCGTACGGGCTTTCTTGACTGGGCTGGCCTTGAACTATGATCCTCAGCTCTCAGCCTCCTGAGTAGCTATGATTACAGGCGTAAGCCACCGGTGCCTGGCTTACCTTTTTTTTTTTTTTTTTCCAGTGGTCCTGGGGATTAAACCCAGGGCATCCCAAGGTAATAAGGCAAGTTATGATTGAGCCACGTTCAGAAGAAAGATCTGCTGTAGTATTAGTGGCCTACAATACGGGAGCTTGCCAATGATGTATAAAAGCATCCTGGGATTCATAGAAAACAAGTATAGCCTGTCATTCACTGTACATCTTCAGAGAAGCAGCAAGCCTGGTGCTGGAGACTCATGCCTACAATCCTAGCTACTCAGGAGGCTGAGATAAGTAGTTCAAGGCTAGGCTGGGCAGGAAAAACTCATGAGATTCCATCTCCAAAATGCCTGGCTTGAAGCATGGCTCAAGTGGTAGAGTTCCAGCTGTTACAAAGAAATCCAAGTGAGAGGCCTTAAGTTCAAACCTCAGTACTGGCAAAAAAAAAAAAAAAAAAAAAAAAGAGGCAATAATAGTTGCTTTCAATAATAGTTACACACTGACAAAGGCCTTATCACTTGCCAGATGTTCTAAGTGGTTCACATGGATCGACAGATTTTTTTTTTTTTTGAAGGAGTTACAATAAAAATCTTTAGGTTTGGTCAGTACAGGTAAGATATAGTGGAGTCACAGCAATATGCACTAACAGGATACAACAGTTCATAAAAACTGAGTAACTCTGCACACAGACTTCTTAAACATTTAGTCACCTAAAAATAATTGCACAGATGTATGGTGGAAAAAACTGTATCTAACACTGAAACTACTGTAGGACTCCATCAACAAGTCCAATTTTTAGTGGTAAAAAAACTACTGTACTGGGCAAACTTGGCAGTCCTAAATCACATCTACTCTAACAAATTGGATGGACAGATTTAATCCTTACATCTACCCCCAGAAAGAAGGCATAATTTTCCAAATGAGACAATCGAGCACTGCGAAGTAGGTAACTTTTTGTGATATTTCCCAGATCTTCCTTTTTTTTTGGCAACTTCAGAAAGAGTGATTATTAGGAGCTGGGAAATAAAACGGGGAAATATTTATCTGCCATATGGCCTTGTGTACACTCAGATCAGCCAAAAGTTAACTATGCTTCAAAATTACCTTTGATGTGAGACATTTCTGAGATGACTTTTACATTGAAGGAGACAGTGGGTTCTTCTTCTCTAAGTCTGAAATAGGGACAGGGAATGTGGCTTAGTGCTAGGGTGCTTGCTTAGCGTGCATGAGGTCCTGGGTTCGGATTCCTTGGTATCACATTAACATAAAATTAATAAAATAAAGGGAAAATACCATTAAATTATGCTTAAAATAAAATATTTTTTAAAAGTCTAAAATAAGCCAAGTGCAGGTGGCTCACACCTGTAATTCTAGCTACTCAGGAATCTAAGATCTAAGGATCATGGCTCAAAGCCAGCCCAAGCAGGAAAATCTGTGAGACTGTTATCTCCAATTAATTACCAAAAAAGTTGAAGCTGTGACTCAAATGGTAGAATGGTAGCTTTGAGAAAAAATATTCAGGGACTGAACCCAGGTCCTGAGTTCAAGCTCCAGGACTGGCACACATACATACAAAAAAAAAGTAACTTGGGCCTCAGTGTTAAAGTGAGACACAGTACACAACTGGGAGTGATAGAATTTTCTTCATTGTGATCCATAGTCAAGTTCTGGTGATTCCAGAAGAGTGGATCATCCAAAAAATATTTAAGAATACAGTGTTTGATTACAGATTGTTTTTATTTTTATTTTTGGCAGTACAGACGTTGGAACTCAAGGCCTTGTGCTTGCCAGAGAATTGCTGTATTATTTTTTGCTTTAGTTATTTTTCATATATGGTGTTAGGGGTCTTTTTTTTTCTAAGACCAGCCTTGGATAATGATTCTCCTACACAGGAACCCTCAAGTAGCTGGGATTTGAGATATATACCACTACATCTGCCTTTTTTTATTGAGTTAGAGATGAAATAGAGATTAACTTTTTCCTAGGCTGCCTGGAATCATGATTTGCCTAATGTCTGCCTTCAAAGTAGCTGGGATTACAAGTATGAGTCACTGCCCTGGACAGAGGATTTTTTTTATTTTATTTTATTGTAAAGGTGATGTACAGAGGGGTTACAGTTACATAAATATGGTAATGAGTACATCTCATTTTGAACAGTATTAGCCCCTTCCTCATTTTCTCTCCAGAGTGTCTGTGTATATATGTATATGTATGTATATATATATATTTTTTGGGGGGGGTCTGTTGTGGGGCTTGAACTTTGGGCTTGAGTGCCGTCCCTCAGCTCTTCAGCTCAAGGCTAGCACTCTACCACTTGAGCCACAGCTCAAGTTTTCTGGTGGTTAATTAGAGATGAATCTCACAGACTTTCTTGCCGGGCTGGCTTTGAACTGCACTCCTCAGATCTCAGGCCCCTGAGTAGCTAGGATTACAGGTGTGAACTATCAGCACCCACTACAGAGTATTTTTTTTTAAGGAGTGAATGCATCATTGTTTTTCTTACTGCACATTAAAATTCACTTTGTCATTTTGGAATATATAGTATCCTTGCAGAGACTTGCAGCAGGTAATACTGGGTATCTGGGCCCACCAGACATAGGAACTCATGTTACAGAACTTCACATTAACTATACCCTTAGGCTACATTCCTGCCACGGACTCAGAAGGAGACAGATGCCAGGATTAAAAGTTTTAAGAAAGCCGACGCTGGTGGCTCATGCCTGTAATCTTAGCTACTCAAGAGACTGAGATCTGAGGATCAAGGTTCAAAGCCAGCCTGGGCAGGAAAGTCCAAGAGACTCTTATCTCTAATTAACTACCAAAAAACTGGAAGTGGTGCTGTGGCTCAAAGTTATAGAGTGCTAGTCACGGAGCAAAAGAGGTCAGGGAGGGCTGGGAAGGTGGCTCAGTGGTAGAGTGCTTGCCTTGCATGCATGAAACCCTGGGTTCGATTCCTCAGTACCACATAAGCAAAAAGAAAAAAGCCAGAAGTGGCGCTGTGGCTCAGGTGGTAGAGTGCTAGCCTTGAGCTGAAGAGCTGAGGGACAACGCCCAGGCCCAGAGTTCAGGCCCCACGACCGGACCCCCTCTAACCCCCTCAAAAAAAAAGAGGTCAAGGATAGCACCCATTCCTGGAGTTCACGTCTTACAACTGAAAAAAAAAAAAAAAAAAAAAAAAATATATATATATATATATATATATATGTACACACACACACACACAAATCATTGATGGGAGATGAGCCCATGGAATAAAAAGAAGGAAGGTAGAATTTCTTGATCTTTTTTTTTTTTTTGGGGGGGGGGGGGGGTCCGGTCATGGGGCCTGAACTCTGGGCCTGGGCGCTGTCCCTCAGCTCTTCAGCTCAAGGCTAGCACTCTACAACTTGAGCCACAGTGCCACTTCTGGCTTTTTTTTCTCTGCTTATGTGGTGCTGAGGAATCGAACCCAGGGCCTCATGCATGCGAGGCAAGCGCTCTACCACTGAGCCACCTTCCCAGGCCCGAACTTCTTGATCTTGTTACAAGTAATGACATTCTTTCTCACTCATAGTTAATGTCCACTTGGATCCTGAAATCCTGGCCTTCGTTTTTCTTCTCCACTTTAGTTTCTTTGGGTCAGATGCTTGAGTGCTGGTGTGCGTGGCTGCGTGGGTGCCTGTGCTGGTGAGCAGCTAAGGCATTGTGACACTTCGTAATGGCAAGGCATGCTTTTGGGTTTCCAGCTCGCGGTCCTTGGAGCCTGCCTATGTGGTGGTCCTGGAGGCAGCCCCTGTTCTTGTGCCAAAATGGCAGCGTCCACTCGGAAACTGGTTCTTCAGCTCAAACATGAGGTACCTATCACATTATTATGACAGTAGACGTTTTGGTTCTGGTTCCATATTAATAGAATAAATGCAAGTATCTGTAGTGATTTTCATCCTAGTAGTAATTGGCTCAGATTTATGTGATAGCATTAACTTATAAATTACATTCCCCAAATATAATAGTCCTTGGCATATTTGAATGTTTGCCTAAGTTTGTTGTTTGTAGTTCTCCTGCAGAAGTTAGATCTAAAATGCATTGGGATATGACAAATTACACAGGATTCTAGTTACTTACATATAGTGAGACCAAAAGAAGATAGTCTTAGCAGAGAATCACAAAGGTGCAATATCCAAGTGCCTCTTCATATGTATATAAAATAATATACAGACTCAAACAAGCTCTAATGATATGGAAACAAAGGGCTTTTTTTTTCTCAATTTGTTTTTTCTTTTTCTGATGACTCTGTATTCTTTACCTGTATTCTTTACGGTGTATTCATGTGCACAGCTATGGGAGGGTGGGGGCAGGGAACAGGATCTGAGGAAATTGGGTGAAAAGGTACAGCAGTGGAGCGCACTGGACACTGATAAAAATGAACTACGCAACTCATGGGTAGAGATGGGAGAAAGGGAATGGGAGAGAATGAGGGAATGATGACATTGGATGAAAGGAAATGTATTTATTACCTGATGTATGTAAATATAACCCTTCTGTATATCACCTCTAAAATAACAATAAAGTAAATTTTTTAAAAATGCCTGTGCTGGGCACCAGAGGGCATAGGACTCTAATTGCAAGCACGTGAGAGGCTGAGCTGTATCTTGTGACCCTATAAAGGGAAAAGAGAGGGAAGAAAGGAGAGAATCAAGGAGGGAGGCCCAGCAAAGCACAAGATGACTGATCAGTCACCAGCAGCCTCAGTCCTGCAAAGTTGTCCTGCAGTAGCCCAGGGCTGAATTGAAATGCAGCCCTTGGTATCTGCCATTCTTTCTAGCTGGCCTTCCTCTGGAATTTGGGTGGGACACACATACAAGGTCTAGGTGTAGGTGTGTAGTGAATTTCAGCAGTTGAAGTAGCAGCCAACTGACCAGCACAGTGAGAGAAACTACTGGTGGTGCAGATTAGAGTGAGCTGCTATGACAAGTTCTTAGTATAAGCAGCGCTACAGATCAAACATAGGAGCCATCAGCAACAGGCGGGTACTGCATACGTGATTTGATTCTGCACTCAGGCAAGAACTGTTCTGACTTAACCTCTGACACTGTTCAAACTTCTTTTCAAAACCAGTTGGAACTTCTGCAGAAAAGTAAAGAAGAGGCTTACATAATGGCAGATGCATTCAGAATTGCATTTGAGGAACAGTTAATGAGGAAAAATGACCAGGCACTGAGATTGACACAAATGGATAAAATGTGTAAAAAATCAACCAAAGGGATAAACTGGAAGCTCTTGAGAGAAGATGGTAACTATTAAACATAATGGCAATAATCATATCATTTTAGTTGGTTATAATCAAAGTTATGGAAGCATTGTAAAGCTTATATATGGGTATAAAATTGCAGTGTAATATGTAGTTGTGATTTACTTAAAAATTTAGCAACTGGTCTGGGCACCAGTGGTTCACATGTATAATTCTAGTTACTCAGAAGTCTAAGATCTGAGGATCCCAGCTTGAAGCCAGCCCGGGCAGGAAAGTCTGTGAAACTCTTATCTCCAATAAACCACTAGAAAACCGGAAGTAGCACTGTGGCTCAAGTGGTAGAGCGCTCGCCTTGAGCTGGAGAGCTGAGGGACAGCGCCCAAGCCCAGAGTTCAAGCCCCAAGACTGACCAAAACACACACACACACACACACACACACACACACACACACACACACACACAAAACTCAGGGACAGAGTCCAGGACCTGAGTTCAAGCCCTACAACCAACAACCAAAAAATAAAATTTAAAAAAATTAGCAATTGTTACCTGGTGCTAGTAGCTCAAGACTATACTCCTAGTTACTCAGGAGGCTGAGTTTTGAGGATCTCAATTTGAAGCCAGCCTGGGCAAGAAAATCTGGGAGACTCTTATCTCCAATTAATCACAAAAATCCAGAAGTGGAGCTGTTGGTTAAGTGGTAAACTGCTATCCTTGTACAAAGAACTAAACGAGAGTGCCCAGTACCTGAGTTCAAGCTCCAGGACTGTGTGCGCGCGCACACACACACACACACGACAGAGCAGTCTGAGCCTAGGCATTGTGGTCTGTCAGGATGGGGAAGAAAGGAGGATCGTCTCTGTTTTGTATAAGCTCATTTGCCCACTGTCCCAGACATTCTCAAAATTTCCTTTGTATATTCCAAAGTCAGTAACTTATTTTCTTTCTTTTTTTTTTTTCCTCTGTTTTGTTGAGGTAGTCCAGGCTGACCTCTTTCAGTCCACTTGCTCCTGGCTCTCCAGTGCTGGGATTCCTGGTATGCTGCATCATCATGCCCAGCTACTTTGCACATTCTTCCACGAATCACATTGTTCTATGGATAGAAATTAGTGTATATACTTCAGGTTGTAGTCTTCCCATTAGACCGATACTTGGCGAGTTGTTCTTTTATAACCAAGCTATTTTTTTTTTTTTGGGTATTCCCATTTTTTTTCTTTTTTTTTTTTTTTATTGTAAAGCTACTATACAGAGGGTTACAGTTACATGAGTGAGGTTATGAGTACACTTCCTCTTGAACATTGTTACCCCCTCCATTGTTTTCCCCCTACCATCCCCTCCCTCCCTCCCTTCCCCGAGGTTTTTTTTTTTTTTTTTTTTTTTGATTGTGATTAAATGATTACATAATTTCAAAGTCACAAGTTCATTCTAACTTCCCTGGAGCAAATTGTCTACCACAGTCTGTAATATATAACAGTGTTCACATGTTATATACCATATTTGTGATCAGCAGCATGGGGATATTTAGTAGTGGTTCAACCAGATGAGCGGGAGTTCTTTGTTTCTTAAGTCCTGTTAGTTTTGTCGTATCACCTAACCTTTTGGATTTAGCATCCACTTATGAGGGAGACCATGTACCGTTTGTCTCTTCATTCTTGGCTTACCTCGCTCAACATGTTTCCTTCTAGCTCCATCCATTTCCCTGCAAATGCCATTATTTTGTCATTTCTAATGGCTGCATAATATTCCATTGTGTATAGATACCACAATTTTTGGATCCATTCATCTGTTAACCATGCTATTTTTTATGTTCTTAAATTTGTTGACAATTTAAATAGTATTTCTCTTTTAAGCATGACATTGTAAAGATCTACATGAGTTTAGAGTTGACAGATGTGTTTATGGAGGGAAAACCACTTTTAGATATTAGATAGGGAACTTCTCCATCTCCCACTTTATGTTGATAAAATATCCAAAAAGTTTATCCTTTTACTTTTTTGGGTACTAGGGTTTGATTTTTCTTTTCTTTTTGTATATTTTTGTAAATCTTGTGTTAGGATTTGAAATCAGAGACTTGCTAGACTGGCAGTCTTCCATTTGAGCCATATCTCTAGCCTGGCATTTTGTTAGTTAATTGGAGATGGAGTCTCAGGGACTTTTCTTCCCAACCTGACCTTGAGAACCAAGATCCTGTGGACTTTAGCTTCCTGAGTAGCTAGGATTACAGGGAGCCACTTGTGCCCAGCTTCATTTGAACTGTTTTTGAGTGGTATTAAATTCATTTGCATAAGCTTTTCAACCATCACTATCATCCAGCTCCAAAACCTTTTATCTTCCCAAGCACAATAACTATACATAACTATACATACTATATATATATACTATATACATAACTATATACATAACTATACATACTGGCCTTGAGCTCTGGAATACATAATTTAATGGCAAGTAGGTAATAATTTAATGAGAAGTAGGTAATATTATTCTCTTTTATTTATTTATTTGTTTATTTATTTATTTAGGTCAGTCGTGGGGCTTGAAATCTGGGTTTGGGCACTGTCCTTGAGTTCTTTACCTGAAGGCCAGTGCTCTACCACTTGAGCCACAGCGCCACTTCCAGTTTTCTGATGGTTTATTGGAGATAAGAGTCTCATGGACTTTATGTCCGGGACTGGCTTTGAACTGTGATCCTCAGATCTCAGCCTCCTCAGTAGCTAGGATTATAGGCATGAGCCACCAGCACCAAACTCTATTCTCATTTTAGAAGTCAAGAAAATGAAGCTTAGAGAATGAATGCCTCTAACACTTGCAGATAAGTGCAAATAACAGGAGGACTTTGGACAGGCCTTTCTGGCTCTAAAGCATATTGGAACAGACTCAGAGCTCTGTAGCCTGCAGGCGATCTGCACAATGTTTATCAATAATGGAGATTAGTGGCCTACATTTAAAATCGGGAGTGTTTGCACACAAATCTGGATTTCTGCAGCCCCTGAAGATTGTGATGGCCTCGTGACATAGACTGCTTTCCAGCTCTGAGGAGCAGCGTGTAGCAGCGTCCTTCATTGGGTGTCCCAAAGTGTCTCTATACTTGCCTTTCCATCCGGTCCTTGTGGCCTCTGAAGAGGACCTCTAGGCTGATTTAGGAATCCATCAGCCTTGGTTTACAAATACCTCGTTTATGTGTTATGTGTGTCAGTCCTGGGGCTTGAACTTAGGATCTGGGCACTATCCTTGTGCTTTTATTTTCCCAAGACTAGCATTCTACCATTTGAGCCACAATTTCTAGCTTTTTCTTGGTGGTTAATTGTTGATCAGAATCTCACAGGCTTTCCTGCCTTGGCTGGCTTTGAACCATGATTCTCAATCTCAGCTTCCTGAGCAGCTAGGATTATGGGAATGAGCCACCGGTGCCTGGGTAATGAATGTTTTGTTTTTGTTTTGTCTCTGCTGCATGTCCATGCTCACAGGAGGCTTGCCCCAGAGAGGTAAGAAGACCGTAGGTCAGAAACTGTTGGGCATGCTTCCTTCAGAAAACAGTTGTAAGAAGGCTGAAGACCTGGACAATTCTCAAGACGTCTTTAAGATGCTAATAGACTTGGTTAGTACTTTGCTTTCTTTTTACTAAAAATGTAAACTAGTTTTTATTCCCTCCTAACTCAGAGCTACACTTGCTATATACATTATCTGATATAAATATGAATTCATATAATATAAAGATATGTAATACTTCTTTCTCAGAGTATATTCCATGGCTTATTGAAAGTAGCAGGTACTTTTTCTATTTCTGTGCATGCAGTTGAATGATAAAGAAGAAGCTCTGGCTCATCAAAGAAAAGTTAGCTACATGCTTGCTCGGGCACTGGAAGAGAAAGACATTGCCACAAAAGAGAATAAAGAAAAAACACTTATCAAAGAGAATTTTGTATTCAAAAATCTCTGGCATAAAACTTCTGAATTTTCTGTTATACGTGATTCTGTACATTCAGATTCCAGTTTTAATTCTGCCGGCTGTATTTGTTCTATCCAGCAACCTCAAACAGCTCTAAACCACTCAAGAACTCTTAAAAGGTCCAGTTCTTTGCCATCAAGTCTCCTATTTTGAAGATGAACCAGGTGAAGTTTGAAATGAGATTGGCTAGCATTTGGAGACCTTGGAGCTGATGTGGCTCTCCTGTAGAGCACTTCCTACTTTGTAGGCTACAGCACCACAAAAAGATCCTTTTGGAAAAGGATTATAGAAATGTTACCTCATCTTGAAAAGTTATATATTTTTTGGTATGCTTAAATTTTGAGATTCAGATTAAAGAATCAAATCATTTCTGGATTTTCTACAGGAAATGTGTTGTTTGTTGTCATTTTACTTATAAATTAAAGTTTCCAGTATATGCGCCAACATCTTACAGTCAAAAATTATTTTGAGGGAAAACCAAAGATTATTTACTTATAAAAGTAAATAGCTGAGCACCAATGGCTCACATCTATAATCCTAGCTACTCAGGAAGCTGAGATTTGAAAATTGGGGTTTGAAGCCAGCCTGGGCAGGTAAGTCCATGATTGATTTCCAAGTAACCACCAAAGAGCTGGAAAGTAAGTTAAGTGGTAGAGAGCCAGCCTTGAGCAAAAAAGCTAAGGGACAGTGCCAGGCCTTATGGTCAATCCCAGTACCAAAACACACACACACACACACACACACACACACACACACACACACACACACACACACACACACACACACACACACACACACACACACGTACTGGAAGGAACTGAGAAAGTGTATGATAGAACATACTTGTAATCCAGTACTTGGGAGGCTAAGGCAAGAGTATCAAGAGTTCAGGTAAGCTTGGGCCATACAGAGAGACACTCTTAAAACAAAGAGTAAAAAAAATTTTTTTATTTTGGTCGATCATGGGCCTTGAATCTGGGCCTGGGCACTGTCCCTCAGCTCTTCAGCTCAAGGCGAGCACTCTACCACTTGAGCCACAGCGCCACTTCCGGTTTTCTAGTGGTTTATTGGAGATAAGAGTCTCACAGACTTTTCTGCCCAGGCTGGCTTTGAACCGTGATCCTCAGATCTCAGCCTCCTGAGTAGCTAGAATTACAGCTACAAAGAGTAATTATTAACACAGTAATTAATAGTTATTCTCCTGCCTCAGCATCTTGAGTAATGGAATTATAGGTGTGTGCTAGCATACCTGGCTAATATGTTAATTTTTTTCAGAGCAAGTACAGCTTTACCAGGGGGTCACACGGGACTGGGCAGCCCCCACACTGGGGAACAGGGTCTGTACAGCGGGCAGAGCTGGCCTTTCAGGCATTGCTGGGGATTGGGATCAGTCAAGCTTCTCTACGCGGAGCAGAGGCTATTTTTCTGTCATTTGTACTGAGCAGTATGTATTTAGATCAGTCTTGGATCACACTTTTAGTTTATTCTGCAAAGAAAGGTCATCAGCAGGTTTCAGCACTGTTTGATAGGAGGAACACAGTGGTGTCTGCTCAGCACCCCCCAGCCCAGTCTCTCTCTCGGCTGTAGATCCCACTGAGGCTTTGCCAAGACATCCCTGCCTCCTGTATCAAAAGTCAGTGATTTTCACCTTTGGGAATACTGGGGTTTGAACTCAGAGCCCCAAACTTGTAAGACAAGCTCCATACCCCTGAGCCATGCCTCCAGCCATTTTTCACTTTTTTTCTGTTTGTTTTGTTTTTGTCAGTTGTGGGGCTTGAACTCAGGACCTGGGAGCTGTCCCTGAGCTCTTGTGTTCAAGCCTAGAACCTACCACTTTTAGCCACAGTGCCATTTCTTGGTTTTCTGGTGGTTAATTGGAGTTGAGTCTCATGGACTTTCTTGCCCAGATTGGCTTCGAACCATGATCCTCAGATCTCAGCCTCCTGAGTAGTTAGGATTACAGGAGTGAGCTGCTGCTGCCTGGCTTCACTGGTGTTTAGGACATGGAATCTCTTCCCATTTGTCACATGTCTGAACTTCAATCCTCCTTTTTCTACCATTCTGTCATCACTGTGGTAACTAACAGGCAGGTGCCACTGTGTCCAGCACTTTTCTATTAAGCTGGCTTTGAACCACAGTCCCTTCACTGTCAGTCTCCTGTGTAGCTAGGATTACGGGAGTCAGCCACTGTGTCCGGTGGCCGTACCCACTTTCTGACAAATAGATGTTTCATACTGAGCCACTTAATAAACCATGAACAGCAAACATTTTCTTAGATTTTTCAAAAAGGCTAAATGTGATTTCAATGATATGACTTTGTCATAAATGGCCAAGAGTGTCATTTTTGCTTACCAAACTCTGTTGAGAAAAGATACTGTAATTATTATCTACAGACATGGAGGAAGAGGGCTGGGAAGATGGCTCAGTGGTAGAGCGCTTGCCTTGCATGCCTGAGGCCCTGGGTTCGATTCCTCAGCACCACATAAGCAAAAAGAAAAAAGCCGGAAGTGGCGCTGTGGCTCAAGTGGTAGAGCGCTAGCCTTGAGCTGAAGAGCTGAGGGCAGTGCCCAGGCCCAGAGTTCAGGCCCACGACCGGACCCAAAAAAAAAAAAAAAAAGAACCAAAAAACAGACATGGAGGGAGAGCTATCATGGGCTGCTTTAGGACTTCTGAGATTCCTTGGTTTATGAGGCTGCAGGTGACAACTTCCGCTTCCTGGCATCACTGAGTCATGAGAACATTGTTTACCTAATAGGGAGTTTGAAGGCAGGAAGTTCCAGTCCTGTCAATTGTTCTCCTGGCTTCTTAGTTTTGTTCTTCCCCCTTACAATGTGAAAATAGCTACTGTAGCTCCCTACGTCACATCCTCCTACCCACATTCGAAGTTGAAAGGATGAGAACAGCAGATCCAAGGAAAAAGCAAAATGAAACAAAAGAACTGTAGTTTTAATAGTGTCCATCTTCATCCCCAAATGTGATGTTACCTGGAGTGAGTTCAGGTCTTTACAGTGAGAGGACCACATGAAAACAAGTTTGAACTCTTCATCTAATCTCACTGGACATGGAATTAGATGTGCAGAAGACAGCTAATTTAAGGTGCATGAGAAGAAAAAGTCAGCTGGAAGCCAAGGACAAGATCTGGGACAGACCTCTCTCCATGGACCTTGAAGAGTTTTAGACCTTGATCTTGAGCATCCACCATCCACACTAAGACAAGTTTCTGTGGTTCAATTCACAAAGTGGTGCTTTGTTACAGTATCTATAGTAAAGTGATACACAGCACGAGCTGGCAGAGATCATCCATTATATTTTATTCACTGAAAGGCTGTCAGGGGAGTCTGGGAAAGCAAAATCTATCAAAAGCAAGTCTTAGTTATTTCTGGAGCATTTGTTCTGTACATACTCAGCAGCAGTACCCCTTTCTACAATGGTGAGCACAGTACCTAAAACACACAAGTAACAATGTGTAATACCTCTGATATATTCAAGAATTTAATGTCCAGGCTGGGAAGGTAGCTCAGCCGTAGAGTGCTTGCCTTGCATGCATGAGGCCCTGAGTTCAATTCCTCAGCACCACATAAACAGAAAAAGCAGGAAGTGGCGCTGTAGCTCAAGTGGTAGAGCGCTAGCCTTGAGCTGAAAAGCTGAGGGACAGTGCCCAGGCCCAGAGTTCAAGACCCATGACCAAAAAAAAAAAAAAAAACCCCAAAACAGGAATTTAATGTCCAACCATTTGCTAGTCAAATTAGTGTACCAAAGACTAACAACATGAAACCTTTTTTTTTTTTGGGAGGGGGGGCAGGGAGAAGGGGAGAGGTTGTGGGTCTTGAACTCTGGGCCTGGGAGCTGTCCATGAGCTCTTCAGATAAAGACTAGGGCTCTACCACTTGAGCTGGTGCTACTTCCTGTTTTCTGATGGTTAAGTGGAGGTAAGAGTCTAATGGACTTTCCTGCTTGGGCTGGCTTTTTTTTTTTTTTTTTTTTTGGTCTGTCGTGGGGCTTGAATTCTGGGCCTGTGTGCTGTCCCTCAGCTCTTCAGCTCAAGGCTAGTGCTCTACCACTTGAGCCATAGCGCCACCTCCAACTTTTTCTGCTTATGTGGTGCTGAGGAATCGAACCCAGGGCCTCCACGCATGCGAGGCAAGCGCTCTACCACTGAGCCACCTTTCTAGCCCCCTGGGCTGGCTTTGAACTGTGATCCTCAGATCTCAGCCTCCTGAGTAGCTAGGATTACAGGTGTGAGCCACCAGTGTCCGGCTCATGAAACCTTCTAAAATAATTGTGTTGGGGCTGGGAGGGTGGCTCAGTGGTAGAGTGCTTGCCTTGCATGCATGAGGCCCTGGGTTCGATTCCCCAGCACCACATAAGCAAAAAGAAAAAAGCCAGAAGTGGCGCTGTGGCTCAAGTGGTGAGGTGCTAGCCTTGAGCTGAAGAGCTGAGGGACAGCGCCCAGGCCCAGAGTTCAGGCCCCACGACCGGACCCCCCCCCCCCCACCAAAAAAAAATAATTCTGTTATTTTGATTCATGTTTGTCATTGCATAAATAATTCACCTGCCTAAAAATATCCATCTCTAAGGAAACTGGAACTACTACAAGAGTTAAAGATTTTTCTCCCACTCCATCTGTGTCAATGACTGTGGATTCCTTCTCACACAAAGATTAGAATGTTACACCATGGGCTGGGAAGGTGGCTCAGTGTTAGAATGCTGGCCTCACATACATGAGGCCCTGGGTTTGATTCCTCAGCACCACATAAATAGAAAAAGCTGAAAGTGGTGCTGTGTCTCAAGTGGTAGAGCACTAGCCTTGAGCTGAGGGAGCTGAGGGACAGTGCCCAGGACCAGAGTTCAAACCCCACTATGGACAAAAAGAAAAAAAAAAGAATGTTAAACCAAAGCAAGACAATAAATCCCTTTTAGATAAGGATACTAGGCATATTTAAGTAAGGAACAGGATCAATGTTTCCTTTGCTATTAGACAAGCATATGTACATGCACACACACACACACACACACACACACACACACACAGACTTCCAGAGCCTTTAAATAAAAGCCAGATAGCAGTTAGGACTAACTCTCCAACTCTCCATGGTGGGCTAATATAAAAAAATGCTTCAATAGTTCAGTTACTGAATATGTTTGTTGATGATAAATACGTAAAAAGCTAAGAGGCTTCTCTTTAATTTTTTTTTTTCTCTGACTTCTGTAATCTTCTGCCAATACCAATACATTACCCACTCAAATTGTTTTTTGGCCTTGCTGCCTTCCCACAGATCTTTTCCTTAATTAAAAAAATTTCCAGCTGGGTGCTGACGCGCCTGCCTCTAAGTCTAGTTCCTGAGGGGGCAAAGATATGAGGACTGCAGTTCAAAGCCAGCCTGGACAGGAAAGTTCCTGAGACCTTATCTCCAATTAATCATCAGAAAACTGGAAGTGGCGCTGTGACTCAGTGTTTGCACACTAGCCTTGAGTAAAAGAGCTCAGGGCCAGGCCCCAAGTTCAAGTCCTAGGACTGATCAAAAAATAAAATTTTCTATGTATTCTGACAAGCTGAATTCTATCTACTCTATATAAAAAACTAAAAAGTGCACAAAAATAAAATTTATATATATATGGTCTTGACAATTCTCCAAATAGTCATCAAATAATTTGCACATATCCATAAACCCCAGCAAAATCTATATACTGCCTTGTATATCACCTTAAACATTCTGTAACTGTCAAAACAACTTTCAGGGGCTGGGAAGGTGGCTCAGTGGTAGAGTGCTTGCCTTGCATGCATGAGGCCCTGGGTTCGATTCCTCAGCACCACATAAGCAGAGAAAGCCAGAAGTAGCACTATGGCTCAAGTAGTAGAGTACTAGCCTTGAACTGAAGAGCTAAGGGACAGTGCCCAGGCCCAGAGCTCAGGCCCAATGACCGACAAAAACAAAAACAAAAACAAAAAAAAAAACTTTTAAAATCTTTTATTTTTCTTGGTCAAAGACCAGGACTTGAACTTGGTAGCTATGGTTGCTTTTGCTCATTGGCTAGTTAATGCTAAACCAACTGAGCCAGATCTCCAATGCCAACTTTAACATCCTGATGGCTTAAAAACAAAAAACTGTTTAGTTTATGCAGTATCTCTGCATTTGAGGAAGACAAGAAAGGCTTTGTTCCCCAGTGTCCCATGGTAAGGAACACGTATCACATCACAAAGCCTCACTGTGCACAAAACTGCCCCTGAATTGTCATAAATAGCTTCTTAAAAATGCCCACCAGGGGGCTGGGAAGGTGGCTCAGTGGTGGAGTGCTTGCCTTGCATGCATGAGGCCCTGGGTTCAATTCCTCAGCACCACATAAGCAAAAAGAAAAAAAGCCGGAAGTAGCACTGTGGCTCAAGTGGTGGAGTGTTAGCCTTGAGCTGAAAGCTGAGGGACAGTGCCCAGGCCCAGAGTTCAGACCCCACAACCGGACTCCCCTCCCCCGCAAAAAAATGCCCACCAGGAAGTTAACTCTTCTGATACATTCACATTTCATTAGTTAGCCATACCTAACCATAAAAGGACAGGAAAGTCTAAGTTTCACATGTGCACAGAAGAAGAGAACTAGAAACACTGATTAGGACAAAAGCAACTGATATCTCTAGGATCAGAGAATAATCAACTTTAATACTAATAGTAGTTTTCTCCTAGAAGGAACAACAAATGATCTTTTACTTTCTTTGCATTTGTGTATTTCTTCAGATTTTCTACACTGTATATAAACATTATTTCTCTGATACAATTTAAAGCATTAAAAAAGAATACACCAATCATCCATTAGCACATAGTCCACAAACTGCCATTGTAGTAAGAACTGTCTACAAGTTATAATCATTACAAACTCTACGCAAGGTGGAGTTTTGTTTTTTTTTTTCCTATTACACGTCTTGTTTGATGTGACTATTCTGCTATAAATTTCTAGTCTAAATATTAAGAATGATAACACCTCATATTGTAGTATTAATAGTAAGGTACAGATATGCTCTTCAAGTCAGTGGAAGAAAAGGTCATACCCTCTCCACACCTGGCCATTTCTATAAGGAGGGGTTTAAATAAAAATGATGAGCCAGGCGCTGGTGACTCACACCTGTAATCCTAGCTACTCAGGAGGCTGAGATCTGAGGACTACAATTCAAAGCCAGCCTGGGCAGGAAACTCCCATCTCCAACAACCAGAAAACCAGAAGTGGTGCTGTGGCTCAAGTGGTAGAATGGTAGAGTGCTCACCTTGAGCTGAAGAGCTCAGGGACAGCACCCAGGCCCTGATTTCAAGCCCCACACCGACAAAAAAAAAAAGATAATGAACTGAGTGTAGAAGTACTGGCCTGTAATTAATCCCAACACTCAGGAAGTGGAGGTGGGATCATCAAAAGTTCAAGCTTATAATGGGGCACCCTGGGTGACACAGAAAGTTTAAGGCAAGAGTAAGCTTCAGAAAAACACCTTGCCTCAAAGCACCACAGGCCGGGGATCAGGGAAAGAACAGGATCCAAGTGGTAGAGTTCCTATCTAGCAAGCTCCAGACTGAGGTTAAACCTCAGTGAAATGAGAGGAGGAAGAAAGGAGGGTGACAGAACGGGGAATCTGGTAAAATGCTTGCTTGCCCTGCCTAAGGCTTTAGCTTCAAACCCTACACTGAAAATAACAATAACAAGTGTTAAAAATACCCACCACAACACATGTATGCCTTACAGAATAAAAGGTTAAAAGAACTTGGAGATGCAGACATTTCTTCTAGTTCTACCAGTTATATAGCCACGTTACCACTATTTTATACTAGTTGTCTAACAAAGACATATACTACTTATTTACATGAAAGACAACAAAAATCTGAAAACATTTTTTGTGTGTGTGATATTGAGGATTGTACTCAGAACCTCAAGCTTGCTACACGTGTTCCACCACTGAGCCATACATCTAGCATCCAAACCTTACTAAAACTTTCTAGTATAAATGTGTAAGTACTCTTACTGCTTTTTGTAGTTTGCTGTTACTTTAAATGTGTTCTACTTGATATATAATACTAAAATAATAGTCGGGTGCCAGGGGTTTACACCTATAATCCTAGTTACTCAGGAGGCTAAGTTCTGAGGACCATAGCTTGAAGCTAGGCTAGGCAGGAAAGTCTTGTGACTCCATCTCCAATTAACTACCAAAGAAGTGGAACTGGAGCTTTTGGTCAAGGGGGGATAAAATGTTAGACTTAAGCAAAAATGCATAGGGACTTTGCCCAGACCCTGAACCAGTACCTGAACACACATGTGCACACACAAATACGCGTGCGCGCACACACACACACACACACACAAAGTGGAATGTATCTTTTATGTGCAATTAATTTTTTTTCTTTTGTCAAGGTGATGTACAGAGCGGTTTCAGTTCATGTACACTTTTGAAATCCCAAATAGTGTATGCATTGTTATAATACACTCATAAACTAGCATATAAAACAAAGAGAGTACACAGTAATTTCCTGAGTCATTTCTCTTGGGAGAGTGACAAGGAACAAAAACCTACGGAAATGAAAGAGAATTAAATGGGAGCCTCAATTTTTATTTATTTATTTTGGGTCCAGTCCTGGGGTCTGAACTCTGGGCCTGGGCGCTGTCCCTCAGCTCTTCAGCTCAAGGCTAGCGCTCTACCACTTGAGCCACAGCGCCACTTCCGGCTTTTTTCTTTTTGCTTATGTGGTGCTGAGGAATCGAACCCAGGGCCTCAGGCATGCAAGGCAAGCACTCTACCACTGAGCCACCTTCCCAGCCCATCAATTTTTATTTTTATTTTTTATTTTTGTTGGATATGGGGCTTGAACTCAGGGCCTGGGTGCTGTCCCTGTGCACTAGCTTAAGATAAGAGCCTCAAGGGGCCTTTTCTAACAAGTCTGGCTTTAAGATCCTCAGATCTTAACTAGGATTACAGGTATGAGCTATTGGTGCCTGGTGAAGCCTCAGTTTTTTTGTTTTGTTTTTTTTTTGGTCGGGTCAGTGGGGCCTGAACTCTGGGCCTGGGCGCTGTCCCTCAGCTCTTCAGCTCAAGGCTAGCAATCTACCACTTGAGCCACAGCGCCACTTCCGGCTTTTTTCTTTTTGCTTATGTGGTGCTGAGGAATTGAACTCAGAGCCTCATGCATGCAAGGCAAGTACTTTACCACTGAGCCACTTTCCCAGCCTGAAGTCTCAGTTTTATCTGAAATGTTTTCTTCTTAGTAATTAATTTTTTTTAAGTCTGGGTAGTATTTTCTACAAATGTTTTTTTTTTTTCTTTCTTTTTCTAGAAAAGAGCTTGTCAGAGCTTATGTACTATCTCTGCTTTTTTTGCTCAAGGCTAGCACTAGCATTTGAGCCACAGCTCCATGTCTGGCTTTTGTCTAGTTAAATGGAGATAAGAGTATCTTGGACTTTTCTACTTGGGCTGACTTTGGACCTCAATCCTCAGATAGCAGCCTCCTGAGTAGCTAGGCATGATCTACCAGAGCCTGGCATAACTGTTTTCTTGTTTGTTTGTTTTTTTACCACTGAGCCACCTTCCCAGCCCCATAACTGTTATTTTTGTAAGAGTTTTCCTAATGTATGGCAATTCCACATTTCAATGAACCAAACTTCTTATTTTTTTGTACTCAAATCAGAAAAAGAAGAGTTTTTTAATTTTAAAATACATTTAATAAAAATAACATAATTTTACATATTTTACACGTGTAGATTATTTACAAGTTCACTTCTATAGCATTTATTTAATGTTTACTTTTTTCTTATTTTCTTTTCAGACTATTTCCTTCAATAGCAACACTGTCCACGGTCTCTGTTACTAAAAAATCAGCTTCTTAGGCAATCCTCCTACAAGCGAAACGAAACAAAAAACAGCCATTGGCATTTAGTCTCTGCATCCCACCCTGCTCTCCTTTAACAGTCTCTTTTAAACACCAGGGCTATAGTACTTTAGGAATTTTTCTGTGTATGCGTTGGTAGTGAGGTTTCAACTCAGGGCCTGGGTCACTATCCTTTAGTTTTCATGCACGGCTGGTTCTCTACCACTTGAAGCACAGTTCCACTTCGGGCTTTTTTGGTAGTTAACTGGAGATAAAAATCTCATAGACTAGGCTGGGCGCCGGTGGCTTACACCTGTAATCCTAGCTGCTCAGGAGGCTGAGATCTGAGGATCGCGGTTCAAAGCCAGCCTGGGCAGGAAAGTCCGTGAGACTCTTATCTCCAATAAACCACTAGAAAACTGGAAGTGGAGTTGTGGCTCAAGGGGTAGAGTGCTTGGCTTGAGCTGAATTGCTCAGGGACAGCGCCCAGGCCCAGAGTTCAATAGACTTTCTTGTCCTAGGCTGTCCTAAAATCATGATCCTCAGATCTAGGCCTTCTAGAAGAGCATCTAGGATTATAGTTGTGAGCCAGTAGCACCTGGCCAAGGAACTGCAGGTGTTCTACTACTTGAGCCACCTCTCCAGGCCGTTTACATTGGTTATTTTCGAGGTAAGGTCTTGGAATTATACCTTGACCAGCCTGAGTTGCTACACTCCTATTTCTCCGTGTCAGTCAAGGGGAACACAGGAACATGCCACCACACCCAGCCATTCACCGGGGGAGTCTCCTAAACTTTTTGCCATTAACTGACCTCGAACCAAAAACCCCTGATCTCCATTGCCCCAGTAGTTAGGATTACAGGCTTATTTCTTATAGCAATAGGAATGGTTACCTTGCTCTAAGCCCTCTGTTCGTTTCCGTTTTGTTGCCATGGCTGGATTGGACTGCTCCTTTAATGTCTCCACTGGACAGTTTGGTCTTGGCAGCTGACAACCAGGGGTTGGACCTGGCCGGTTACTGAAGTACTTCGTCTTCAATGCCTTGTCACAGAAAAGGAACCAAGGTAAGGTTTTAAGTGAGTATATTGCCTGTACTTAGGAAAACCACCTCTGAAGTTGTTGAGAACATAAAAAATACTATGAGAAGACTTGCATACCCAAAGCAAAGAAACATTAATGTTAAATATCTGGACATGGAAATTACTAAGAATTATCTTGAATTTTAAGACGGCTGATAATTCTATTATTCTAAGAAAATGAAACTCCTTCAAATCTTTTTACAGGTGGATAGCCTAGATTAATTATAAACTATTCTTAAAAAGATAGAGGGGCTGGGAAGGTGGCTCAGTGGTAGAGCGCTTGTCTTGCATGCCTGAGGCGCTGGGTTCGATTCCTCAGCACCACATAAGCAAAAAGAAAAAAGCCGGAAGTGGTGCTGTGGCTCAAGTGGTAGAGCGTTAGCATTGAGCTGAAGAGCTGAGGGACAGCACCCAGGCCCAGAGTTCAGGCCCTATGACCGGACCCAAAAAAAAGATAGAGTATATTTTGATTTTCTAAAAATGAGCTCTATGTATAAATCAAGAGAAAATTTTCTTATGAAGAACTACAAGTCTACTCATTACTTGACTTACATAATTCTAACTCCTCTATATATCACCTTTACAATTACAAAAAAGAACTACATGTATGTCAAAACATCCACATATGGACTGGAAATGTGACTCAGTGGTAGAGTGCTTGCTTTTATTAATGCTACTGATGATTTCTTTTATATTTCCTAATATAAATGAGATGTTAAAATACCTGTGAGGCTGTAATTCGAGTGCAAGGATTGAATAAGAATAAGCCTTGTATTAGTTCAAGCAAGTCATCTCCTGCAGCAATGAAGATGTGTTGTAATGGGATCCCAGGGAAACTCTTAAATGTCACGTAATCAGGAAGACTGCACATGTCCTGGAGAAATATTTTGATATTTCAAATTTAAGCAAAGGACCAAAGGCATTTAGATGGAATAAAAAACATTATTTACAGATAGTATACTGATCAGTATATACAGTACAATGATGTATAATGACTAACATACTTTAAAAATGTATATGCAGGGCTGGGAAGGTGGCTCAGTGGTAGAGCGCTTGCCTTGCATGCTCGAGGCCCTGGGTTTGATTCCTCAGCACCACATAAGCAAAAAGAAAAAAGCCGGAAGTGGCGCCGTGGCTCAAGTGGTAGAGCGCTAGCCTTGAGCTGAAGAGCTGAGGGACAGCGCCCAGGCCCAGAGTTCAGGCCCCAGGACCAGACCCCCCAAAAAAGTATATGCAAATAGAGGGAAGATGGATGAGCAAATACAGCCATTATATTCAATATGCACTATGTAAAAACTGAACTATGAAGTCAGTTGTTGGTGGCTTACACCTGCAATCTAGCTTCTGGGGAGACTGAGAAAGCACATGACAATGAAGTAACTTTACAGAACGTTAACTACATGTCAAAGAAGTGAATGAAGGCTTACAGGCCACTGCTCCTCAGTAGGTGTGCCCAAAGTTTCAAATATTCTTGTTAGCTGATCAAGATCTGAGTCTCCTGGCAGAAAAGGTACCTGAAAGAAAGCAACAGGCAGATATGGCAAGGTTCTCTGTGATAGTTGTTATACAAATACTGTAAATTTAGTAAGAAAAACTAAAAGTACATAACAAATGCTAAAAATTTAGTTGGATATATGTGTGTGCAGTTAGATTTTATCATAGCTATCAAGTGAACAATATGGTAAAAACCTACTTTACTCATTCCATGATGTGTGTGTGTGTGTGTTAAGAAAGTATATTTATGTGGTAGTGGAAAAATAGAGGCGGACGTAACAATGCTTGATAGGAAATGTACTCATTACCTTGCTCATGTAACTGTAACGCCTCTATATAGTATTTTTACAATAAAAAACATATAAAATAAAAAAAGAAAGTACACATATGGGCTTAGAGGCATGGCTCAGTTGGTAGAGCACTAGCCAATGAGTAAAAGTGTCAGGTATGAAGCTTGAATCCCAGTCTTGGACCAAAAAAAAGAACAAAAATATACTTATGGCTGGGTGTTAGTGACTCATGCCAATAATCCTAGCTACTCAGTAGGCTAAAAAATCTTAGGAGTGTGGTTCAAAGCCAGCCTGGGCAGGAAAGCCCCTGAAACTCTTACTGCCAATTAACTACCAAAATAAAAGCTGGGAATGGAATTGTGGCTCAAGTGGTAGAGTGCTAGCCTTGAGCAAAAGAAGCTCAGGGACAGTGGCCAGGCCCTGAGTTCAAGCCTCAGGACCAGCAACACATACAAAAAAGTATACTTATAATTATAAAATTGGGTCTTTGACAAAAAAATGACTGTCTCAAGTCAGAAGAACATTTTCCACTTATAAGTATAAATTTACAATAGTAAAATTGGCCCTTCGACAAAAATTAAGTTGTACATTTTTGTACAGTGATTATAGGCATGACCAGTGCTTTTGGATGAAGCTTTTCTTACAAACTGCTCTGTTTGAAGGTTTTGTTACAAGAGTTATGATGAGAGATAATTTCTACATGATTTATGAGACCAAATAACTACAACAGCATTTAAGTGTGTACATTGAGATTTAGTTTGATCCATCTCCCTTCCTCCCTCTCTATCCCCCTCTCTTTCTTTTTTAATAGTACTATAATCTAAACCCAGGGCCTGCAGGGTGCTGGTGGTTCCTGCCTGTAATCCTAAATATTCAGGAGGTTGAAAACTAAGGATCTCAGAACTAAAAGGCAACTTGGGCAGGGAAGCCTTGAGACTCTTTATCTCAATAAACTACCAAAAAAACCAAAACCAGAAACAGAGCTATGGCTCAAGTGATAGAGCAGTAGCCTTGAGCAAAAAAGCTCAGGGATAGTACCCTGGCCCTGAGGTCAAGCCCCAGGAGCAGCACAAACAACAACAACAACAACAACAACAAAAAACAACTCAGGGCCTTCATTAAGTGTTCTACTTTTGTTTGTTTGTTTGTTTGTTTTAATGCTGGGGCTTGAAATCAGGGGCCTAAGCACTGTCTCTGAGTTCTTTTGCTCACATCTTATGCTCTAAGGCTTGAGCCACAGCTCCACTCCTGGCTTTTTGGTAGTTACATGGAGGTAAGAGTCTTATGGACTTACCTGCCTGAGCTGGTTTCAAATCTCGATTCTCAGATCTCAGCTACTTGAGTAGCCAGAATTATAGGTGGGACCACAGATGCCCCACTGAAGTACTCTACCTGTTAAGTCACAACCCTAGTTTAAATGCATTTTTAGGACTTACCCTTAGAAGCAATTCTGCTAATATGCAGCCAACAGCCCACATATCCACACCCACACCATACATCCTAGCTCCAAATAGCAACTCAGGGGCCCGATACCATCTGAAGAAGAAAAAGAAATCATGTCATTTGAGAATGGAATCACTAAAGCATTTCTTCATCTTCTCTTAAAAACTTTTCATTTTATTGTTTTTCTTTTAGGTACAGGGTTGAAATTCAGGGCCTTACAATCAGTACACAACATTCTATCACATAAGCCTTACCTCCAGCCCTTCAATGCTTTCCCTTTTTCTTTTTATGTGCTGGTAAGGGGATTTATTTTTTAAATTTAATTTAATTTTATTTGTGAACATACTGTACAGAGGGGTTACAATTACATGGGCAGGATAATGCGTACATTTGGTAAGGGGGATTTAAACTACTCTCTCTTGGGACTGGGAAGGTGGCTCAGTGGTAGAGTGCTTGCTTTGCATGCATGAGGCCCTGGGGTTGATTCCTCAGCACTACATAAAGCAGAAAAAGCTGGAAGTGGTGCTATAGCTCAAGTGATAGAGCACTAGCTTTGAGCTGAAGAGCTGAGGGACAGTGCCCAGGCCCAGAGTTCAGGCCCACGAAAGAAAAAAACAAACAAACAAACAACAAAAAAAAACCCTATTCTCTCTTGGCTTCTTTAGCTTTTTCACTCACAGCTGGTGCTTTACCACTTAAGCCACATCTCTAGTCCAGGAGATAAGGGTGTCATAGCCAGATGCTGGTGGCTCATGCCTGTAATCCTAGCTACTCAGGAGGCTGAAATCTTAGGCTTGCGGTTCAAAGTCAACCTAGGCAGGAAAGTCAGTGAGACTCATATCTCCAAGTAACCACCAGAAAACAGGAAGTGGCGCTGTGGCTCAAGTGTAGAGTGCTCGTCTTGAGCTGAAGAGCTCAGGGACACTGCCCAGGCCCAGAGTTTAAGCCTCAGGACCAACATTCCCAACCCCCTACACCCCACACCCCAAAAAAAGTGTCATAGACTTTCCTGCCAGGCTAGCTCCAATTGTGATCCTCAGATACCAGTCTCTTGAGTCACTAGGATTACAGGGCCATAAGACCTGGCTTGTATACACACTTCAACCAGATGTCAACCTTACTATTCCAGTAGAACTGCCTTTGTCAAAGTCAATGATTCCATGCTGCTAAATCAATTTGTCTTCATTACAACTTGATACTAGTGGCATTTGATATTTAGGAGGAAAAAATACAAGAAACTGATAAATAAGAGTGTGCCAGAGGGCTGGAGAGATGGCTCAGTGGTAGAGCGCTTGCCTTGCATGCATGAGGCCCTGGGTTCGATTCCTCAGCACCACATAAGCAAAAAGAAAAAAGCCGGAAGTGGCGCTGTGGCTCAAGTGGTAGAGCGCTAGCCTTGAGCTAAAGAGCTGAGGGACAGTGCCCAGGCCCAGAGTTCAGGCCCTGTGACTGACCAAAAAAAAAAGTGTGTGCCACATATACTGTACATATATACTGAGCACCTAAGTCATGGACTTAATCATCCCAGAGTCCACCTCAACTCCTCACACCTCTTACTCGGGGCTCAGGTGACTGACAGCAAGTGCTATTTAGGAGACAAAATAATTTTAAAAAATAGGTAAATTAGAAATAAATGAGAAATTAACAAATGCCATCCTAACAAGAGTGATAAACTCTGTTGATAAGTATTCTTATGTGTTTAATATGATTTTCTGTTTCTTACATATCAAAAATAGAAAGAAATCATAATTACTTCCAACATAACAATTCAGGTATAAATGTCTTAGATAGAAAATTTTAATTTACATAGATGGTTACAGAATCAGGACTAACCAATATAATAAACATAAGGCCAATAAATCAGGCGATTAGGAAAAGAAGTTTTAGATTATCCAACTGAAGTGTAAAAGTGTTCTGAAAATCTATCAGAGAGGCTGGGAACCAGCTCAACTCAAGCTACAGTAATGAAAAAAGAAAAAAAAAAGTCACTAGGCAAGAAATGTCTGAGGTTAGTTAATTCTCTAGATATAGCTATACATAATAAAATATGCATAATATAAGAAAGGCTAACACTGGGCGCTGGTGGCTCACGCCTGTAATCCTAGCTACTCAGGAGGCTGAGATCTGAGGATCGCGGTTCAAAGCCAGCCCGGGCAGGAGAGACTGTGAGACTCCTATCTCCAATAAACCACCAGAAAACCGGAAGTGGCGCTGTAGCTCCAGTGGTAGAGCACTTGCCTTGAGCTGAAGAGCTGAGGGACAGCGCCCAGGCCCAGAGTTCAAGCCCCACGACCAACCAAAAAAAAAAAAAAAGAAAGGCTATTGGCTGGACACCTGAAACTCACACTTGTAATCCTAGCCAGTTAGGTGGCCGAGATTTAAGGAACTCAGTTTGAAGCCAGCCTGGGCAGGAAAGTCTATGACACTTTTATAGCCAATTAACCTCCAAAAAGCTGGAAGAGGAGCTGTGGTTCAAGTGATAGAGCACCAGCCTTGAGTGAAAAAACTCAGGGACAGTGCCCAGTCCCTGAGTTCAAGCTCTAGTTCAAGCCGGCACAAAAAACAAAATTCAAAAAGAGAAGGGCCATAATTTACTCCCCCCCCTCCAGTCCTGGGCTTGAGCTCAAGGCCTGGACACTGTCCCTGAGCTTCTTTTGCTCAAGTCTAACATTCTACCACTTGAGCTACAGCACCATTTCTGGCTTTTTCTGTTTATGTGTACCAAGGAATCGAACCCATGCATGCTAGGCAAGCACTCTACCACTGAACCACATTCCCAGCCCATGGGCCATAATTTTTAATAATACAACAAAGTTCTGAATTGTATCTATACTAATGTACATCGTAGTTGATGCTTATTAGGACCAAAATGTGCAAAAAATAAGTTTCCAGTTAAAGGATTCATACCTGGTTACAACCTGATGTGTATATGCTCTATTAGGGCTCCCAAATGATTTGGCCAGGCCAAAATCTGCCAGTTTTAGCACTCCGTTTTCATCTAGCAACAAATTGTTTGGTTTTAGATCCTGTATTATGAAGATAGTAAAGAAAATAAACAGCGTTAGGGAAAATGCAATTGTAACTTATTTAGTTGGTGTAAGTTTAAACTTAGTAAACAGCCTCAACAAGCTGGGCATGGAAACATATAACCCTACCACTTTGGATGCTGAGGCAGGAGAATCCTAAGTTCAAGGTCAGCCTGGGCTACAAGAGATCCTGTTCCAAGCTCCACTACTCCCCACTCCACGCCCAATACCAAAACAAAAAATCCAAAACTAAGGGAAACGAAACAGGATATAATTTAAATAGTCAATATTTTTTCCAGATATAAAATCTTAGAGCAAAATAAAATTGCTTATACTGTAGTGAGCCCCAATTTACCTTCTGTAGAATCAAATTTAATAATGGCTACCTCAGAGTAAGTGCTCAATAAATAAAAAGTACACACTTAGAAAGGATAAAGAACATTCCTCAAAATCTACTTTAAAGAGCTATCAGCAGTTAAGTTAAAAGGGTTGCCAAATTTAACATGAGAATTACTAGCTAAGATTCTTGAGGTATGATGACACTTGTAGCCCCAGCACTTGGTGGCCTACAAATGGTAACTGCAAGAGTAGTGCCAGCATGGGTTACACAGTTAGACTCTGACTCAATAAATATGTATCTACCTATACATGTATATGTGCACATACTCACTTGTCCGTGGCTATTTATCTGAACAGAATACCTGAGCTGGGTGGTGCCAGTGGCTCACGCCTGTAATCCTAGCTACTCAGAAGGCTGAGATATGAGGATCGAGGTTCAAAGCCAGCCCAGACAGGAAAGTCCATGAGACTCTTACTCCAATTAACCACAAGAAAACTGGAAGTGGCACTGTGGCTCAAGTGGTAGAGCACTATCCTTGAGGTGAAAAGCTCAGGGATAGTGACCAGGCCCAGATTTCAAGCCCCACGACCAACCAAAAAAAAAAAAAAAAACCAAGCACATCTACCTTAGCTTTGCTCCAGTAGATAAATTTTCCAGAAAATGACCCATTTATTTTATAAATTTCATTTTGTGAAATTTTAGAGCTGATAAAAATATTGTTGTTTTTTTTAGGCTGGGAAGGTAGCTCAGTGGTAGAGCGCTTGCCTTGCATGCCTGAGGCCCTGGGTTCGATTCCCCAGCACCACATAAGCAAAAAGAAAAAAGCCAGAAGTGGCGCTGTGGCTCAAGTGATAGAGCGCTAGCCTTGAGCTGAAGAGCTGAGGGACAGCGCCCAGGTCCAGAGTTCAGGCCCCACGATCAGACCCCCCAAAAAAAGAAAAAAAAATTGTTTTTAAAGGTATTTTAGGACTGTTTAAATTAATCCAGATCCTTCCTGTTTCTTTCCTGTAACAATAGTGTAAGACAAAGAACACTGCACTTAAAAGCCAAAAACCTAGGTTCAAACATCTTGTCAGTTCTATCAGCTGCAGACCATGAAAAAAACCACAAAAATTATTCAGATCATGTAGCAACTTAGCTCTTCCTATATGAAAAAAAAAATACAGGAAGAAAGAAATGAAAAATTGGATCTCTTCTGATTCTAAGTTTCACAAAGTACTTTGAGGTTCTTACAGCACCATCTGCTGGTTCAGGAAACCAAGTATATGTGTATTTTATATACACACACACACCTTTTTTTTTGTGGTCATCAGTTTTGAAATCAGGGCTTTACATTTCCTAGGCAGCTCTAACACTTGAGCAATGCCTCCAGTCCTATTTTGCTTTTAGTTATTTTTCAAATAGTACTCCAAAGAAACTCTCCAATATAAAAAAAAGATTTAAAAAAGATTTATTTATGACCAGGTCAGCTTGGATGGGTTGTGCTAAACTTTTTGCCTGTACTGGCCTATATTTCTCCTAATACCTGCTTTATGAGTAACTGGGATTACAGACACAAGTCTAGCAGATATATCTTTCTTTTCTTTTGTTCAGACTATTATGTACTAAATTGGATATATAAAGCTTAGAACAAGTTTTAGAATAACATAATCAAGCATGGCTGGGTGCTAGTGGCCCATGCCTGTAATCCTAGCTATTCAGGAGGCTGAGAGCTGAGGATTACAGTTTGAAGCCAACCCTATTCAGAGAAGGCTGTGAGACTCTTATCTCCAATTAACCACCTAAACGCTGGAAGTAGAGCTATGACTTAAAATGGTAGAGTGCTAGCCTTAAGCAAAAAACCTCTCAGGACCAGCACCCAGACTCTGAGTTCAAGCCAATGATCGACCCCTACCACCACCACCACCACAACCACCACCAAAGACACCTATTAAAAATCATTTTAAAAAGGAAGCAATAAGGGGCTGGGAAGGTGGCTCAGTGGTAGAGCGCTTGCCTTGCATGCATGAGGCCCTGGGTTCGATTCCTCAGCACCACATAAGCAAAAAGAAAAAAAGCTGGAAGTGACGCTGTGGCTCAAGAGGTATAGCGCTGGCCTTGAGCTGAAGAGCTGAGGGACAGCACCCAGGCCCAGAGTTCAGGCTCCAAAACCGGAACCCCCCCACCCCCCCAAAAAAAGGAAGCAATAAGGAAAAGTAACAGAAAAAGCAAATCTGATCAAAGGACATCATATGCATAGCATATCATAGTAAATCATCTTTGTACAATTAATTTATCTTGTAGGAAAAAAAGAAATCCGTGCCAGTTGTAGTGACGTTAGGCTTGTAATTCTAGTACTTGGGAGGTAGAGGCCAGCCTGGGCACATAGCAAGCACCAGGCTACCCTGTGGTACACAGTAAGATATGTCTCAAACTATATCAGTGAAGCAAAATAAAACAAGAATCCCTTACCCTATGTAGAATCCAATGCTGATGTAAATATTCTAACCCTTGAAGAGTCATCAACACATATGCTTTAATGTGAGAAGGTGTCAGCACAAGACTATTATCCTTTATTATAACCTGTCAATAGGCAGAAAATATATAGGCATGGTTGGTTATTCAAATGGACTCTATAGTACCAAAAAAGACAGATTTAAAATGAGTGTATTGGGGCTGGGAAGGTGGCTCAGTGGTACAGCGCTTGCCTTGCATGCCTGAGGCCCTGGGTTCGATTCCTCAGCACCACATAAAGAAAAAAGCTGGAAGTGGCACTGTGGCTCAAGTGGTAAAGCGCTAGCCTTGAGCTGAAGAGTTAAGGGACAGCACCCAGGCCCAGAGTTCAGGCCCCACGACCGGACCCAAAAAAAAAAAAAGTAAAATGAGTGTATTCATGTAGAGAGAGAATACCCAATTCTCCTTAGGATGCACTATTAGAACTTTCAGAGTTAACTGATTAAAAAGTATCTCTGGCTGAGGAAACAATGCTTTGGGATTGGGAGTGTGGCTCAAGTACTAGAGGACCTGTCTAGTATTTGTGAGCCCCTTAATTCAAATCCTAATAGAGAAAGAATTAACAAACAAATAAGAAAAAAAGTAATACTTTGTCTCTTTCAATTTTGGCATAAAAGAAGCAGACATTGGTCAGTTTTGCTTGCCTTTTCAAACTTACACATTCAGTATTTCTTTGTCAAACTACCATAGTCCAGGCTCACATCTGTACTCCTAGCTACTCATGAGGCTGAGATCTGAGGATCGTGGTTCGACAACAACCCGGGCAGAAAAGTCCCCATGAGATTCTTGTCTCCAAATAACTACTTGAAAACTGGAAGTGGTACTATGGCTCAAATGGTAGAGCACTAGCCTTGAATACAAAGAAGCTCAGGGACAGTGCCCAGACCCCAAGTTCAAGCCCCACATTGGACAAAAACAAAAACTACCATATTCTAGCTTAGTCCACGGTAGAAACTAACCCTCACCTGAGGCCTCCAGAGGTGGACATATGACCCAGGCATGGCCTTCCCCCCTCTCACCTCCTCCCCCCCACAGCTTCCTGGCTAGAAGACTGATTATCTCAGCAAGGGACACATCACCTAAGACTAATCAAGTGGTCAAGCCAAGTACTTGTGAATCAAAGGGAACAAAACATTTTCTTACTTCAGGGATTAGTAGACTCGAAGGACAGCTAAAATAACTGTATCTAATATTACAATTCCATATATCTATATACACCTCATACAAACCTGTAAAGGCCATCATATTGAAAAAGTGTAGTCACAAATGAAATAGGAAAGAATACAGGCTGAAAATGTAATAGTAAGTTCTGATGGAACCATGAGCTATATGACCTAAGCCAGCTCATACTTAGAATTATCAATTCCTTTTTTTTTTTGGGGGGGGGGGGGCGGGGGGTCGGTTGTAGGGCTTGAACTCTGGGCCTGGGCGCTTCAGCTCTTCAGTTCAAGGCAAGTGCTCTACCACTTGAGCCACAGCACCACTTCCATTTTTCTAGTAAATAAGAAAGTCTCAAGGACTTTCCTGCCTAGGCTGGCTTCAAACTGTGATCCTTGGATCTCTGCCTCCAGAGTAGCTAGGATTATGGACAAGAACCACCGGCGTCTGGCAACTTTTTTGTTTTATTTTTTACTCAAGTAATAGTCCGTCAATATGAGCTATCACTGTTTGGTGACAATACTGGGAATGAATAAGGAAGAATCTGGTCAAAGTAGTTTGCATGAAAATAGACCAGTGAATTCAGTTTAAATTGCATTATGGGGAAAGAGGTAAGAGCTGCACATAGGGCTCACGTCTGTAATTCTAGCTACTTAGGAGGCTGAGATCTGAGAATTGCGTTTCAAAGCCAGCTCTGGTAGGAAAGTCCATGAGACTCTTATCTCCAATACTCAGAAAAAGCTGGTGTAAGTACTGTGGCTCAAGTGATAGAACGCTAGATTTGAGCAAAAGCTCAGAGACAGCCAACACCCAGTCCCTGAGATCAAACCCGAGGACCAGAAACAACAACAACAACAACAACAACAACAACAACAACACCCTTTGGTTAAGCCGGGCACTGGTGGCTCAAACCAGTAATCCTAGCTGGTAAGGAGGCTGAGATCTGAGGACCACAGTTCAAAGCCAACCCGGGCAGGAAAGTCCGAGACTCTTATCTCCAATAAGCCACCAGAAAACCAGCAGTGGTACTGTGGCACAAGTGGTAGAATGCTAGCCTTGAGCTGAAGAGCTGAGGGACAGTGCCCAGGCCCAGAGTTCAAGCCCCCATAACCAACAAAATAAAAAACCCAAACCTTTGGTTTTAAAAGAATGGCTTAAGGGGCTGGGAAGGTGGCTCAGTGGTAGAGTCCTTGCCTCACATGCATGAAGCCCTGGGTTCCATTCCTTAGCACTACATCCTAAGGAGAAAATATTGGAAGTGGCCCTGTGGCTCAAGTAGTAGAATGCTCACCTTGAGCTGAAGAGCTGGGGGACAGTGCCCAGGCCCAGAGTTCAGGCCCCATGACCAACCAACCAAAAAAAAGGTTTATTTAATAGCTCTAATGCTCATTTCTCAAAAAAAAAAAGTCAATAAGCTACAGAGAATTTGATAGAAATGCTAATGAAATCCCAATCTCTTTACTTAACACTAGGAATATAGCTAAATATCTACAAGAAATCAGAGATAGAAATGGGTTTAGTATCCATCCAGACTTCAACAGTATTAAGTAGTTTTCGAATACCTATACTTAGATAAAAAACAAACATTTAGGCTCTCCTTTGATGAAGTAGAGGGGAAAATAAGGTTCTAAGAATCATAATCTTACCTCTAAATCAGTTTCCATAAAGTCAAAGACAAGGCTAATATTAGATTTATGTCCAAAAGCATCAAGCAGCTGCAAAACAAATTATTTTTTAAAGTTAATATTGTTGACACGATGTTCTCAAGCCAATTGAAGTAACTTTTGTTTCGTTTATTTGCCAGTCCTGGGACCTGAACTCAGGGCCTGGACACTGTCCCTGAACCTACCACTTGAACCACAGTTGCACTTGCTGCTCTTTCTGTTTATGTGGTACTAAGGAATCGAACCCAGGGTTGCATGCTAGGCAAGCACTTTACCACTAAGCCACATTCCCAGCCCTGAAGTAACTGTTTATAACTTAAGCATTTATTTATGCTGCTAATTTCCTATAAGCCTGAAAGAATTTTATCTAATTGGACACTTGGAAATTAGCACACTGGAGCACACGTCTAATGTCTTAGGAATCCTGTTGCGTTCTGTTCTATCACATGTGCACTTGCCATGCTAAACTGCAATTGCCTCATCTCTTTCCCTAGCCTTCTAAATTAATGTTCCAAAGCTTGGATATAGTCTTTTCCTCTTAGGCTCTGTGTTTTCTTCATGACTTTGTAATGTCTCATGTACAGGGACTGGGAAGGTGGCTCAGTGGTAGAGCGCTTGCCTTGCATGCATGAGGCCCTGGGTTCGATTCCTCAGCACGACATAAGTAAAAAGAAAAAATCTGGAAGTGGTGCTGTGGCTCAAGTGGTACAGCGCTAGCCTTGAGCTGAAGAGCTGAGGGACAGAGCCCAGGCCCAGAGTTCAGGCCCCACGACTGGACCCAAAAAATAAAAAATAAATAAGTAATGTCTCATGTACAATATTTCTACTTTCTACAACCTGGCTTCCTCCTACCACTTGAAAAATAAAGATGGTCAGTTAATGGGTAAAGTGTAAAGGTGTCCCTTTGGGAAGAGTTTGACACTGCCAAGCACAGATTTAGTCTTGTCATTTTGTTTACTCATTGGCAGAGGTGATTCAGTTTACAAGACTTTTTTTTTTTAACTGGTCCTGGGCCCTTGGGCATTGTCCTTGAGCTTCAAGGCTGGTACTCTACCACTTGAGCAACAGCACCACTTCTGGCTTTTTCTGAGTAGTTTATTGGAGATAAGAACCTCTTGGACTTTCCTGCCTGGGCTAGCTTTGAACTTGGATCCTCAGATTGACTCAGCATCCTGAACAGCTAGGATTACATGCATGAGCCACTGGTGCCCGACTTACAAAAATTTTATGTAACTACATCTAAGTTTTGCCAGGCTAGAAACCTAGACCTTTCCTGTGTTGTAACTTTTTTTTTTTTGGCCAGTCCTGGGCTTGAACTCAGGGCCAGGACACTGTACCTGAGCTTATTTTGCTCGAGATATAGCACTTTACCACTTAAGCCACAGCGCCACTTCCAGCTTTATCTGTAATTGTGGTACGGAGGAACTGAACCTAGGACTTCATGCATGCTAGGCAAGCACTCTACCATTAAGCCACATTCCCAGCCTATTGTAATTTTTTAATTCTATTTTTCATAACTTAAGACTATTGCTATCATAGTATGTAAGTAATGTCTCATGACTAAAGTTTGCTCAGTTTTATTGTTTTTGTATTCTGTATTTTTCTTTTTTGGCGGTTGGAGGGCCTGAGCACTGTCCCTCAGTTCTTCAGCTCAAGGCTAGTGCTCTACCATTTGAGCCATAGCACCACTTCTGGCTTTTTCTGCTTATGTGGTGCTGAGGAATCGAACCCAGGGCCTCATGCATGCGAGGCAAGCACTCTACCACTGAGCAACCTTCCTAGGCCATGTATTCTGTATTTTTCAAGAGCTATTTTGTAAACATGATGAAAACATAACAAAAAAGCCTCTCCCAAAAGTTTATTTTTTCAAAGTCAAATATTTAAGCTCTCCCAATAAATTCTTCCACGTTATAATTAAAAAATAAGTCATGTTTCCAATTCAACAATAATTCCTGGCCCAACACCAGTGACACATGCTTGTAATCTATAGCTACCTAGGAAGCTGAGATCTGAGAATCACAGTTTGAAGCCAGCCTGGGCAGGAAAGTCATTGAGACTCTTATCTTGAAAAAACTACAAAAAGACAAGAAAAGAAACAAAAGAAAAGCCAGAAGTGGCACTGTGGCTCAACTGATAGAGCATTAGCCGTTAAACAAAAAAAAGGGGGCTGGGAAGGTGGCTCAGTGGTAGAACGCTTGCCTTGCATGCATGAGGCCCTGGGTTCGATTCCTCAGCACCACATAAAAAGAAAAAAGCTGGAAGTGGCACTGTGGCTCAAGTGGTAGAGAGCTAGCCTTGAGCTGAATAGCTGAGGGACAGTGCCCAGGCCCAGAGTTCAGGCCCCACAACCGGGCCCCCCTCCCCCCAAAAAAAGCTCAGGGACAGTGCCCACGACCTTGAGTTCAAGTCCCAGGACTAGCAAATACACATAAAAATCTTAGGCTGCCGGGTGCCAATGATTCGTGCCTGTAATCCTAGCTACTCAGGAGGCTGAGTCAGTGAGACTCATATCTCCAGTTACCCACTAGAAAACCAGAAGTGGTGCTGTGTCTCAAGTGGCAGAGCACTACACTTGAGCTGAAGAGCTGAGGGAAAGCGCTCAGGCCCAGAGATCAAGCCCTATGATGGACCAAAATAAATAAATAAATAAATAGATCTTAGGCTAAGAAAATGAGGGAGGAGCTAGCAATGCTTGACAAGAAATGCTTATTACTTATGTAACTATAACCCTCTATCACCCTTACAATAAAATTAAATTAAAAAAATTCTTAGGCTAGCGATGTGGCTTAAGTGTTAGAGCATCTGCCTCCTTGGCATGCACAAGTTCCTGAGTTCAAATCCCAGTATTGCCAAAACAAAACAAAAACCAAAACCAAATTCCTAAATAAAATGCTTAAGAAAAATCTTTGCCAGGGGGCTGGGAAGGTAGTTCGATGGCAGAGTGCTTGCCTTGCATACATGAGGCCCTGGGTTCGGATTCCTCAGCACAACATAAGCAGAAAAAGCTGGAAGTGGTGTTGTGGCTCAAGTGGTAGGGTGCTAGCCTTGAGCTGAAGAGCTGAGAAACAGAGCCCAGGCCCAAAGTTCAGGCCCCACTATGTACAAAAGAAAGAAAGAAAGAAAATCTTTGCCAGGTATAGTAGTACACTCCTATAGTCCCAATTACTTGGAAGACCAAGGCAGAGGGGAATCACTCGAACTTACAAGTTCAAGGACACCTTGGTCAATCAATAAAAATGCTTATTCTCCATGTTAGACTCTATTCCAGATAGTTTACATGTATTGTCAGTTTGTCTCAGGGCAACCTTTTGAGGTAAGAACTATAGACAGTTGAGAGAAAACTTGATTATCTCCTGCAGGCAAAAAGGAGGGTTTGGAATGTAGGCTGACACTTTTAACTATGTACTAGAGGGCTCCAGGATGGAAGGCATGCTGACATTTGATTAATCCAATATATGTGTATAGTTTTAAGGATTGCCTACAGAAACAATTAGAATAAAAAAAATACATTTCAGGCTGATAAACTTTCAGATCATAACCTTCACATTTAGAAAAGACACAGTCCCAAACATTAGCAACTTAGATCATACTCACACCAATTATATTTGGATGACTTAGCTCCTGTAATAATTTTATCTCTCTTAAAGCTGTTCTGTTTATACCTAGGTAAAAAGGCAAATCGAGAGTTAAATCTCAAACTTTCTTCCAGCGTATTATTTTAGAAAAGATTTATAATCTCAGAAAATAAGAAAATTCCACAAAAAAAATAAGATGGTTTTGACTATAACAATTTTTTTTTGTTGGTTGTGGGGCTTGAACTCTGGGCTCAGATGCTGTCCCTGAACTCTTCAGCTCAAGGCAAGTGCTCTACCATTTGAGCCACAGTGCCACTTCCGGTTTTCTAGTGATTTATTGGAGGTAAGAGTCTCAGGGACTCTCCTGCTTGGGCTGGCTTTGATCCCCAATCCTCAGATCTCAGCCTCTTGAGTAGCTAGGATTACAGGCATGAACCACTGGTGCCGGGCTACAATTTTAATTTTTTTTACATTGTTTTCTTCTTACTATTTTTACTTTTTTTTTTGCCAGTTTGGGACTTGAACTCTAGGCCTGGGCACTGTCCCCAAGCTTCTTTTGCTCAAGGCCAGTACTCTACCACCTAAGTCATAGCACCATTTCTGGCATTTTCTGAGCAGCTGATTGGAGATTAGAGTCTGATGGACTTTCCTGTCCTGGCTTTGAACCACGATTCTCACACCTCAGCCTCCTGAGCAGCTAGGATTATAGACAGAAGCCACCAGTGCCAGGCCATTACTTTATTTTAAAAAGTAACCTCAACCAGATTATGGTAGGTGATGAAAAATTATTTACATTATCTATTGCTCATCTGACCTGAAGACCGTTACACTAAGAGTACACACACACAAACACCAGACAAGGAGTTAGCAAACAGGCTTTACTTTCTTCTCTTGTCCTACACATGTCAGAATTGATTATTTATGCTAAATGTCAATTTGTGGTAAGAAGAAATACAAAGGATAGAACTACGATATCTGGGTTTGGCACTTACATAGGTGACATATCTTTTTCATAAGAACTATTTTTTAATGAGTAAACAGTACCTGACATTAATAAGGCTTTGAAGTCAGAAATGAATCTTTTCCATTTTGAACTTTGGGCACTTTCCATGAAGCTGCATCCTTAAGTTTTAATGTAATTAGAAGCTCAGAAATAAAAGGATGGCTTATAACACTTACAATAGTAGTAAAGACAGCAAGAGAAGTGATGAAAACCTTAATGCTTTCCACATACTTAGGTAGGAAGTTCCTCTGAATCTTCAAATAGGTGAAAATCATCAAGTGTCCTCTTATTCTTCTAGGACACTATCAGAATCATTGCTCTCATGAGAACTTTACTTATTTCCTCAGTCAGAATAAAAACATTTCCTATGCTGTAAAATTATATGACACTTACCATCTTTAGCTTCTGATCTATGTCCAAGTTTGATCTAGTAGAAAAGGAAAAACAGAACCCCACACATTAAAATGTGTTCAATCATTTAAGACAGAGACAATTTACAAACATCTCAAAAACAGTGACAAGCCAGGCACCAGTAGCCTTCTGGCTACTTAGGAGGCTGAGATCAGAAGATTGCTGCCCAGGTAGAAAAGTTCTAGAGACTCTACAGCCAATTAACTGCCAAAAAGCTGGACTTGAGCTGTGAGCAGAAAAACTAAGGAACAATGCATAGACCCTGAGTCCAAGGTCCAGGACAGGCAAAAAAAAAAAAAGATCAAAACAAGTGTCACTGTGTTGCCCAGATTAGCCTGAATTCTTGGACTTAGGTGATATTCCTATCTCTAGCCTCCCTGGTGCACACGCACATATACTAAGACAGTGCATTTTAAGAGAGCATGTACAAATGTGCTCAGCCTAGTTTTAGTACTATGTGAGTGGAATTATATACACCATAAACTCAGGTAAGGTTTCAAACTTTGATAAATGCCAGGAAGATGATCAGGAAAGAACAATTACAAAGAACAAGGAAGGAAGAAGGCACATCCGTTTGAACAGTAATGAACACAAAAGGCACCTCTGTGTTGAGGAGACATTTAAATGAAACCTGAATGGTAAGGAATTGACAGCACTAAATTTTAAAGAGAAAAGGTCACAATAAGAGGGTAGAACAAGGGCTGGGAAGGTGGCTCAGTGGTAGAGCCCTTGCCTTGCATGCATGAGGTCCTGGGTTCGATTCCTCAGCACCACATAAGCGAAAAGAAAAAAAAAGCCAGAAGTGGCGCTGTGGCTCAAGTGGTAGAGCACTAGCCTTGAGCTGAAAAGCTGAGGGACAGCGCCCAGGCCCAGAGTTCAGGCCCACGACTGGACCCAAAAAAAAAAAAAGGGGGGTAGAACAAATGTCATGGGAATGAACCTAAAGTGTCCAAAGATTAGAAAGTCATAAAGTCTGCGTTGGTGATAATAGTTATCAGTAACTCCTAAAAAAAAAAGAAAGAAAGGAAAAAAAAGAAAGTCAGTGTAGTTAGGATACCATGGATCATGAGTAAAACTGAAAAGACAGGGAAGGAGTCAAGACTAGATTTTTTATAAGGGAGCTGGTAACAGTGGTTGATCATACAACACAAGCTGGAAACAAGGATGGAAAGTAATGGAGTAAGACAAACATGATGGCCAAAATACTGAGAAGAAGAGAGCAAACCAGGTATTGAGTACCTGGAGATTGGATAAAGGAAGGCTGATCTGATACACTTCAAAGTTGAGAATTTTTGAAAGAGAAACAGATTCAAAGCAACAACAGGAACACAAACATGGAAGACAACTACCCCACCAAGAGGCCCTGAGGTATGTGAGAGAAACAGCATCTTAGTATCCTGTAAGGTTTTAGATTTCAGTGGTTAAGGGAAAGAGCTGTAACACATCTGGCTGGCATCAGGCAGTCAAATTCTAGCTTTAGCAATTGCTAGCTGTGTCCTGAACAAGTCATCTTAGCCTCAGGCAACTCAGTTGCAAAATAAAGATACTTTCATCTACTTCCTGGCTGTTTGGAATGCTAAGTTAAAAAATGTAGGCCAACTTAAGAAACAAAGAACTCCCGCTCATCTGGTTGAACCACTACTAAATATCCCCATGCTGCTGATCACAAATATGGTATATAACATGTGAACACTGTTATATATTACAGACTGTGGTAGACAATTTGCTCCAGGGAAGTTAGAATGAACTTGTGACTTTGAAATTATGTAATCATTTAATCACAATCAAAAAAAAAAAAAGAACCTGGGGAAGGGAGGGAGGGAGGGGATGGTAGAGGGAAAACAATGGAGGGGGTAACAATGTTCAAGAGGAAGTGTACTCATTACCTCACTCATGTAACTGTAACCCTCTGTATAGTAGCTTTACAATTAAAAAAAAAAATGTAGGCCAAAGTGCTGACACACAGAAAGTTAATTATGACTTAAATCTTTTGAATGAATGCAAGTTTAAAAACTCTTTAACTCGTTTAGAAAATGCACATCAGAACAGCTGCAGGGGAAAAGCAGCACCTTAAGTGTTAATCCACCCAGAGAAAATACAGCTATGACACAGTGGCAGAGCCTGTGTGTGACCTGGGAAAGATCATAAATCAAATAGACCTGAGCACTGAACAGCACTGGCTCCCTCAGTCCACAGCTGCGTTTATGTAGCAAAAATACTACACCGTTTCCTCTTCGTTGTAATTCATATTCATAGAACCCAAACTAGCCTAACCCCGGAGATCCATCTTGGAACACGAGGCAGTAACGCGTGCTACTCTTCTCTGGAAAGGAACGCGATCAAGGGCGGTAAAAACCACCCCCAAACGAAAACTCATCCCGGAAAGCCATCTTCGAGAAGCGACCGCGTAAAGGGGGCGACTCACTTTCTTAATGGCGACGATCCGGCTGGTGTTCTTATCTCTGGCTTTATATACTGTGGCGAACTAAAACAAACAAACAAACACAAACACAGCACCAGGAATAGCAAGCGTGTGAGTTTTCGGCGGTGGTGTGAGCCGGTCTCCTTTTGTTTAGCGTGTGGGGGAAGCAGAGCCTCCAGGGTCGGGTGGCGGACGGACAGGCGTGGCGGAGCGTGGTCGGCGGTCCGCGTCCCGCTGCGGATGACAGCGGCTCGGGGCGGACTTCCAGGCTCTCAAGAGGGGCGGCCTCTTGGGGACAGTCCTCTTCGCCTCCCCCCGGAAAGGAACCCAGGCAGCGGGCCGGCTGGGCAGGCCGGCGGCCACGGAGCCTGCACGGCCCCGGGGCGGCGGCGCGGCGCCTGCGCGCGGGGCCCTCCCGGGGCCCTCCCGGGGTCTCACCTGCCCCTCCCCGAGGAAGTCCAGTTTCTCATAGCGCTTTGCTCGAGACTTCACGTCCAGAGCCATCAGGCGCGCGACGCCGGACCCCAGCAACGAGCGCCGAGCTCCCGAGACCGCAAGGATTTAAAGCCGGGAGGAGGCTTCCAACAGCTACTTCCGCCCCTCAGGCGCCCACGGTTTAGAAGTCCCGCCCCCACTTCCGGGGGACGGGGCCACCACGGAAAGGGTCCGGGCGGAGCTAGCGCGAGGGAAGCTGAGCTGGGCCCGGCTTGGTGGTCACGGGAGGCCGCCCGGCGCGTTCGGTTTCCGGCGGTCACCTAGCCGCCCGGGGGCGGCTTTAACTTGGTTTCCTCCCACGAGGGCTCGTCACCCAGGAGCTGGTGCCGAAGACAGCTTCGTGGTACCTGACCTCACTTTCTGATCTTTGATCCAGCGCGTCCTGTGGCCGCCGTTGCTGATCTCAGGTTAGATGAGTGCCAGGTTCTTAAGGGCGGTCAAGATCAAAACCGGTTCCTTTAATGAAGAAACATTGTCCCAGGAAACAGGATCCACCGCCACTCAACGGTGTCGGGCGTGACATAAGCTTTGGGACCTCTGTTCTGTAAAATGGGAATATACTGCAACGTGTGTGTGTGTGTGCGTGTGTGTGTGTGTGTGTGTGTGTGTGTGTGTGGCGGGGTGGGGGCGGGGGCGGTCCCTGGGGCCCTGGAGCTTGAATTGCTGTCCCTGATCATTTTCTCCTTAAGGCTAGAGCCCTATACCAGTTCAGCTTTTTTGACGGTGAAGAGGCTCACAGACTTTCCCGCCAAGCTGGCTTTGCACCACGATTCTCAAATCTCAGCCTTCCATGATTATAGGTCGAGCCACTGACGCTGGGCTGCAATTTAGTCTTTAGGAGGATTAAATGAAACATAGTGTTTTAGACGTAGTAACTACTGCATTAAATATTGGCTGTGCAATTACTAGTCATGCTTTTAAATATTCCAACCAGTTAACTGACTCCAGCAATGGCTTCGGCTTGCAAGCCGTGATTTTTTTTTTTTTTTTGGTCCGGTCATGGGGCCTGAACTCTGGGCCTGGGCACTGTCCCTCAGCTCTTCAGCTCAGCTCAAGGCTAGCACTCTACCACTTGAGCCACAGTGCCATTTCCAGCTTTTTTTTTTTTTCTGCTTATGTGATGCTGAGGAATCGAACCCAGGGTCTCATGCATGTAAGGCAAGCGCTCTACCACTGAGCCACTTTCCAGCCCGCAAGCCGTGATTTTCTGAATTTACATTTCTCCCCAGTTTTTTGTTTTTTAGTTTAGTTTTTTTTTTTTTTTTGTCCTGTCGTGGGGCCTGAACTCTGGGCCTGGGCACTGCCCCTCAGCTCTTCAGCTCAAGGCTAGCGCTCTACCACTTGAGACACAGCGCCACTTCCGGCTTTTTTCTTTTTGCTTATGTGGTGCTGAGGAATTGAACCTAGGGCCTCATGCATGCAAGGCAAGCGCTCTACCATTGAGCCACCTTCCCAGCCCTCTCCCCAGTTTTGAAGGGAGAGAGATAATGGCTTTGCCCTGAGACCCCAGTTCCCCAGCAAGTTTAAGGAATGTCCAGATTCTATACCTTTGTGGGGTTTTTTGTTGTTTTTCTTTTTTTTTGGGGGGGGGGGTCCGGTCATGGGGCCTGAACTCTGGGCCTTGGCGCTGTCCCTTAGCTCTATCAGCTCAAGGCTAGCGCTCTACCACTTGAGCCACAGCCCCACTTCCGGCTTTTTTTGCTTATGTAGTGCTGAGGAATTGAACCCAGGGTCTCATGCATGCAAGGCAAGCACTCTACCACTGAGCCACCTTCCCAGCCCCTTCCATTGTGGTTTTTTTTTTCCTCATGGAGAAACCAGTGATGACGCCCAAATACTTTAGTTATCAGAATGGAACTAGAACTTTTATCACCTATGTTAAATCTGTAGAAGGTTTAAACTGAGCTCCACCACTGTTTATTCAGCAGACTAAACCAAAACGGAGCCATTCTTACTGAAGTTGCACATCAAGCAGAAAATTGTTTACCTGACCTTCCAAAAAGTCAGAGAGAAAGGCAGGCAATAGCCAAATCCCCAAAGAGGCTAGGTCTAGCTGACATTATAAAGGTCCTCTCTGCTTTAACTATTACAAAAAATAATAACTTGAGTCAAGGGATCCTATAGATATTATAAGTAATAATAATATATATATATATATTTGGTCTTTATCTCTATCTTTAAATCCCTTTGTTTGGTTGGGAGCTGATGGCTCACACCTGTAATCCTAGCTACTCAGAAGGCTGAGGTCTGAGGGTCATGGTTCAAAGCCAGCCTGGGCAGGAAAGTCTGTGAAACTCTTATCTCCAATAAACTACTAGAAAACCTGGAATGGTGCTGTGGCTCAAATGGTAGAGCGCTCACCTTGAGCTGAAGAGCTGAGGGACAGCGCCCAGGCTCCAGAGTTCAAGCCCTAGGACCAAAAAATAAAAATAAAAAAATAATCCCATTGTTCTTTAGGACACAGTGACAAACACCTGAAATCCCTGCACTCAAAAGGCTGAGGAAGGAGGTCAGCCAGGGCTACGCAGTGAGACCCTATCACAAAGCAAATAAACATTGTTCTGCTATTTTGCAGAATGCTATTAAACTGAATCACAAAAGTCAGTCTGGTAGCACAGCGCCAATGGCTCACTCTGGCAATTCCAGCTACTCAGGAGGCTTAGACCTAAAAGAATAAGGTTGGAAGCCAACATGGACGGAAAAGTCTTTGAGATGCCATCTGCAAAATAATCAACAAAGAACTGGACTGGAGGCATAGATGAAGTGGTAGATGACCTGTCTTGGTAAGCTTTCACACACTGCAGAAAACATACTGCTTTACTCAGCATCTTCCATGTGGCAAACCAGGCCTAGTGATGCAGGGTGTCACACATGAATGTACCTTCTGAAAGACTTCACTGTAGCAGCTTGTAGAAACAAGCTGCCAAGCTAGTGTGATGATGTATCTGTGAGGCTTGTGGTTTCTAAGTATAGAATATAAGCTGCTGTTTACAACATTGTAAAATGCTGCTGACAAGTGAACCTATTGGAGGCCGTTTTTATTTAGTGTACAGAGTGTGTGTGTGTGTGTGTGTGTGTGTGTGTGTGTGTGTGTGTGCATGCATGCTTGTGCGCTAGGGATAAAAACAAGGCCTTGGGGCTGGGAAGGTGGTTCAGTGGTAGCGCTTGCTTTGCATGCACAAGGCACTGGGTTCAATTCCTCACCACCACATAAGCAGAAAAGCCAGAAGTGGTGCTGTGGCTCAAGTGGTAGAGAGCTAGCCTTAAGCTGAGGGGCTGAGAGAGAGTGCCCAGGCCCAGAGTTCAGGCCCCATGGCCAACAACAACAACAAAAAAAAAAAAACTGAGGCCTTCTGCAGGATAAAAATGGACTGCACTAAGCTACTTCCTTAACCCAGAACATTTAAAATAAGGTAATAAAAGTTATGTTTAGATATTCTCAGGCAAAGAGGCCATTCCATGAAAGGTATTACATATCTGCATAGCATTTATAGTTTATAAAGCATTTCCACACATCTGTATTAACCAGCTTTCAAAGGCTGTAACAATCTCTGCTTTCTGGTCTTAATGCACTGTGTAGACATTCACACAAGTGAACAGGTCATTTTGTGTAATGGCAGAAACTGCTGGAGCAATGTTGTAAACTTGTATCCCCAGCACTCAAGAATCTGAGGCAGAAGGAGCAGGAATTCAAGGCTAGCCTTAAAGAAAAAGAAGGCTGGGATATAGCTCAGTGGCAAAGTGCTTGCCTATCAAGTGCATCATACTGGGATCAATCCCCAATACCAAAAAAGAAAAGCCAAAAAATACACTTAAAGAGAAAATTATAAATGATTCTACCTGCGTGCTCTGGGCCTGAGTGCTGTCCCTCAGCTTCAGCTCAAGGCTAGTGCTCTACCACTTGAGCCACAGCGCCACTTCTGGCTTTTTCTGCTTATGTGGTGCTGAGGAATCGAACCCAGGGCCTCATGCATGCAAGGCAAGTGCTCTACCACTGAGCCACCTTCCCATCCCCTACCATAGTTTTGTCTTTTTCTTTTTGTCAGTCATGGGGCTTGAACTCTGGGCCTGGGCACTGTCCCTCAGCTCTTCAGCTCAAGGCGAGTGCTATACCACTTGAGCCACGGAGCCACTTCCAGTTTTCTGGTGGTTTATTGGAGATAGGAGTCTCACGGTCTTTCCTGCCCGGGCTGGCTTTGAACCTCGATCCTCAGATCTCAGCTTCCTTAGTAGCTAGGATGACAGGCGTGAGCCACCAGCGCCCGGCAGTTTTGTCTTTTTTAAATGTCTTTTTCAGAAGTTGCCCTCTGTAATTCAAGCTGGCTTCAAAGTCTTGATCCTCCTGCCTTAGCCTCCTGAGTGCAGGAATACAAGTGTACACTACCATGCTCAGCCATGATATGTGATTTCTGAGGAATAGATCATAAAAGACATTACACACTTGACTTGTGTGTTTTTCTCACATACATGCATATTAGCTGTGGGGAAAATTCCATGTCTTTAATTTACTTTGGAGTCCCTGTAGAGAGGCCTGCAGGAGAGGAGCTAGGCCTCCTCCTGACAGTCAGCCTGTGAGTGAGGCGCCCTAAAGATGATCATGCAAGTCCCAACCAAGCTCTCCAATGACCAGCACCAGCTGACCCCAATTATAGGCATGAGACACCAGTGCCAAGCTACATGTATTTTTTTTTTTTGGTCGGTCGTGGGGCTTGAACTCTGGGCCTGGGCGCTTTCCCTCAGCTCTTCAGTTCAAGGCGAGCGCTCTACCACTTGAGCTACAGCACCACTTCCGGGTTTTTTTTCTGGTGGTTTATTGGAGATAGGAGTCTCAAGGTCTGTCCTGCCCGGGCTGGCTTTGAACCGCGATCCTCAGATCTCAGCCTCCTGAGTAGCTAGGATTACAGGCGTGAGCCACCAGTGCCCGGCCTACATGTATTTTAATAAGTGAAACAAAGCCCAAAATAAAAATACAGGGGCTGGGAAGGTGGCTCAGTGGTAGAGTGCTTGCCTTGCATGCATGAGGCCCTGGGTTCAATTCCTCAGCACCACATAAGCAGAAAAAGCCAGAAGTGGCACTGTGGCTCAAGTGGTAGAGCACTAGCTGAAGAGCTA